ACCATCGACTGGCAGAAGCCGACGCAGCCCATACATTCACCATTATAAAACACACTTTTTATTTGCTGCTCTGTTGAAATTTATAGGGATAAAATATTGCTAACGCTTGTCAAACTCTTTTTACTAGTTAAACCTTTTATGTCTGTTTTGTTTCTTGCAGAAAATAGCCCATCTGAATTATTTAAAACTACAAATTCACTAAACCCGTTTTGTAGATGTTTTTAGACAACTGATATCGCTTGTTCCAAATTGTACATGGTAAAATAATAAGTGATTACAAAGGAGAAATAGAAAGTACAATATTTGTAATTGTAATTCTATTTTATTATTCGAAATATAGTACATAAACATTTAGAATAATTTTGCTAAGTTTTTGCCGCAGTGGTAACGTTATGTTTGACGTAAACGCGATATTTTTTCTTTCAATGTTTAATGACAATGTATCTTACAAAATAGGTCATAAAAAAGTATGCCTATCACGTTAATGTCAAGCATAGATTTGCGGTAAAAACTGGACAAATGTAGTAGGGTTTTTAAGAGCTCAAATGTGTTATTTTCTGCAAGAAAAGAAGAGGACATAAAGTTTAGAACAGTAAAAAGTGTTTGGCATGCATTTGCAATATTTTATATCTATATATTTAAACAGAGCAGCAGCTTAAAAAGGTGCGTTTTACAATGGTGAGTGTATGGGCTGCGTCGGCTACTGCCAGTAGATGGTGGGGGGAGCTAGACCGAAAACAGCGCCCGCAGTGCTACTGAGAGCGCAATCCAGTAGTTTTTACATCGTTGCCCGTGGGTGAGTAGGATTCCTCGCAAGCGTCTGTAGGTCCCTCTACTATAGCCCAGCAGCCTCGGATGCTTTGTATAAAGCTCGACGGTCATATTACATTCCCACAATATCTAAAAACTACCAGTGAAGGAAAATTCAATATTTTCATGTGACCAAGCAGAATCACCCCTATCCATAATATTGAGTGGAGACTTCTGCTGACATGGTTCTCACGTACCTTAAGGTTTTTAGGTAAAAAGCGGATTTTTAAAATTTATAAATAATGGACAAGTAAAACTATTTATAATGATTATTGAACTTAATATAAGCGATATTGGTTGTATTTACAACACTTTAGAATTGTTTTCATTTATTTTGTTTTTAGAATACATTGTCATGCTTTACGAGTTAGTTATTTCTTCATTTCTTGATACTTCTATTCCGGATACTCTGTATTGTACTGAAACCAAAAAATCTATTGAATGTTAGTACACAAGACGCAGAAGCTTTAACCATAGACTTAGCTAAGGGAGTATGTTTTATCTATGCTTTAACTAACAAATCAAACCTTTCAGATCTCGTGTTTCCATAGCCAAGTAGAGACATATATTTGATATTTTATATGGAGAACTTATCAAACAAGTTAGTGGACAGTGGTAGCTTCATCAGAAGTTGTTCCGTAATATCCTCAAATGACAATAAAAACTGTAAAATGATCAAACAAAATCAAGCCTTAACATGGTTATACTCCAACAGAAATTTTAAACTTTGCCAATTGTATCCATAAAGTGTAATTTTACAGCTCGCCAGGGAACCATCAAATATTCGCGAACAACATCCCATTGTATATTATACTTTGATTACGTTTTGTTAAACAGCCTAGTTTGTCATATAATGTTGTTTATGCAACCAATTAGATGTATAGTATGTATTTTTTAAGACTAAAGCGTATAAACTGATTGTGAAAATAGTAAGCAAGTTATGTCTTTAACTTTACCTTGATAGTTGCTGAAATACGTTTTTCTCAGTTGCGAATCCGCCATCAGATGTAACTTGTCTTTGTTCTTTCTTGAATGTTTTATGACCCTGTAGCTGAACTGTTAGTTAGAGAAGAGGTCTTAGCTTACAAGGTAAAAATTTGAGGTACGTATTCTGCCGACGCTCGGTTGCTATGGACACGTGAGCAGTCCTCATTTTGTGATGACGTGTATTTTTCAATATCTCAATCAACAATAAGAGTCCAGCTTGTTCTTCACAAAACGTGTGTATGGCAAATGTTATGGCGCTATCTAGTCATGGTGTAGTGTATTAAGGCTTTAAGTAACATCGCGTGCTTTTTTCCATTTAATTGGGATTTAGTATCCCAAAGACGATCCCTTTGAGTATTGACGCGACCAGATTGGTTCGTTAAGTCCTCGTTCTAACAAAAGATCAGTTAATTGCATTTCAACTTATTGAATCACTTCATGTCCTTTGAACAAGTTTGTTCCTGATCGTTTTTTCTGTATACTGTAATACAGAAACACAGACAAAGAAATTGTGCTCTGATGTTTCCTTTCACAACCCTTTTATTTAAATAGCTTTTAAACACAATATTATACTACTATTTTAATCGTTATAAAATAAATTATATTTGAAAACTCATACAAATAAAAAATGTTCTTTGGATACAGTAGCCTTGATGTATGGTTGGTACGGTACTGATAAAATACTGTGGTAACTATACTTAAAGCACAATATTTAGGTGGTTTTAGGGGAAGAAATCTATCCCTCCACTTGACGCTTACCTTTAAAATAATAGCTCAACAGCTGATTAAGCAATATACATAAAATACAAAATACCCCCGCCCTAGCAAACCTGCAGACTATCCAAATTTATTGTCTCAATGGATATTACTACAATATGTCTTAAGACGTATTATTTATTCCCCATTTATATTACATTAGATTTAACGAGTATGTACTTAGGATTGCTGCTACAGTTAGGTTTAAAAGTGTTATTTTGACCAAATAGTAATACGAAATAAATAAATTTTGCCTAATTTGATCAACATATACAGGGTGACAAAAAAGTCTGGAAACGGTTTAATATTTTTTTAACTAAATCCGTTAGAAAATTCAAACCTTTCACATCAACTTAAATGTATGAAAACTACTTTTCCAAGCATTGTAATTTTTTTACCTCTACCAGGGGACGACCCATGAGGAGTAGGTACATAATCTTTAATGTAAGCATAGGTTTATATGCACACCATTTTAAAGTGTTAGTGAAGTGGAGTTCATTGCCGGAAACCGCGTCAAAAAAGGTTCATCCGTTACAAAATGGCAGCTGTCCAAAGTTCTTGTGAAATATACCTGCACAGGCCTTAGTATGGGCAAATACTCGTATTAAACATTAGCTTGAGAGCTTAAACTGCATTTTAAAGTCAACTAGCTCATAGACTAATAGTATTCAATCATCAAAACAAATTTAACCGGGTTTCAGATTTCCCTGCTAATGTTGACTATGAGTATTTACCAATACTAAGGCCTCTGCAGGTATATTCCGCAAGAACTTTGAACTGTCGCCATTTTGTAACGGATGAATCTTTTTTGACGCGGTTTCCGGTATTGAACTCCACTTAACCAGACCTTTAAAATGATGTGCATATCAACCTATGCTTACATTAAAGATTATGTACTTACTCCTCGTGGGCCGTCCCCTGGTGAAGGTCAAATAATGGCAATGATTGCAAAAAGTAGTTTTCATACATATAAGTTGATGTGAAAGGTTTGAATTTTCTAACAAATTTAGTTTAAAAGATATTAAACCGTTTCCAGACTTTTTTGTCACCCTGTATATTCACAAACAAGCAAACTGGGACAGTTATATTTTCCTCCATGTTAACATATGTTTTATTTACATTTTATTTTAAGATATGTTCAAATTATTGTTTTGTTTACTTATTGAATTGTTTATGTTTACTTACAGATTATGATTTAATAAAAACCTACTTTCTTTTTTCTTATACAAAATGTGAACTTGTATTAGTAAAATTGGTGGAATCAACAATGGCGACGAGGATGAGATTCGAACCCAGCACATTAAATAGATGAGGAGGTTTTAACATATGTTTTATTTACATTTAGTACATTTGCGCGATAACTCACGGCCAAAATGATCTGATTTTGATGAAATTTGGTTTAAACATGTAAACCTACATTTATTCGAACGATTTCGCGAACCAGTATGATCGGACTATGGGAACGGTTTTTTTGGGAAGGGGGGTAAAAAATGGTTTTTCCCATATTTCACTCAAACAACATATTTCATAATTTCTTACCAGAACATTTTGTTGAGCTTAAAAAAAGAAATAATTTTCTAATTTGAAGTGTTGTTGTATGCCTAACGGTTACGGAGAAAATAAAAAAAAAACTTCAAATTTAAAATTCTCGTGTTATTGTTTTCTTTTGGAGAATAAATAAACTGTTGTAGTTTGCTCGCTTATAGATATATTTTAATCAAATTTGGCAATTTTGTTCATTTCATACGAAGCTATCAACATTTAAAAACACACCTACCTTCCCTGTAGTAGCAAACCTAGGTACTCATTAAAATTAATGTTATTTAAATTAGTTAGAGTTTCAAGAGTTTCGTTATTATGCAAATAAAAATACAATGAACATCCAAGTATTGCCTTCGGTAAAATGAATACAGAATGCAAATTTGAAAGGCATGTACAATTTGAAGATTAAAATGCAGGTAGGTACTGTATAAAAGGGGAAGTCAAATGAATTTTGATAATTTGAACTGAGAAATACCAGACACTTCGATGTAATTTTTGTTTTAAAATGAGTGTTTTATGGCCATTATTGTGCATTGCCTTTTGACCCGAGCAACACCGGGTCTCGCTCCTAGTATTAAAATACAGAGCAACGGAGTGATTGATTTTTGGGGATAATAACCTTAACAATAATTTGAATTACAAACGACGTAATTATGAAACAAAACTCTCAGCTGTCTAGACAGTTTGCTGACTCAAATTAAAGTTATTATCAGAGAACAAGTTTGATAACTGGTTCTAAAATTATGTGCGGAGTCAAGGTCAAGTAAGAGGAAATACGCGATGTGGAGTTGTTGTTGGTCAGTTCAGAGTCTAGAGTTGACTCTACACGGTGGTCAGTAGCAATGGTCAATATCTTGTCATGTGATAATCTATAGAGTGGCTGTGATCATTGTTCAGTGGTTGTAGTGATGGCAATTACCATGAGTCTATGTCTAGTGACTAGTGTCTAGTGTCTTGTGTCGAGTGTCTAGTGTAGATGCAGCAGGATTAGCCATGTGGGTGCGAAGCACTCTGATAACCTGTGTCTACGTCACATTCTGTATCGGTATGTTTGCCTAATATCAAAATGCAATAAGTTAGAATTTTCGATAGAATAATATTCTCAGCCTAGCCTCAAATATTCCACTTCAAAAAAGGAAGGGCGAAAAGTCTGGCAACAGTGACGACGCGGTTTATGCAGAATAACATCACAATGCACTCAGAATATTATTTTGCTCGTTAAAAGTAACACAACTACATTGGCAAGTTTTAAATTCGGTAAGATACTCATAAAGATTTCTTCTAGCTATAATTCGTAGTAAATTTTAAAAATGTTGCACTATTGTAAAGTGGAGTTTAAAAGCATCGTAACATAATAGAAATATTATTGATGAACTGAAAGATATTTACGTTAAGGGGAAATCAAACAATGTAAAATAATAATAAGTAAACTTTTGTTACCAATTCATTTTAAAAATGACATGAACTTAAAAATAACAGTCGCATTTTTACAACTATGACTGACGTATATTAACACTCGGAGTTTATCTGAGTCTCAAACTTTATTACCAGTTTCTGAAAGTGGAGCATAATTTCAGAATTAATCGAAATCGTAGACCTACTCAGGGTCGTTCCTCTTCTAATTTTAGAAACTTTCACAAAGAAAGGTAACATTTCCAGCATTAGTTGGCAAAGCCACTGAAGGCTATAAGTGTGTAAAGGGGTGATGAGGGTAGATTATTCTTGGTTTTTATTTATACGTATAAGTAAAATAGACTATGTGTACAGGTTCGCAATGTATTAACTTAAAAGTAGGTATCCACGTTTTAATATAGTACTATCATTTATAATCGATTATTATACGTCGATGGGTTCCACGTTTTTATCACTGGATAAAGCTCTTGGAGAAATGGTATTTAGTATTTTAAACTGCCATTTAAGATTTTAGTAAGTTTAAGATGTACATATTGAGATCATTCAACAGATGAAATTAAGACAACTTGTAAAAATCTGGGAATAATATGTTCAAAAATTGACGTTCTGTAAACTAGAAAAAACTAGACAATTCAGATTCATGATTTTTGAAGGTATAGGGTTTTCTGGACATAGGAACAAAATATACACCAAGTATTGTTTCTGTACTCACAATTAAAAAGTTATGTAAATTTCGTGAAATGTTAGTTAAACATATTTTATAATAAACCCAAATGATTACCTACATTTGAAACAGATTATAGAGAAAGCTTATGAATTTGAACGGCACATTACGCCTAATCTATTACAGTATATTACTTTCCCTCCTATACATTGTATTATGGAGAAAGTATTGTTTTCGTAAGTGTTTCTTTTTTATTGAGAGGTGTAAGTTTGAGTCTTAAATGGATATATCCGTTTGGGCCCCCCTACTCTCTAGACCTAAAAAAGTGGTTCTCGAAGTGATGTCTGTCTATCTGTATATCTGTACATAGCTACAGACCACACCTGTGGTTCGATTTTGATGAAATTTTGTTTACTAATCTATGGTATCTCCAGGAGCTTTACAACAATCTTAGTTGGACAGTAGGCCTACTAACATTCTGATTTGACTTAGTGTATTCTGCATCTGAATGCTACACCATCGATATATTTGTGTTTATATATCGGTGTGCTACACTACAGAGTGTCTATGTTTGTTCTATAAACGTCCACCGCGTTGTGAAATCGATTAATGGTACTGTACTTCCTTAAATACCAGTTCTTTTCGACATTGTTCCACCTGAAATATAACTGGAGGAACACTCCTTGAGAGGTAGTTTAAATGTTAAACTGTCAATCATTTCCCAAATCACCTCTACAGCATTGCAGCTAATGGTAACCAACCTTTCCTCTCAAACCAGTTAGACTTCTTCATGATACTCTTTTTCAAGCTCAGTATCAAATATTTATATCCGACGTTACTGCATACGCGAGTAAAGGTTAAACGAACCTCCCTAATAAAGCCCTGACTTTATTCAACCACTTTCCCACTGGAATAGACAGGCCAGTGGACGGTTACTAGTGCAATATTCGATTTGTGTCACTCTAGATGGTAACATGCAGAGCTACTTACTATGGAGTCCTTACTATTAAAAGTCATACCCAGCATAATGGGTTTAGTTTATATATTTTCAATAGTAAGTTTAATCCAGTCCCTGGTTGCAGGAAGGTCCTTGGGAGATTGTCCTCTTCCGCCACATCCAGCGCACGGCCGTCACAGGCCCAACGGCAACGACTGTGGCGGCGCAGACAGACCAACCGCTTGTGACGGCACCCCCGGCACTCTAGCCCCCGAGAGCTGGCTGCTCGTGGTCCATTGTGATCCAGGCTACCAACTGCCAGACCCTGAAGCAGTTGATGTGCCTTCTGTCTGCATTGGTGGTACCTGGTCAATCCCCAAACTGCCCTCGTGCATATTACCAGGTTAGTGTTATGGTCATTACTACCTACACAGTGTTAATACAACGTACATAAACCAATCTTAGACCACAGCACAGGTATCATGGCGATAAACTTAACGGTAATATTAATATTACGTATGAAAAATCATCCGCATATGTAATTATTAAAATCCTCTCCGTATAAATGACCAATTTTGCTTATTTATTCAGACGTCACAACCACCATAGAGGGCTACATTAGCACGGGCACCACCAGAGAGCGCCCGTAGAGGAGGCGTATCACTCCCTCCCCCTGAAGTGCAAAAGATAAACAAAATTCGCTGTTGTATGATGCAGGATCATTTTCGGAAATTAATAATTACCACACGCTACTTTGCGGGTGTAATATTAAGTAGAAAATATATTGAAAACTCGTATTTGAGACTTTAATTTTCACAGATTTTTCGAAAACCACCTATTGTTTGGGTCCAAACCGTGGCGGAATCGTGAATATAACGTAAATATTAAAATCATACTCACAGCGAAATCTTTTGTGTCCTATGTGGACCTTGCGAAATCTTAAACGTCTCCTGCGATTCACGGTGGAATCGTGAACGTCTTCCCAAGTCGCTGGGAAATGCTGTAGGTTGGTTGTGGTCACAGAGAATCGTGCATGTCTCATGTGGTCGTGGCAAACCCATGAACGCAGTCAGGAGAGCAGAATCTTCAAAATTTCCAATGGACGCATGGAATCTCAAGTGTCCCCTGCGGTAGCTGTGAAAGCGTGAACGTATCCTGCGATGGTTGTGAAGTTGTAAACATCTACCACGATTGCGGGGCCATCAACCTCGTCTCCTGCGATCGAGGTAAAATAGTGAACATCTCTTGCGATCGTGGTGAAATCGTGATTTTTTATCGTACGACCTTCTCAGACGTTTTCTGCCACCGTGTAACTCAAAAATCTCGGATTGAAAATATATAGCACCGCTCGTACAATTCTAACGTGCCCCGAAATATCCAAACGATCTCTTTGAGTAACTGGTGACCCGGCTCAACTCAAATATTCCATGGACCAATAGACCCCGGTGGTAAGCCACTCTCCTCCTTGTACAGTAGGCTCCCTTATTTAGTTTCCCCCTGTTTGAATCAAGGCCATCTCTATAATCATTGTTATGAATGTTGGATACAGGACGCATTTTTATATAAGAGCACATAGAGAAATTATTTTAAACCCCCAAACTATCGAATATTAAAGTTATATTGAACCATATAAGAATGTTAGAGTGGGATGTAGAGTATGTTATAAAAGGAAGAAGATATTAGTACCATAATTCCATTCACCTAGTTTTCCAGCTATAATAATAGTACAGGAAAAATACTAAATAAAAATGAAAAAATTAGTTCAGAGATGAAACTTTGGTATTAACTTCGTTTTATTAATAGAAGTCTAGATCCAATGAGTCCCTAAGATGGGGGAACATCGTTTATAGGGGGTGGGAGGGGAATTTTGATATAATTCATGATTCACGATTTTAGATCATTTAGGAAGTAGTTTTCAAAGTTTGTATCCACAGTGAATCGATATGAACCATATTTACGTCGATAGAACTACCTCCACAAGAGATTTAGCATATTGGTACAGGTTTTTGTTGTTTTTTTTATAGGAGGGGTAGGGGGAATTTTAAATAATTTATGATTTTTGAATTACGACTTGTTGAGTGTTATTTTCAATGGATTTCTACATGCCAAATAGAATGGAACCACTATCTTGGTGATATAACTGATATAACATTATAAACAGATTTAGAGTGCCATCCAAAATAAGTAAAAGATTGTGCAAAAAACGAATTATTTAATATTTAAACATGAAAACTAAACCAATTAACTTAACATCAAGTATTAATTGAATGAGTTTATTTCTACAATAAACTCAATTTTTCCCATTATAATAAAATATTTCTGCCGCAGCAAACCTGCAGACCAAGCGGATTTCCATTACCTGGCAGGGTTTCTACAAAAACTTTCTCTTGAAACTGTCACATGTTTTTCCTATTTAAATTACATTAATTTTAATGAGTAATTAGGTTTGCTGCTACAGGGAAGGTAATGGGGGTGGTTTTTATTGAAATGTGGATAGCTTAATATGAAATAAACAAAATTGCCAAGTTTGGTTAAAATATATCCATAAACAAGCAGACTACAACAGAGTATTTTTCCATTAGAATAACCTGGGAATGACCAGAAGTTGTTTGTATCGAAAGCTGTATTTTGCTTTTTTCTACGCCAGTGGGATTTTACGAGAATCTGTGGATCCATGGATTTGAATCCTTAATCACTATTCCGCTTCTGTATCATAATTAGAGCCAGTTCAATTATTGACACATTGTTTGTTGTATTTTCCAGATATTGTGGCCAATGAGCGAGAGATGTGCAAAGTTCCAGATCCTCCGCCCCACGCCGATTTCCGTCCGTTGGAGGTAGAGTGTGGTAGTGACAAGTTTCCCCCGGGCTCTAACGCTCCCCGTGACTGTATCTTGTTTGTCAGCTGTGCCACGGGCTATCGTCGTCGTCAGGGCTCCGGGTACTTGCTCATACACTGCTACAACAACACCTGGAACCCCAATATTCCACAAGAACTCTGTACAAGTGAGTCCCACAAATCCAAAACTTTACAAATCAACTGTTCAGCGTGTTTTTACAGGAGTGACGGTTTGTTTCGTGTTTTAATGTCTTCGCCAGTGTGATTTCGTATGAAGAATCACAAACATTGACAAGTGTTTGTAAATTTCCCAGGATACGAACCCACCGTCCCTATTGCAATAAAGTCCGAAACGCTGTACTAGGCTTACAGCAGTAAAAATAAAAATAAAAAAAAACTATTTTGTATGGTAATAAATAAAGCTGATTGTATGCACAAGTAAACATTCGAATGCAGGTTATGTGCAAACGAAATTTGTAAGTTAAAACACCTAATAGTACAGAATTGTCTTCAAGATGCTTGTAGTAAAAGATTGTTGTTTTAAAAGTTTCCCATTGATGGAAAACTTAAACATCGGTGGATAAGGTTCAGTGAAAACAGTATTGTATCATAACAAAAGGTTATCAAATACACTAAGATAATAAGTGAAACGAGGAGCGTGAAGTCTAATGAAACTAGTAAGAAATATCACCATATTTCAGAAGCCGATGACAGTGTAGTACCAGCAGTTGCTCGGCCCACGAAGCCTCCAACGAATGATTCTCCTATCGCTCCTTTGCCTGTGTCAACAACGTAAGTTTGTTTTCATAAATGTTAACTAGACTTCATGTTTTAGTTGGAATTTGATTTATCTGTGCCCATCAAATACATGTATATATGATGGTAGATTAAGTTGTTATTAATTAATATGAGACATTATTAATTAATATGAGACATACATTCATTGGAAATCTGAGCAGAGTATATAAGGTAGATTATGTGAGTATGGAGATGGATTGAAAATCATATAGTATGTCTACAATGATCTTACTATACTTCCGTTTGTTTCGCGTATATCAAGGATACACGTGATTGAAAAGGTTATTGATAATTTCTAAAAATTAAGCTTGCACTGACAAGCTCTTTCGAAAATCATAATTTAAATTGTAAGTGTAAGTCTCAAGTATAAAAAACTCCAAATTCGCTTAGCATTTAGAACTATATTATGGCTCTTTCAATTTTAACTGATTTACATAATTTATATAATAAGTAACAGGCAGTTTACACATGACATAAAAGACGAATACGTTTGCAGAGGAAAACACTGTGTAAGAACTGAGTCCTACCCACGGATATGTACGTGCGCATGTTGACAGGCCTCGGTAACCGTTTTTATTCTTTTTGTGTAAACTGTGTGTAACTTATTCTGACGAAACCTCGAGTTATGGGTTTTTTTGTTAGACTGACGAGTGTGAATCTGTGACTTGTGATAGCCGCCGAAGCATAGAAAGTGTCTCTACACGTTACTGCACGTCTTATTATCTGACGATATGCTTAATAGCCATTATATATCAAAATGACAGTAATAAAGTGTAAAACTATTTATTTAATCAAAATGAACAAATTAGGAACAGTATTGTATCTAATAATTTCAACAACTCATCTCAAAATAAAAGGTAACTAGTGTACCTGTTGCTCGAATTCGAGCAATTGCGAAGCATTACAGGGGACTCGAAGATTATGGAAATACTCACGATCTACACAACAGTTAGATATAATCAAAATCTTTTGTAAATATCTTATCTTTTTTCAAAAAGCTGATCTTGTTTTTTAGTGTTTTTGGTGTAAAAAAACATTATTTCTATTTCTTCTACTTGGTTGTGTTCTATGACTTTTTCTATGTTTCCATTGTTTGCAAATCTGTTATTTCAATGATTGCTCAAGAAATGTAGCACAGTGTTAATTCAGTTTTATTTTTAGCCTATATCAAACTGTCCAGGATTTCTCGCTCTTTTCCATTGTAATAATTACATTAACCCAAGTTTCGTCTACAGATGCAATATGCCAAAGAATATCACCTACGTACAATCTCCAAGAAGTGGTAAAAAAGGCAGAAACCAACCCATACAATAGATATAAGTTAACTCTATAAGAAATAATTTTAAAAGTTACTGTGATATTAGGATTTTCCACTGATTTGGTAATAGAACATTATATTGCAAAACATGACACGATGCAGAAGAAAATCAATTTTTCACCACACTATGATGTTTTTGGCTGTATTACATACGTTAATTGGTGGCTGAAAGTTACGTTTTGCTGGCCATGCCAGCTGTCATCGTAATTTGGGGACCGAGCAGGTTTTTACAGGCCGGGGCCGCAAAATCAGCTGTCCGCTTACTTACTTAAAACATGAATGCATTTTAAATAGGAGAAGAGGCATTCAGTGGGGACTTGTCGAACATCTGGAAGACTTGGATTTTGCAGACGACATATGTTTGCTCTCTCATCGTTTAAATGACATGAGGAGTAAATTGAAAGATCTCAAAGATGTGGCAGAAAGAGCTGGTCTGCAAATAAATGCAAGTAAAACTAAAGCGATGAGGGTGAATGGCCAATTAGAGGATAGATTGGAAGTAGGTGGCTCGAGGGTAGATCAAGTAGAGTCTTTTGTCTACTTAGGAAGTGTTGTAGCAGCAGATGGAGGAGGAGCTGGAGATGATGTTAAACTAAGAATAAGGAAAGCAAACGCAGCTTGTGTCCAACTAAAACCTGTTTGGAAAAGTAGAAACATCTCACTCCACACCAAAATTAGAATATTTTACACTAATGTTAAAGCGGTCCTGCTTTATGCTTGTGAAACATGGAAAGTAGACAACAAAATTACCTCCCAACTGCAAGTGTTTATAAATAGATGCTTGAGAAAGATAAACCGGATATGGTGGCCTGACAGAATATCAAACGAAGAACTTTGGAGACGAAGTGGCCAAATGCCAATCCATATAGAAATTAGAAGAAGAAAATGGAACTGGATTGGGCATACCTTAAGGAAACCAGATGGCGCAATAGAGAAGAAGGCCCTAACATGGAACCCTCAAGGAGCAAGGCGTAGAGGTCGGCCAAGAAACACTTGGAGGAGAACAGTTGAAAAGGAGGCAGCTACAGAGGGAAAGACCTGGGGGGAGCTCAGAAGACTGGCGGGAGAAAGACAGGCCTGGAGACGTCTCGGAACGACAGGAATTAAGTCAATAAGTCATTTTAAATACCTACACAATCAAAATCCATAGCATTGCAATAGAATTGTGTTATTGTCACCGTTGCCTAGCAACTATTTATTTTAATTTTTGCTGATTCCTCAAATTATTTCTTCACGTAACCAGCGTAACCTTAAAGTTGTAGTTGTGTTGACTATCAGTGTGCATTATTATAGTGGTGAATAGTGGTAATAGGGTATAGTGCGGTGAAAAATAGCGTTCGTACCACGGACCGAAATGGTTTTGCAGCTCTCGATCGATTTAAGTTCTCGACTTCGTCTCGAACTTAAAAACTATCTCGAGCCGGCAAAACCTCATTTTCGGCCCTAGGTACGAAATATACTATTAAAATCAGAAAAATCCATTGCAAATACTGTACTTCATTTTGACAAATTCAATAAATCACAATTTAAATATTAACAGCTGTTGCATTAAAAAGTAGTGTAGAATTATGCATATGGTCGTAATGTAAACAAATCTGAAGAGGCAACTTTAAAGGCTTCTGGGGCAGAGCCCCAAAAGAATATACCTCGTTCCTCTTTTGATGGCTCATCTATAGACCAAGACCTTTCTTTAGAGACCCCTACCAAGTTTCTACGCCCAGCCGTTCTCTCAAATTAGCTGGGACAAAAACCCAGTTTTTCCTCCATAAGAATAACATGGGATGGGAATTCAAAGGCCACTGGGGCAGAGCCCCAAGGGAATTTACCACGTTTCTCTTTTGATGGCTCATCTACAGACCAAGACCTTTCTTTAGACACCTCTACCGAGTTTCTACGCCCTGCCGTTCTCTCAATTTAGCTATGACAAAGAAAAACAGTTTCAAATTAATATATAGATAATATTAATACATTATCAGTTCATCTGATCTTTTAAACATTAAATATATGGTTAGTAACACCACATAAAACACGATTGAATCTCATAATCGCATGTTTGGTCTTGTAGAGGCTGTGTGCTCCCTGCAGAATCCAATGCCAAGTTCTGCTCGTTTTCTACCGGCTGCAGACAATGTGACTTTAGCAATACCAGATGTCACTTACCTCCAGGTTCCAGAGTAGATAAAGTCAAGGTGGTGTGTGCTCCAGGCCACACTGTTCATCAGAACATTGACTTCGCCGTGTGTGACGACAACGGCTGGCACTCCTCGTTTCCAAAGTGTGTCAGTAAGTAGGATCACATTATTATTATAGTCTAGTTATGAATGTTCATTTTAAGCTATTTAAATGTCCTATTTATTTCTAGTTTAACTAATATATTTGCTATACTCATACTCGAGTTGAAACTATTTTGTTGCGTGTGACTTATAAATAACTGAAAAGGGGTTGTCTATTATGGTGATGTAGAGATAAAGTCGAAAGAAGTGTCCAAACTGAGTGACCGGCTATACATTTTAAAACTTCTGTTACTCAGATGCAACATAATCCTATATTTTATAGTGTTTTCCTATGAATCATTGTTGGTGATCGGTGTTGTGGTTGTTTCAGAGCTGTGCCCGCCTCTAGTATCAGACGCTCTCCTAATGACATGTCGCGTTGGCACAGACATAGTCAACTGCTCAGCGCCAGCATTGCCCGGCACCACAGTCAGCTTCCAGTGTCTACCGGGCTTCTCAGAGTTCTTGGATCTAAAACGTCAAGGCGAATATCGGAAAATAATCACATGCAGACACGCTGGGAAATGGTCTAGTAACTTGCCTATTTGTAGACCAGGTATTTACCTTACGGTATTAATAAATGTATCGAAATAAAATGTGATTGATTGTTTTTGAATGTAGATAGTGTGTGATTGATACGATCTGCGTACTTTTTGGTCTATAGGCTAGGCTTTGCGAGTACCTAATTAGAAACAAAATGAAACAGATGGAGAAGAAAGCTAGACATTGTTTTGAGTGATGCGCTTTAAAAAAGTAGTCAGAAATACCCCCACCGCAGCAAACCTGCAGACTAAGCGAAGTTCCATTTGCCTGAATTTATTTTTAGTTAAATCTGTTTAAATAATATTAGGTTTAATGGTTACCTAGATTTGCTGCTACAGAGAAATATTAATTGTGGGAATAAAGGGCGATTTTAGTATAAAAACGCTTGATAGCTTAGTACAAAATAAATATATATTTTTTTAATAATAATAATAAAATTGTATTGTAACTGGCCACGAATAATGATTATACAGGAAAGAATGGACTGAAATGATGACTCACCCTCGCTAAAAAAATCACCCTTTGCCACAAATAACATAGGATACTTAGTATTAACTTATTACTGTATTTTGTATCTGGATACTTGTTACATGCAGCCTGTGGAGTTTCTAAATACAAGGACAGCGTAATTACTCCCACGATCATAGATGGAGCTGAGGCACATGTAGGACTCTTCCCTTGGCACGCTGGACTTTACTATCGAGATAACACAGCTGATGGCGAGGAAATCTGGTCACAACAATGTGGAGGCTCTTTGATAACAGATCGCGTTGTTCTTACAGGTAATTTTGTTTTGATATTTATTATTTTCTTATAAGTAATTTTAGTCGTTTATCAAAACCTAAAAGTGCATGTGTAATCTTTGCTATAACTGAGATACGCGGTTTTACCAAAACATAGAAATTAATTAAAATTCATTGAAATAAATTAAAATAATGGCTAACATTATACAGTGCACGAGCACTTCACTCTCTGTCCAGTGTTAAGCTTCAATGAAGTACGTTTTCTTCTCAGAGTTTTAAAGTGTATATTTCTTGGTTTTTGTATGACAAGCATAACATTAATTAGTAGAATTGTTGTGCGTTTACCATTAAAACTATTTGTATCCACATCACAATAAATCTATGTCATACTAACAGAAATCCATAACAATATAATTTTTGAACTATAATATAATGAATTCGTTATACATTTATGAGCTAAATGTTTTGTTAAAATTAAAATTAGCATGAGACTAAAATTCGGTAAATTTACCGTTACAATTTGCAGGATGGCTAAAGCTAGATACACCAGATAAAATTAAGGGAGTGAAAGGATGCAAACCGTCTTGACATAACTAGTGTACACTCCACAGACAATTGGTTGAATATATTGAAACAAACATTGCTTGCTTACTTAAACATGTATTAGGGTGTTCTAAGTCAAAACCAGTATTTGACCGCCACACTCAAGTCTAGTCTACCGACAAGCCCCACCTCCACCCTTATGAGCTATGTGACTTAAATATGTTTAGATCTCATTGGCCCCTGTTGGTAAAACTTGTAACTACAACAGTAGGCCGCGCTGCTGTAAGTGTAAACCTTTCTTATTCAGTACTTCGGTAAAAATCGACATAGAGAGAACAACGACGACAGTTTGTAGTTACAGAAAGTGTAGGTACTATTTTAACAGTTTTGTTTGTCAAATAAATTCATTTGTGCGTAAACTGGATTTATTTGTTAACAAGTTTAAGTACATATAACACACGTTAAGTTATTTTCTCTAATTTCAATAAAAATAGTATAGTAGTATACATAATGCATATTGTTAATCAAGGTTCTAAGTAAGTACTATTGTTTTAAGAAATCTCTTCGAACCCTTCGTGGAGCAACATAAGTTAGAATCGCAACTAACATAACGGCACCATCAACAAACACTGCCATCTAAACACTCCGGGTAGGGTCCTAACACTAATAGGCTAGTCAATCTAGAGCCAAAATCACTGCTGATAGCTCGGATTTTTGTTTGTATACTATCCCTTATAAATGGCTTAAATTTTAAATTTTTTAAATTTTAAATTTTTTATATATGGCTTAAATTTTCTTAAAGCAATTTTTCCCACCTCAAAGTGTATTTCACCCGGATTAGATCCGGGTGAAACATCTTATTGGGATGCGGTGCAGCGCGCGTCACGGCTAGCGCTCAAGTAGAAGACTAATAACAAATATATCACACAATATATCCCATCTTCAAAACAAGATACAAACTGATGTGATGATTATTATTGTTCAAAATTTAATGCCGATTATTTTAATAGCCACAAAATATGTATTTTCATATCACGTGAGTTTGTATTAGCAAAAATTTAAAGGTTTTACTAAAAAAAACCTTAGAAATTTGGTATTTTTAAATTTAAAGCTGTCTTATTTAAACAAAAAAATATTGAAATCATATAAAAGTTGTTAATATCTTGAAGTAGACTTAATGAGGAAGCTATTAAAACAAACCGCAGATTTTCAAGACGCTTAGTTGTCAAACTATTGCTATTTTACTAAAAGCTTACATAAATCCAATATGGCGGAAGCTTTTTTCCAATATGGCGGCTTTCTACCACTTCGATTTTTCTCGATTTTTAGTATGATGTTGTGGACCCCTTTGTTGACAAATTCCCATATATTTCGTTTCTATTGCTTTAAGTTTGATGTTGGACCGTATTTTGACTAGCCTATAATCAGCAGTTGCAGCAATTGCAGTTGTTCACTATCTTGGGAGTGCAGGGCCGAGTGCCGTTTGCCTAAAAACCTTGACGGGGGACGAGGGTCATGTTACAGCCTGAGGCTTGGCGGTGCGAGTGCCGGCTAGGTCGGGCTATAGGTACAGTGACCGGTTCCATGGTGCGACGGGTATGGTGGTGGAAAGATCGACCGGGGGCAGGATTAGCAAAACTTGTTTTTGGGATAAGATGAAACTGAACATAACCTAACCTAACTAAACTTGCTGATTATGAAAATTTTGCATGAAGGTTTACTAATCGAATCGATATTTCCAATCGATATCAGGGTAGCCCAGTTAAAACTGTACCCGGTTACATCCTGCCCACTACACCCCTTCCACTAACACCCTTACGCTCTGGAGTGTCAAACGGCACTCAGGCCTACCTTACGGTTTTGACAGTTAAAGACACCTACGGCAAAGAATAGGACGGCACTCGCTCCGCATTCCCTATCTTGGTATGAATAGCAATGATGAAATGCGTCAGGGTCAGGGACACCCCATTATATTTTCGGTTACCTCCCGCTATCTCCGCGTCCCGCTATCTCCGTGTACCGCTATCTCCGAATTTCAGAGTGACCCCTATAATCCTCGGTTACTTCCTGCGTTAAGACTTTCCGTTCAAACCTAACCTAACCTACCTTAATTTAACTTAACTTAACTTAACCTAACCTAACCTAACCTGACCTGACCTAACCTAACCTAACCCACGGGTTAATTTTTCATCAAATCTTCCATCCACGGGGCTTCGCAGCCGTGGATGCAATGACAGCTAACAACGCAGTCAGTGACTGGATTATAAGGGTCACTCAAGAATTCGGAGATATCGGGACAGATTTGGGTTCGGAGATAGCGGAACGCGGAGATAGTGGGAGCACACGATATTTTCAACACTCTCCCTCGTCACTGCAATAGACCAGTATCAGCTGTTGATAACGCAGACGACAACCCAGAGTCAAGTCAGTCCATCACAACATAGCATAGTTCAGTCTGCTTCCTGCCATTTCCACGGCAATGGGTATAATTAATAGGCCTATCATGTTCGTTTTTATGATTTGTGTAAAATGTGTTTTATCTATTTATTCTGACGACACATGAAGTGGATCCTTTTGTTTGCCTGACGATGGTGGAGATATTTAAATAACCCCCAAAACATATGTAGCAATCATTTCTACATGTCATGGATTGTCTGAGGAGGTACTTTAGCCATTATTTGTCATTTAAACGCTATCCTGGGGCTATGAAAATGAATTTTAATTAATAATACACTCGTTATTACAGCGGCCCACTGCTTGAAACCTGTCACAGACAAAAGAAATCTCCGGGTAGCATTGGGTAAATTTCATCGATCATGGAACATCCCTGAGATTACTGAACAAAAACGTAATGTAAGTGCTACAATCAATTATGATACGCTTATGGTTCCAAATCACTACCGTATATTAAAATGGCTACGAGTCAGGATAGACATCCCTGTACCCCATATCTCTGTCAGGATAGACATCCCTGTACCCCATATCTATGAGTCAGGATACTCGTCCCTGTACCTCATATCCTTTGTGTAGAAAACGGCCTCTTTGTTTGAGTTTGTTGGTGTTATGCTCAATAAATAATTTGAATAATTCCAGAGGTTTAACTCTGCTAAAGGTAGAAATTATATATTTTTTTGAATAAATACAGGTTTAATAATCTCACTTTTGCCCTTGGGGTTAAAGATGATAAAAAAGGCTTCCCTGACTTGAATTTTTGAAATTATCTTCGTAAAATATGAAAAGTCATACAAACATGTGTTGACATAAGCTCCTTTTCTTGGTGGAACGACACAGTTATTGTTTATAATTCCATACTCATTTTGTAAATGTTTAACAAAATTAGTCTACTAAAGGCATCCTATTGACTAAACTTAGCCCTTGATTTGATAAAAATCCAATTAACTCTTAGTGTAAGTCAAGTCGTGGTATTCCTCCTAAAGGCTAGATTGACTTTACATGTTCTATCAAAATAGGCTTATTCAGCGGGTTCATAGTTTTGACTACACTGAAGTATTCATTTGCTTCTTAGTCCACATTTTAAAGTTTTTAATTGTTAATAGTATAACATTTTCCATTCAATGGATACGTTGGCTATCATTTTGTTTGAAAACGTACATGTAATCATGATGTTTAAAAACATCTTACTTTTATCATGATGTCTTGTAGGTTACAGATTTTAAATATACCCACGATTACAACCCAAATACACATGCATTCGATATCGGTTTGATATTTCTGAGTGAGAAGATCAAGTTTGGGGAGTATATCATGCCTGTGTGCCTGGATTTTGATGAAACAACGACTGAATTGCAGAATTCCAAGTCATATGTAAGTAAGGTTTTTCATATTATGACATTATATCTTTTTACAATTATTGTGTTTACAAAAGGTTTATGGGGATTTTCCATCAATTTTAAAAATTATTCTTGGTGAACATTCAAAACGTGGAAAAATTACATGGGTGGCCGAGTGGTTATGTGGTATGATTTTTAAACCATTGCACTCGGCTCACCTTCATATCTGAAAGTAGCCGGTTCGATTCCATGTGATATAGATTAATTATGGGTTTCTAACTGTTCTCTTAGATAACGAAAACAATGTCTAAGATGAAAATATACAGAAAATAAAAATACAACATGACACTCAACATCTAACCAAAGTTCAAAAATTAACATTTGTTAATTGCTGACTTTTGATATAAGTGCGGATGATTTTTTGTTAAAATATGTCCTCCTGATTTTGATTGTTCCTAAGTAATCAATGAGACCTGGATCTTCTTTGGCTTGGTAATTTAAATTACTCAAGTCATCAAACGAAGAGAAAACAACTATCCAGCGCAGCGTAGGTCTCGGTGCTGGGATCTTGTGGCTGGTATTTGACATGTGATACCTAAGAATACTAGAATACACTACCAAAATTAGCGCTCTTTTCTCTCGGGATTGGTGTAATATAAATAGTATTTTTTTTTACATGTTGTATACTCAAGTTTTGTGACTTTTACAACTGAACGTAAGAAAATGTGTTTTATAGGCTTATTACTAAATCTTAAACCTAAAATAGTACTATTTGTATCTAATATTTAGTACACTCACGGTTTCAAAACACACATTATCGAATTTCCCATACATAATAGGGAATAAGCTATTACCGTAGGTATAATGGTAAAAACTGGAGCCGGGACAGATTTACTTTTTTTATGTCCCCCGAGGCCAAAAACACCATCCGTTGAAATTCATAAATATATATATATATATTTATATATATTTTTTTTATAATTGTATAGGCTATCTATATTCATATATAGGATATAGCCTGTATATGTCCGTTAGCACGATAAGTCAAGCAAAAACTATCAGATTTAGATTGAATTTGATACAAACGTGAAAACCTACTAAAAAGATTTCGCGAACCAGAATGATCGGGAACGGGGTTTTATGGTGTAAAGATTGGGTTCTCTCATTTTTGCCCCTCAAAACATAACATTTTCCAATTCTTCTCTAAACTATTTTGTAGAGCTTAGAGCTTAAAAACAAATAATTTAGTATATTGAAGTGTTTTAGTACTGTTATTGATTACGGAGAAAATTAAAAAACATTGTAAACTTAAAATTCCCATTTTATTCTTATGGAGAATAAGAAAACTGTTGCAGTTCGCTTGTTTATGGAAATATTTTTATCAAACTTGACAAAATAATTTATTTTATACTAAGCTATTAATATTTTACAAAAAAAAACACACTTTATTACCCTCCCGGTAGCGGCAAGCCTAGGTACTTGTTAGACCTAATGTTATTTAAATACTGTATATTTAACTAAAAATAAAATTCGCTCAGTCTGCAGGTTTGCTGCGGTAGGGGTACTTTTACCAACCATAATTAAATTATCAGTAAACATAACATGGGGGACGAGGAACTGTGGCTAACAATGTTGCTATTTTTGATAAACTAACGTCAGATACATCTTTTGATAAAAGATACACCTTAAATAGTGAATTTCATTACAAGATTATAAAGTGAGTCATCGCATATCGCATATTAATTTGAGACCATACTGTTTAAAGTGCGCTATTTATGGAGCACTTTAAATACGGTCGAGAATATTTAATGATTTACTTGCACACGTGTTTTGAACGTTACTTTTCTCTACACTACAAAGACAATTGTTTTTTCCTACAGTCACCCTACAAAGTTGGCTTCCTTGTACTGTTTATAGTACAGAAAGCTGCTAATTGCTGCATATTTATACTTTGCCGTACGGTTTATACTTTGCCGTACGGTTTATACTTTGCCGCACATCAGGATTCCAACGAAACAACACAAAACAGCGTGGTTCCATTATGCACGTAATCCGTGTACGCTTGGAAATAGGTTGGCAACACTTAAAGATATTAATACTATGAGCAGCTGATTGACTATTATAACTACGATTTAACCTGTCATTTCGTGTTTATAGTTTCGGTATTTCTGAACTTTCTGGACTTTACTTTTAAACGTTTTTAAAACATTCCTACGATCTTAATAAACAATAAAATACCTTTAAAGCATTTTTTTAGGCGTGGAAACCACTTCAAATTACAAAAACATGCGGAACTATATTCTCAAAACGCGGAGCACATTTCTTGCCGAGGAAAAATAGCGGAGTGATACGGACCACGGGTACTACTTTCTCTAGGGCACCATTTGTGTTGCCAGCTGAACCTAAAAACGTGTTGCATAGTGTTTGAAAGACTAATTATTTATATGCTTTATAGTGACTGTAGGAAAAATATAATGTGTAACACGAGTGAAAAAGGCCTTTGCTGCACTCGAGATCATTCCACACTCGCCTGCGGCTCGTGCGTAAACATTGCTCTCGTGTGCAGCAAAGTGCCACTTTCACCACTAGTTACACAAATAACTATTTATTAACAATAGACATTGGAATATTTCTTAAGCTAGGAACATTTCAAAGCCAATAGAATTTTTTAGGTTAGGCCTTCTATAAGTTCAAATTTACATTTATTGTACAGTTTTGGTTGTTGCAAATTGAAACAGTTGATGCAACAATAACAAAAATGTTTGTTTGTTTATGTCGGCAAAATAAAAAAAAGTAAACATTACTTTTGCATAGTAAACATTCTTTTTACCCTCTTTTACTCGTAGTAAGAACGATACTTTTCACTACACCACACAGACAAATTATTTTTTAAATTAAAAAACACACATTGTCATATTTCTTTATTATAGTTATGAACATTTCAAAACTAATAGTATTTTTAGGTTAGGCCTTCTATTTACAATGGTGGCATGTCCATTTTAGTTTATGAAAAAATAACAAATGTCTTTTTGTATCTCGAAATAAAATTAAACATTATTAATTTTTTTTCACAGTAAACATTTATTTTGCGCAGTAACAATGAATTTTCTAAGGTGAACCATATAAACGCCATATAACGAAACCATTGATTTCACAGTGTAACTAAAACAATATTTCTGTTTTATTTTATTTGAACAGGGTTGAATATTTTTTTAACTTTGAAATGTTTGGGGAAATAAGTAAAAGTGTTATCAGGAGGTTCTTACTACTTGTTGAAGAATAAAGATTGTTTGCCTTGAATGAGTAGGCTTTATTTAACACAATTCAAGTAATGGAATTCATAAGTAAGAGTTAAATCTAGAGAATGAAATAATGATTACAAACATTCAACATAAACAAATAAAATAACAATGTCCAACAACAGCTGGGAATATTTTCTATCACATTCTTCCCCGCTAATATAATTTAAAGTCTTTAAGGTGAGAAGGTAGTTTCTTCTGTCTTGAGCTTCGTCTCTGTGATTGTGTTTCATCAGTCCTTAAGGTTTGTAGAGGCTCTTGAGTTGCAGATTCTTCTATCACCTCTGCATCGGGATGAGACACATCCTGGGTCTCGTCTACTAAGTTTACATCGCTATTAAGTTCCATTGTGTGGTTCTCCGGTGTTGATTCATCATCAAAATCTGTTCTCTCAGCTTGTTTTCCACAAGGAGCTAAGTTGCGTGTAGACACTGTTGTCTCACGCCCATCTGGCAATCGTACATGAGCGTAATCAGAGTTTCCTTCCAGCAATGTCACCTCCTGCACTATTGGTTCATACTTAGAGTTTCTGATAGGACGTCTCATCAACACTTTTCCAGGAGTCATCAACCAGGTTGGTGTGGAAACACCATTCTGTGATCTTCTGGGATGTCCAAACATTCGTTCATGTGGCGTACAATTCGTGGCAGTACAAAGCAAGGATCGGATAGAGTGAAGAGCTTCATCCAGAACTAATTCCCACTTTGTCACGTCAAGTTGATAGTTCTTAAGGGCAAGATCTACTGTTCTCCAGATTATACCATTATACCTCTCAACCTGGCCATTACACTGAGGGTTGTAAGCAGTAGTCCGACTAGAAGCAATGTCGTTTAAAGCGAGAAACTCCTTTAGTTCTTTTGAAAGAAAAGAAGATCCCTGATCGGAGTGAATGTAGCTAGGAGTACCGAACAATGAAAATAACTGTTTCAGTTTGCAAATAACAGTCGAAGAGGACATATCAGGACAGGGGTACGCAAATGGAAATCGTGAGTACTCATCAATGATTGTTAGCATATACCGATTTCTTGTAGAAGAGGGAAGAGGACCCTTAAAATCCAGGCTAAGACGTTCAAACGGTGATGTTGCTTTTATTAATTTTCCATCATGTTTGAAGAATCTTGGTTTTACTTCAGAACATACCTTACAGGAAGCAGTCATTTCTTGGATGTCTATTGAATCCACAGAAGAAACATCTGTTATTACTCCCAGAAGTAGCGGCTATGGTTGGATTATTTGTATCATCGTCTTGAACGATTGAGTTTTCTTGTTTTATAACTGAATTGAGATTTGAGCTGGGTTGATATAGGAGGGCTTGTTGTTGTGCACTTTCCAAACAACGGGCCTGTTCATAAGCATCTTGAAGAGGCAGCTTAAAGTTCTCTAGCAGTCTCTGGCGAATGTGTGGAGCAATCAGACCATTTACAAATGCATCTCTAATGCAGTCATCTCTATTTTCTTCTGCAGAAGTAGCTTTAAAATTGCAGTCTTTGCTGAGTATCTTTAAAGCTTCTAGATATTGGTCAACTGATTCTCCTGGTTGTTGCTGTCGAGTAGATAACTTATGGCGAGCAAATACTTCGTTCACTGGCTTACAATATAGATTTTGAAGATTACCAATTGCATCTTTAAAATTCAAACATTCACTGATATAAGTATATACTGAAGGCACCACATAGTTGATTAGAAGTTTCAATTTCTCAGATTCATTTGCTTCTGTCACTTCAATAAAATTTGTAAATGTCCTGAGCCAGTGATTCCATTCCATTGCTGCTGTAGAAGAGTTTGGATCTATTGAAAGTTTTGCTGGAGCAAAATGTTTTTCCATGATTGCAGATATTGTGTTAAATAAATTGTTGAAGAATAAAGATTGTTTGCCTTGAATGAGTAGGCTTTATTTAACACAATTCAAGTAATGGAATTCATAAGTAAGAGTTAAATCTAGAGAATGAAATAATGATTACAAACATTCAACATAAACAAATAAAATAACAATGTCCAACAACAGCTGGGAATATTTTCTATCACACTACTGTTTCTTTCATATAAGGAAATTCGCTAAAATGTAATGTTTATATTCCTCAACCGACAAGTTTGTTATCTTTTATAGATCCATTCAACCTGCTCTAGGTCATTTGTCTTATCAAATTTTACCATCGTTCGAACTTCCCCATGAGCTTTACTCCTTTGTAATTTTTCAATTGATTATTTCTTTCTTTTGTTAGTCAAACCAAAATAAATTCTAAAGTGTTTATTGAGTTTGATTTTATAGATAGGTTATTTTATTTTTCATCCTGTATGAGTCAAGTCTGTGTATATTTAGGAGGTCAATGTAATATATAGCTGTACCAAAAAGGCTTCATTAAAATACAGTATATCTCCTTAAAAATGGCATACTTTTATTCCCTATTTAAATAACACTAGTTTAACGAGTACTTAGGTTTGCTGCTACAGGAAAGGCAATGAGAGGTTTTTAGAGTTAAATTTTTATCGTATAGAAAATAAATAAATTTTCAAAATTTGTTTGTAAACAAGCAAACGACAAAAGTTTACTGATTCTCCATAAGAAAAACATAAGAATTTCTAATTTACAGTTTTTTTTATATATTTTCTCCGTAAGCATCAGGCATACAACAATACTTATTTCAATATGCACATTTTTTTAGCTCTACAAAATAGTCTGGAAAGAAATTGCAAAATTGTTATGTTTTTAGGGTCAAAAATGGGAAACCCCATTTTTACCCCCATAAACCCCCTTTCCCATAGTCCTACCTCGTTGCGCGAACTCGTTCGAATAAATGTAGGTTCACACGTTTATACCAAATTTAATCGAAATCGGATCATTTTCGCACGAGTTATCGTGCTAACGGACATAAATACAGGGTTAGTAAAAAGTGTGGAGACCCCCTGTTATTTTTTTAACGGCCCATACTAGAAAAAGTAAACTCGGCACACCTTTATGACATGTTATGAAGTACTTTTTGGGCATAACCGTCACTTTGTGTACATCCCCAAAATGGGGGATTTTGGGGGAAACTAAAAAATGTCTAATACAAAGACCCATCGAGTGACCCCTCATTTTGAAGGTACTGGTAAAAAAAAAACCAACAACTTAGAGGTCTTTATCTCAATTCAGTAAAAAATGGCAGCCAATTGAAATTCTCAGAAGTTCAATTTAACTTACAGCTTTCCAAGTCTGGAGACCTGCTGTAAATTTTCTAGCGGCTCACACTAGGAAAACTAAACTCTACACACCTTTTTGGCATGTTATGAAGTACTTTTTAAGCCTAATAGCCACTTGCTTACCAAACCCAAAATGGGGGATTTTGGGGGAAACTCAAAAGTTTTAAATGATAAGCCCCATCGAGTGACCCCTCATTTTGAAGGTCCTGGTAAACGAAAACTAACAACGCAGACTAGAGGTTTCTATTTCAATCCAGTAAAAAATGGAAGCTGATTGAAATCTTTAGAAATTGGAAATAACTTGCAATTTTATGTTCAATTAGCTGCCATATTTTACTGTGTTAAGATAGAGACCTATAGTTGGCGTTGTTACTTTTCTTTTATTATGACCTTCAAAATGAGGGGTCACTCGATGGGGCTTATCATTTAAAACTTTTGAGTTTCCCCCAAAATCCCCCATTTTGGGTTTGGGAACTTATGAGAATTTCAATTGGCTGCCATTTTTTACTGAACTGAGATACATACCTCTAGTTTGCGTTGTTGGTTTTATTTTACCAGGACCTTCAAAATGAGGGGTCACTCAATGGGTATTGGTATTTAAAGTTTTTTAGTTTCCCCCAAAATCCCCCATTTTGGGGATGAACACCAAGTGGTGGTTATGCCCAAAAAGTACTTCATAACATGCCGTAATGGTGTGCCGAGTTTAGTTTTTCTAGTATGGGCCGTTAAAAAAATAACAGGGGGTCTCCACACTTTTTACTGACCCTGTATATAATACTGTATAGCTTAATCGACACGCCGAGTATATTAATTTAAAATTAGCAACCTCTTCGTGGGACATTCTGTAAATTGGAAATTATACATAAACACAAGTGAATATATGATTGAATGAATTAAAACGGATGGTGTTTTTTGGCCTGTGGGGGCCTCAAAACGAAATACCCCCGCCGCAGAAAACCTGCCGTCCAAGCGAATTTCCATTTGCCTGAATTGATTATCAATTAATCTATTTATAACATTAGGTTTAACGAGTACCTAGGATTGCTGCTAGAAGGAAACTAAAAAAGTGTGTTTTTAAGTAAAATAATTATAGCTTAGTATAAAATCATTAAATTTGCCAAGTTTGATCAAAATATATCCATAAACTAGCAAACTACAACATTTTACAAAAATCGGTCCCGGGTCTAGGTTTTACCATGAGTCCTACGGTAATAGCTACTTCCCTATAGGGAAATTCGCTAAAAGTATATCGGCCCCTTGTTCAGGTCTGTACCATAAGACCTGCCGTAATAGCTTATTGCCTATATGGGAAATTCACTAAAACTAGGTACAATAAAACACGGAACACATAAAATAAGAACACTGCGATATCACTTATGGCGTGCGACGTGCGACGTGTCAGCAGTCTGTAATGTAACTTTATCCGAACGAGATACTGTAGTGGCAACGAGCCTTGTAATCTACAGGTGTATGTATATGAGCATATTAGGTAAATGTTGCATATTACATAATACATAACAATACATAATTAATTACATAGTAATTATATTACGGAATGTTTTTTAAATTTAAGTTCAAACAAATTATTACGTCCTGTTAAAACATGTCCTTGCACTCTTTAGTTTAGAATCCGGTTTTAAACCCCATGATTCTGGATTTTACTTCAAAAATCAAAGTTATAGAAAACAGTTTGACGATACAATATGAACCATTCTTGACCTACAACGTGTTTGGTAGAATTTAAAATATCTATCCATGTCCGACAACTAGTGTTTAAGCTTGGGAATGGGTAGGGAGTTGAATCTTTTTTTTTAAAGGATGCAACAAGTGAATTTCTTGTTTAAGGTCAGTAATGGATGCAAAGCCAATCATTTACGTATTCTCTTGTTCTCCGTCTGCGTCTGACGGACGGACTCTTGTTCATCACGTTGACTATAATGAATTGGTGTTTAACTAATAATTTCTAGGTTTGTCCCAGTTCTTTCATCTTCATGCACGTGTTACAGGTAGTCGGTTGGGGCCGGGTAGGAGCGAATGGACCAGCAAGTGAAACCCTTCTTTACAACACGTTGACTGTAATGTCAGAGGCTGATTGTAAACAAGTACTTCCTTACTATACTCTGGTGCATGAAAAGTTCTGCGCTTATAAAAACAACTCAGGTAAATACAAATGATTCTAAAGTCTAGACATCTAAGGGATGAAAACGGCATTGTAATGAGAGGGAGTCAATTAAATTATGTTCTGGGACTACCCCAATTAGACGATTTTTAAAATGTAAGACAAAGAACATATACATATCCATACTGTTTTACTACTTGCTCTGGTATAGCGCAATCCCTTCTGGGAAAAATAAGAGGCGTGAAACATGGAGGATGGTGGAGAACAGGAGTTTTATATTTGGAACCAAAGATACTTGAAATCATTCACTTGCACTTGTGTTTATGTATATTACATTCAATTTACAGAATTTCCCGCGAAGAGGTTGCTAATTTTAAACCAATACTCGACATGTAGAACAAGCTACAAACATGAAACTCTACAATTATAATAAATGTATATGTAAAAGAATAGCCCTAGCGTCTCATTTGATTCTGTTTGGTCAGAAAATAATGCGGAACAACAAAATAACAACAAAATTTGCAAAAAGGTTTGCTAGAGTGATTTAAAATGGTGCATGGCAATTTCGTGATCAGTTTGAATACATTATTATGAATCAAATTAAATTCATTTATAACTTTTTCTACTGTCCTATCTCTTTTAAGAAACTTTAATTTTATTTTGCTGTGGAATTTAAAGTATGTATAGTGTATAATGTGTTTGGTATATTAGTTTAAAATAGCAACCTCTTCGTGGGACACCCTATGTTCAGTAAAAAACTACTAAATCTATATAAAAATCTAATGGTGTCCGTCTGTATATGTATTACTATTTAGTGTAAAATCTACTGAACTGACTGGGCTTAAACTTAACAAAAATATAGCTACCATACCAAGGATTGTAATAGGACTATTCACACTTCGATACTGACCGTGGGCTTTGGCCCTTTGGCTTTCAAAGTTCTGAAGTGAGGATTTTAAAAGTAAATATTGTTTGGTCTCCATTTTTTTTTTTTTTTTTAGGGTGAGGAGGGAAAATGCTTTTACGCACACAGGTAGCCAGCCTGTAGTGTGAGACTCCTGAGTTTATCACAGACTACTCACTAAAAAACCCCCTCTACTCTGTTGGACACAGACCTGGAATTGTTTGTCACATTACTTCAAGTCAGGCCAACATGTGACCTAAGCCCACAGGGCTCGCACCGTTTCTGGCATTATTTATTTTTTGACCTACACCGCATCCCGGTCGAGGTCAAGCTTCTTGGCACGGAGAACACCCTGGATGTAAAGTGACACACAGGTCCAATTGTCCTCACCCTCCATCATCATCGGTATGACCGTGTCCACCGACAGCAGTCCTACGAACTGTTGAGCCTCTAGGCGGGGCCTTTCCCAATGCTGGCAGTGGAAGAAAGTGTGTTCCACGTCATCGGGAATGCCTGGGCAGTATATGCAATCGGGTGACACGGCTTTGCCCATCCTGAACAAGTACGACCGGAAAAAGCCGTGACCCGTCAGAAATTGGGTGAGGTAGAAGTTCACCTCTCCGCACCGCCGATTAACCCAAGGTTGGACCTGTTGTATCAGTCGCCTGGTCCAGAGCCCCCTTGTCTCCTGTTCCCAGCTCTCCTGCCACAGCTGGAAGGTCCGGGTGCGTTCCTCAATACTTGCCTGGTCCTCCCCACGGCGCTGATAAATTGCCCTCCTCTCCGCCGCCAAAAGTTTGACGGGGATGACTCCAGCAACCACCAGGACGGCGGGTTCGGACACTGTTCGATAGGCAGATGCTACCCTTAGTGCTGCCTGACGCTGCACTCGGGCGAGCCGCATTCTATATACCTCCTTATTGAGAGCGTCTGCCCAGACCTCCGCACCGTACAGGAGCACTGACTGGACCGCAGACATCAACAGCCTTCTGCGGCTGGACCGTGGACCTCCGACATTGGCCATTAACCGACTAAGGGAAGAAACCATTTTAGCGGCCTTGTCCGCCGTACGGGTGATCTGGTCTCGCCAGCTGAGCTTGCTGTCCACCATGACCCCAAGGTACTTTGCGGCACGAGTGGTTTGGACTTCAACGTTCCCCACCATCAAAGGCACGATGGTGTCAATCCTCTTTTTAGTCAGAATGACAATCTCAGTTTTGCTCAGAGCGAGCGAGAGACCATGTTCTGCCATCCATGCGTTAATGGTTCGCATGACTCGATTTAGTTTCAGCTGGGCAAGCTCAATGCTACGTGCAGCTATTAAAGCCGCAACGTCATCTGCATACCCAACTAGGACAGTTTCCTCAGGCATCTCGGATCTCAAGAGGCTGTCGTAGGCGACGTTCCAGAGGTCCGGGCCCAGTATGGATCCTTGAGCAGCACCAGAAGTTACATCCATCGTCCTGGAGCCTTCTGTAGTGTCGTAAATGATGAGGCGGTACCGGAGGTAGTCCTCTATCATGCGCATGAGGTATGCCGGGACGTGGAAAGTGTTCTCCAGTGCGTCGAGCATATCGCACCACCTCGCGGAATTAAATGCGTTTCGCACATCAAGTGTTACAAGCAGCACAACCCGACGAGAATAGTTGTTAAACTCCTCAGCTCTCATTACGGCTCGCTTTACCTCCTCAATAGCGTCAACCGTTGACCGTCCCTTCCTGAAACCGTACTGACGAGGGGATAGATTCCCTGCAGCAACCACGGCTGAATTCAGTCGGGAACGGATCAACTTTTCCAAGACTTTCCCAGCAGTGTCCAACATACAGAGAGGTCTGTAAGAGGAGGGTTTGGTCTCCATGGCCATGGCCGTAATGAAAAGATTCACAATGTTTACATTTGCTTCGACATTTCAATGTAAACAAGAATAACTGCCAAATTATTGCTTATTTCACAATTTTCAGACAGCTGATCCAAAGAAATTAAATATGATTTTACACAGCTATGTGGTAGGTTTATTTAATCTAAATCTTTATCATAGATTATTTATTCTAAAACTATGTTAATGATGTTTATAATTCGTGTCCTCTTCCCGTTGCAAAGCACGGGTATAACAGCTAGTAGGCCTGTACTATAAATATAACATTTCATATTCGACGTAATGATTGTTATTAATATTATTAAGAAAGCTAAAATAAAGCCAATAATTACAATCAACCGTTATAGAGTTGACATGTCTCTTAGATTTTTTATTCTTAAATAAAATAAGGCAGAACGTGGAAGAATAATTATTTAATCAACATGACATAAACATTTGTGTTACAGAACATTAACCTTCGACAGAACTCACTCTTGTAAACATACATGAATTGGTACAACAAAGGAATTCATATACAATTCAGACAAGTAGGGGTAAATTTAAATAATCATGTGTTAGATGTGTTGGCTGATGTATTATATAATCTTAGCAATGTCCACTTAGCCTTAGGTGGGTCACACACATAATATGCATCTCGCACGGTGCGAGTAGCATTTCTGATGCCAAGTAGCACTGTGCGAGATGATTCACGCTGCATGGTCGTGGCACGTGCTAGTAGCATCGAAGTATATAACACATACTTTGATGGCTAGTAGTGGCTGGTAGCAAGGTGACTTGATGCTCACACACTGTTAAACTTATGTTGAGGTTATTTCGGATATATTTGTGGCCCACCTTTCTTATTTTCCCCTCATTTTTCGATCGAAAATTTTGTCGTAGTAAAGTATGTGTTACACTCAAATTCCGAACTCGGACAATGTCCGAAATCTTTACCCACTTCGCGATGTGGACAGTGTGAAATACCCACGTCATGGAGTGAGCATTTATTCGGACATTGGCCGAAGCGAAATAGCCAGACCGCGTTGTGGGTAAATTGATTTACTCAAATGCCGAAGTTTAAACGTTCTTCGGCGATTTAGTAGATCCAAATTACCCACAACGCGATGTGAGAAAAAGTAAGTGACCACGTCGGGTTGTGGGTATTTCTAGTTTGCGCAGACCCCAAATTCTCGTTCTCATAGACTTCCATAACGAAGACATAAATATACAGAAGTTAGCATACCTTTGTGCACTCTTCACACCAGAAAATCTGCAATTGACACAACACTGGAAAACTGTGTAGTTTCCTTAAAAATCCAGACTCAAAAAATGTCCAGAACACGGAAAGAAAATTAATCCCAGTTTCAGTCGGAGATAATTTCAATTTGCAATGGTCAGCATTCATGTTGACCGGGGACTCAAAAACATTGAGTTCTGGACAAATAGATCTGAAGACCATTTACAATGGGACGCCAAATAAAATTATTTTCACCGTGGATGGACATGATGAGCAAGTAAACGTACGCAAAGAAGCAATGATGTAATCGAATCCAAGCCAGGTTTTATCAGGTGTGGTTGCAAGAGGAACTGTTTAGGTAAATCGTGAAAATGTATTGGGTTATACCGTTATACATAAAAAGTTAATGTATGGATCATAAACATAAACAAATGACGTTTTTGGCCCGAAAATAAACATTATTTAACATTGCTTAAATGGAACTGCCAAAACACATGTTCAATGCTATTAGTATAGGATTCGGGCCAACAACGTCATTTGTTTATGTTTATGATCCATGCCGGTATTTTTCTAGTATTCGTGGTAACAAAGTAGACGTAGGTAATGCACAGTAGTGTGCAATTGTCTCTGTTTTAAGGTTGCTAGCATAGCGGAAAAACATTACAGTATTTCATAGTATGTATATTTATTAACGGGCATTTTTATGATTTTTCCTATTTGGTAGTTTGCTGTTTACCTGCATTTTTCTAAAATGTTATTTATACTCGTTCATTAAATAAATATAATTGTAAACGTAATTAAATTTTATTTTACCTAGTGATTGTAGATTTCATTTAGATATTTGTGTATGCGTTAGTTTTGTACATGCTATTCTATTTAGCATTTGCACAAACTAGAAATATCCACTACCCGACGTGGGCAATTACTTTTGGGTATTTTTGATTTACTCAGTCGCCGAAGAACGTTTTAACTTCGGCATTTGAGAAAACTAGTTTACCCACAACGCGAACGCGGTTTAGGGATTTCGCTTCGGCCAATGTCCGGAACAAATTCTCACTCCGCGACGTGGGTATTTCACACTGTCCACATCGCTAAGTGGGTAAACGTTTCGGACATTGCCCGAATTCGGAGTTTAAGCGAAACATATATACTGGTCTTATTTGTATATCTTGTGAGTCCATATGAAATGAGTTCCTATTATGTGAGTTTCAATTTGTTGCAGATTCTACGACCCAGCAAGGGGACAGTGGAGGGGGTCTGACCGCCGTCTACAGGGATGGTTTACATTACATTGTGGGCATTACCAGCACTAAGCATAATTTGGTCGTTTCTGTGTTTACAAACGTCAAATATAGACATCATATCACCTGGATTCAAAATCAAAAAAGACTATTCGAAAACCTGTATTCCAGTTGACTAGTACTTATAATATTTAACTTATGAGTTTACGTAAAGCTTTCCTACCTGTCTTGCCTTTTAAATAAATCTTTGTACAATTAACATGAAACCATACAGTACCAATAGTCAATGGTACAACCAACCACAAGTTAATGCCAATCCATGTACATCATTTGCTCGAGGACTTGTCAGGTAATGATGGAGGACTTCTCAGTTACCACATCATAAGACAGAATTTATCCATTCAGTGATCAACTAAGCTATAGTTACTAATGTAGTTATATTCTAGTACCAATGTGGTATTAATAATTTTGAAATAACACATTTCCCAGAATGCCGCTATTTTACCTTGGATGACGAGTAAGTTATGTGCATAAATCCTTCTGCATAAATGAGATATAGACCTTTAACCAAAGCTTATGTTATATTTACTCCTTAATTGAAAGGAAGGGGGTTTGTAATGAAATCCGTTCATAACGTTGAGGATTAATTTAACTATAAGAATGTGTAGAATTTAAATGTACAAACAATTCTTGAACCAATTTTACATTAACCATAGATTAAATACACTGGTGACAGTTTAAACACTCACTAAAATCCAAACAAAGTACGACGAACAATTTATAAACTTGAAACGGAGTTATATCAATGATTTCGCCAAATAACCGAATAACAAGGGTTTTGCAACCATTGTTATAACGGAACATCGATATTTCATGTGGCTGTTTTGCAATACAATAATTTTTTATGGATATATTGGATGCGTCATTTTGTTTGGAGTAAAAGAATTTCGTAACTCAACATAACTCAATTTCGTAAAAGGATTGATTGAGAACCTCAGAATTTATGGAGAAAATTATATTCAATATCAGTGGCCATTGTCGATCTTCATTTTACCTGATGGTTTAGTGTATATGAAACACAAAAAGATAGTCTGGAAACTTTCACAAATCGAATATAGTTTAGTAGATTGTTAGTTTGCGTTATTTTCCACGCATTTAAAAGGTTACCAACCCATCCACACTCAGGATTTTTTAGCTTCCTCCTAATGTTCCTGGTTTCACCCATAAATGTTTAAGAACATATTTTTAAGTATGATATGGTTGGTAGTTATGTTGTATATCCTCGTTTTCACCGCCAGTTGCCTACGTTATCTCCGCACCAAGTATTGTGTAAAACCAAACGTCTCCGTTATTCTGAACTCTTCGCTATCTTTATGTCCAATATTATTCTGAATGTTACATTTCCCTCTACAAAGACGAGTACAAGTATTTAAATAAATTTATTTATTCACAAAAGCTTGGTTTGTAGGAAAATCCCGTTTTGTCTTAGCATAATTTTACTTCTAAGCTAGCTACTTAATAATGAATTACTTTTAAGCTCAGTTTGCATGCTAACAACATTCCATCCAACATTCTATAGAGTAAGACATTTTTTTTGGTGTTTTAAAGACATAAAATACTAAAGATGTTATGAGCGTTTTATGTAAACTATTAGTGGAAATAACATCATCTCAGCATTTGTAAACCATACTGTAAACATTTTCCTCGCATAATGGTTTATGATATTTTATTTAACCCACTAAAGGTACATATAGACGGTAAGTGTTTTAATTTGTATATGAAATTACAGTGTTCAAACGATCAGAGACAACTTGTTAAACTTGTTGTTAATATAATCCCTTGCTCGATTAATAAGGTAAATGTAAGGTTAATTAGTGTTTTGTTAATTCAATGCTACAGCAGTAAAACATAAATTAACATTAACCTTTTCATGCAACAAAATGTCTTACCATTTCATTAAATATAATCCAAAGGGCTACGGATAAGAGTAATAGTTTCACAATTGAAAACACAATACCATTTACAAATGCCCTGTGGTAGTATTTACCATGGTGCAGAGACATTTTTATTATTGACTATGAATGTTGTGAACTGGATGTACTGAGGTAACTACCGGTATCGTTAAATATTTAGAGTATTCTTAACGAGTGACTGTATAATCATAATTAAGTGATAATTAAGTGATGCAAATTGGTTAGGGAATTAGACCACGTTGCATGCAGAAAACATTCGTTTCACATTTAAAGTACGTGAAATCAATGCAGCGCTAATACCATATGTTTTACTAGCTACCAAGGTCACTCTCATTTAAGACGGTATGTAAATAAAATTGTCGCTAGTGTTCAGCGAAACCTTCGGACCAAATTTAAGAAGGAGACTTATTCTCATCGAAACTGCATAGCTCGTTGGATGAGGTGATTCAAGGCAACTGTATGTTTGTGCACCGGGAAGAGTTGGCCGTCCTCCTCCTCAGACTCCGCCAGCTGCTGTGGACAGAATTGAAGCTAAGTTTGCGCGGATTCGAAAAACCCCCGACAGTTAAAGCTACAGTAGTAGGGAACTTCACTTACCGCAGTCACAGTCTACGGTTTTACGCAAGCATTTGAGACTAAACCCGAATAAACTGCAGTTATTACAAGCATAGCAGTTAAATTCAAGCATTAAATCTTACTGATAAGCCAAAACACACACATTTTTGCCATGATAGCTTTGATTCGTTTTTTTTTTATGATATTCTTCGATTTTTTGACGTTGGCATTCTTCGTGGTACTCAACTAAGCATCTATTAGGCTAATAAGCATAACCTTGTTAAAACAAACTTATAAATACGCCCTTTCTATTGGTGTAACAATCAGCTATTTGAAATCACGGAAGCATACGTACCAACCATTTATAATTTCGCACCATTCTTTTTAATAACCACGTATTTTGTGGCGATGGACAGCGATAGGTTGAATAGTATTCCTAGTAAGAAATAAGAATATACACTGATTCTCCGCATTGCACGTAGTGACAGCGAAACTCCTTACAAAGTGGCATTCAGTTCACTAGAATTAGTTTTCATAGCAGCTGATTTCTCAACCTTTTACTTTGTAATTTTCTTTTCTTCAGTTGTCATCCATAATAATAGTGGGGTCGTATAGCTGCATATAGTGGCAGAATATTTCAGTTCTGGCAGACAGGCTGCAATTTTAGGTGGTTATAGTACTGTATACAAGTTTCTGAACCTAAAACCGCCCAGACCCCAATTTTTAAGGACCTCAAGTGGTTGAATACATTATCTCGGCCTGGGTTGAAAATGGTCAAGTTTCATCAAGTCATTTCAAAATGGCGGCTGTTCAAAACTAAAAAAAATTATGAGGAAAATAATTGTGAATTGTTTTATACAGGGTGAGTTTTAAAAGAGTTCCCCCCCTACTTTTTTATACATTTCTTAAGATATCAACTTTGAACCATGTCAGATCATTGTAGAGTAGCAAGTACTTCATTTTGACTGGGTTTACATTTTTGGCCGCCATCTTGGATCCGCCATTTTGGATACAAAGTTATTTTTTCAAATGTAAAGATAGGGTTGTGACCCACCGTTTCAAACAAAACCTTTACGCTGAATACGATGCTGCAATCCGTTTAAAAAAATGTTGATCAATTCTAAAGTTATGAGAACTTTTTATAACGTTATTTTTAGTCCATTATAACATTGTGCATTTACAAACTAAGGCCATAATCTCAAAATAGTGCTAGATAAAGATAAGTAGACACCACCATTCATTGTTGACCTATTTTCACTCGGTTAAGACGGATGTATTTTTTTCAGCCGCCATCTTGGATCCGCCATTTTGAAATGTGATAAATTATTTTAAATATGAAGGTGGTGTTGTGACCCATCATTTTGAACTACTTTTTTATGTTGAATTCAATGCCGCAATCCGGTTTTCATTGTCATGTTTGGTTTTTGAAATATTAACATTTTATATCAAATTAATTGTTATATTTTATTAAGAAAGCTTGATAACAAAAAACTGATAAAATAAAAACTAGTCGAAATGAAGTAATCGCTACTCTACAATTATCTGACGTGGTTCGGAGTTGATATCTTAAGAAAAGTATAAAAAAGTAGGGGAGGAACTCATTTAAAACTCACCCTGTATAAAACAATTCACAATTATTTTCCTCATAATTTTTTAGTTTTGAATGGCCACCATTTTGAAATGACTTGATGAAACTTGACCATTTTCAACCCAGGCCGACATAATGTATTCCAGCACTTGTGTGCCAAATTTCATGAAAATCGGTTCAGGCATTCGGTCTTTATAGCCAATTCATGGGGACCCAGCATCCTCTTACGGCCGCCATTTTGATGACGTCATTACGGACGACCGAGGTCCTTAAAAATTGGTGTCTGGGCGGTTTTAGGTTCAGAAACTTGTATACAGTACTATAACCACCTAAAATTGCAGCCTGTCTGCCAGAACTGAAATATTCTGCCACTATATGCAGCTATACGACCCCACTATTATTATGGATGACAACTGAAGAAAAGAAAATTACAAAGTAAAAGGTTGAGAAATCAGCTGCTATGAAAACTAATTCTAGTGAACTGAATGCCACTTTGTATGACAACTGTTGGCAAAATAGGAGTTTCGCTGTCACTACGTGCAATGCGGAGAATCAGTGTATATTCTTATTTCTTACTAGGAATACTATTCAACCTATCGCTGTCCATCGCCACAAAATACGTGGTTATTAAAAAGAATGGTGCGAAATTATAAATGTTTGGTACGTATGCTTCCGTGATTTCAAATAGCTGATTGTTACACCAATAGAAAGGGCGTATTTATAAGTTTGTTTTAACAAGGTTATGCTTATTAGCCTAATAGATGCTTAGTTGAGTACCACGAAGAATGCCAACGTCAAAAAATCGAAGAATATCATTAAAAAAAAACGAATCAAAGCTATCATGGCAAAAATGTGTGTGTTTTGGCTTATCAGTAAGATTTAATGCTTTTTTACCAACACCATTTTTAGCTAACTTGCCTATAGGGAAGTAGCTATTACCGTAGGTAAGAACTAGGTAAGAACTGGCATGGTAAGAACTAGGCCTGGGACAATAATTGAAAGTGAAAGTGTAAATAATTGAAAAATAATTGAAAGTGTCATAATTTTGTTGACATTTTTTATCCTCTTATATTTTTTTTTAGTAAAATATTAATAACTTAGTATAAAATAAATAAATTTAACAAATTCGATCAAAATGTATACATAAACAAGCAAACTACAACATTTTACAACATTCTCCATAAGAATAACATGGGAATTTTAAAATAACAATTTTTTGAATTTTCTCCTTAACCAATAATTGTACAAAAACTCTTTTGTATACTAAATTATTTGTTTTTTAAGCTCTTTAAAAAGGTCTGCAGAGAAATTGGGAAATGTTGTGTACAGAGGGTAAAAAAAAACAATTTTTACCCAATAAAACCCCCCGTAAAACCCCGTTCCCACGGTCCGATCATGCTGGTTCGCGAACTCATTCAAGTTTATCCCGCCTTACACCTTCAAACCAAATTTCATCAAAATCGGACAACAAAATACTCAATATATCGCGTTCACGGACACACACATACAAATATATACATATATAAAAATTTGAACGAATGGTGTTTTTTACCTCTGGGGACATTAAAATGAAAAAGTAAATCGGTCCCAGGCCTAGTTCTTACCATGCCAGTTCTTACCTAGTTCTTACCTACGGTAATAGCTACTTCCCTATAGGCAAGTTAGCTAAAAATGGTGTTGGTAGAAATATTCTGCAACTTATAAAATATAGCGCTTTTTTTATTTGGTGATATAACTTATTTTCTTTAAATAAATTTACGTTTATTACCTTATTACTGAACTTATTTACTTAGCTTATACCTAAAAACGTAAATATTTATCAGAAACACCATTTTGCATGACTTACCGGTTATATCAAAAGAAAATATATAAAACCCAAAATACAGTCAGCCATTTTGAAAATCGTCACCATTTTGGAATATAGCAACTTTGGTCGGTGCCTCCCGATCTCATTTTCATTGCCTAGCCTTCATTACTTATTTTAAACAAACTACATTCCCACCGAAGGGCATACTCTTATCACAATTTGCAGTTTTCTTATGGTTTTTTTTTACTTTAGCTCCCCCACTATATTAAAAAATATAGATTATTAATCAATATTTTCAATTCGATAGTTTCAATCGACATTAGCATAGCCCAGTTAAGAAACTGTACCCCAAAAAAGAAAAATTATATTACACTATTGACTTTAGACTAGATTAGACTGACAACAACAAACTGCGTCGTCTGTCGAGTCGACTCGTCGTCTGCGTCTCTTCTTTCTCTTCCTCTCTTCGTCCGTGGTCCGTCTCCGTAGTTCGTCTGTCACTGTCGGTACCCTGTTGTTGAGTTCCGACTCAAGTTAGTGTCAAACATAATTTCAAAATATATGTTACATTTTTAAACCAAACGTTCATCATTAATTGTTTTATGAGATGTAAACTTTCCCTTTGATACATTGCCGGTACCAACATTCTGCATAGTTTCGCTACTTTAGGCTGTGGTTTATACACCTGACCTGAATCATTAACTAGTCCATATTAAAATGGATGAATTAATTTGATCGGACACTGTATCATAGGCTAATTATTTACGAAATAAGATTCTTCGTGTCGTGACAACTGTTTTCTTGGAAAGCTTCAGGTTAGAAGTTAGAATACCTAAATGTATATTGTTGACGTTTTGTTTTAGCATTGACTATTTTATTTTAGTAGGCCTAGCTAGAGCTAGGCTAGGAATAAGTTAAGTTGGCTAAAGGCTAGGCCTAGTTTTTTTTCTGTACTTAACATACCAAAAGTTTGTTATTTAACATAAAAACCAATTTCTTAACCTGGGACATGAGCTGAGTTGAGTCTCTATTACTTCGACGAACGAGTTAGGCTAAATAATTAAATTTATGTAAGATAACTCAATAAAGGTAGGACCTAAAGTAAAGAGCAGCCATGTTTGTCATTGTTGTAAGTTGTAGCCTACTTTAAAGTCATAACTTAAGATTACCCTACTCTAACTAACTCCCTAATCACTAATGTGTGGCATCATGATTAGCAGAGCCTTTATTTCATATCAATTAAACTTAGGCCTACAAACTATTAGCACAGAAAACGTACTACTATAACCCAGAATGCCAACCGCATGGTAAAAAGCATTAAGCGGTTTGAGAGAGCTTTGCCTGTCAATCCGTAGGCAGCGCCACCAGCGTTGCTATGCTATTGCATTTTAATTGGATTGAGTAAGTTAACTTTTTAGATAAGTTAGGGTAAGTTACCATGTATGTAGCTAATCTCATCAGGCATTTTTCCAAGCTAACTTTTTTATCCCCAACTGTGTGTCGAATGAGAATTACCTTGAAGAGGAAAATTCTTACATTTTAGGCCTAGTTTAATTGGAACAGTCATGTTCATCACGTTTTGGTAACTTAAGTTAGGCCTAATTATTTAACAAATTTTATCTGCTATTGATTCTACTCTCGCCATGGGGATCTTAAAACGTTATAACCAGGTTTTGTACTAGGGTATACTAAAAACATGAAAAATGCCCATAGTGTAACTAACAGATATTTTAAATAAAAGAGAAAAACACACTGATTGACTGATTAAGTTGCTTTATACCTATGTTTCCAGAACTAAGGAGAGTATTTAAAGAAGTATGGGAATATTCACGAGAGCCTATACCGTTTCTATGAAACTGATCATTTTGGTACTGGCAATCACATTTATACCTGGTATTCCTCCAGATATGGAGTTTGAGTCATACAGGTATGTCAAGTAAACTAAACTTAAGTTATTTTAAGTAACTAACACCTGCTGTTTGCATTTATGCAATAATTAAATGAGAAAAACCCCCTCTGTTGGGTTTCACTGTGGGCTGAGACAATAATTAATTTTCAGATTTTACTAGGATTGCTTTCACAGCAGTGAGTGGATTTTTCAGCAGCGAGTTGACCGGAGGGATCACGTTTTCTGATTTTTAATAAAGCAATAAATAAAAAAATGCTTACCTATAGATATAATGCAGAATACAAATATTTCATCAATTAATTTAACTTCTCAGTTTCGCTCAGAACTATCAACATCTTTAACAAGTGTCATTAGTAAATAGGCAAGTTATGTTGGGACATTACATCCTTTGTATCTCCTCGTGCTTAAGGTCATTTAGCTCCCCATCCAATGCCATTTAGTCGCCATCATGCCGCTGTGGGAAAGATCATTGCATGCGTACAATGTATTTTTTTTTTAAAGTGACGAGTCAAGATTGGAAACTCAACGATATTTAGACGTAACTTTTTTATTGGTCGTCATGTTGAACTTCCAAGTCGGAATACAATTTTAAGGTGGGCTTCTTATTTAGAACTAAAGGGTCAGTAACGAAAACAAAAACACCTGGAGCACGGTTTAGTGTGCTGTAGGAAAATGAGGGATTTATGAGCCATCAATCTTTGAATAAAAAAACTTCTGTCATTGTTAATTATTCTGCAGGATACATGAACATGATTTAAGATAATTTTTCATTCCCGACCTTAAAGGGTAGAAAATCTGCATCAAGAACATATAGTTTCAACAAGATGGGGCAACTGCTTACACGGCCAACATTTTGAATGTTATTTCGTGGGCATGTGATCTCATTGTTTGGTGATGTTGTGTGGCCACCGCGTTCACCGAACTTGTCAATGAATGACGTATCCTTGTGGAGTCCCATGAAGACAGGTGCTTAAAAAGAAAAACCACGTACTCTGGGAGAATTAAAGGCCACAATTAGGAGCCAAATTGAACGAATCAATGAATAGTTACTGAACAAAGTGTAACGTTTTCGAGCAATGCTTGAAGATGTGTGTCCGTTTCAATGGCCTCGATTTATGTGAGGTAATTTTCAAAACTTAAAATAAGATATTTTATTTTGTAGTTGGCATAACTTTTCCTTCATTTCTACGTTTAAAACTTAGCAATAGCCTTTTTAAATCCATCCGTTTCCCGTGGACCACCCTGTATATCCCAAGTGTGATTTTGAAGGTATTTAAAACAAAATTGCAATGAACATGAATAACAACTTGTATTACAGACATTGATTTGTTTCAGTCTATCGCCTCCCGTACCTTTAGAAGGGGCTCTTGCATTGAATGACCACTTAAATAGTGCAGAAAAGTTATTTATGAATGAAGTTAAAGGGCCAGAGCATATGGAAGTATACAATGGCACTTTATACACAACAATAGAAGGAGGCTATGTTGTTAAAATTGTTGGAGAAAAGATTGTACCCGTGGTAAAATTTGGACAAAAGTGTGGTGAGTAGTTTTTACCTACCGACCATTATAAATTACAATAATCCATAAATAACAAAATAAAACACATAAGTTAATTCTAAAAGCTATAATTTATCAATATACAACACTCCCTTGATAATCTGATTTGGTAAATTAAAGTGACTAAGCCTATAGTGAATTTACACGCCAATGCCTTGCTGTTTATTGTACGTTTAGTTACCTATAAAATCTATTCAAACTGCATGGTTTTTTTAACGATCGCTAACTATTCAACCAACCCACCAACGAGCTGATGCGTTTGTGTCAGCCAACACAGAAAACAATGTAAAATACAAAACATACTTTTATTTTTCTCCAATTTATAACACTAAACATATGTAGTGACTGAAACGTATTTACATCGTCTTAAAAGTACATTCGCACATCTTGCAAACAATTAAAGAGGTTGAAATTTTTGGCTGTCACAATATGAAAAATATACTTTTATTAGTTTTATTCGGTTGAATTTCTCTAAATTTAAAGAGGATCTCCACATTCCAGGCGATTATTATCTATAACTAAAGGTGTTAATCTTCATTTTTTTTTTTTCAGAGTTATGCCTTGGGTGTTATTTTATTATTGTAATTCATCATCAGCAGATACTATCATAAAGTTTTTTTATAAGACAATATATTATTATAAGAAGAAAGTTCAATTTTATTTTGTGAGAAATCCTACAGGTCCCCCTAATATAAATGTCATTTATACCCAAAATTGCTCTGAACCAGAATCTTTTGGTTTTCAATTAAGAATTTAAATTCAGTTATTTTATATGTTTTTAACTAATGTGGTTTACAGATGGTATTCATGAACCAGAGATATGTGGTCGACCTCTTGGGCTGAGTTTTGACGGAAACCAGAATATGTATGTAGCTGATGCCTATTATGGCATATTCAAAGTAAATCTTTCTTCAGGTGAGTCCCATGCAACGATATAAACAACTCATGGATCGCTGGCTCAGTGTTGGCCGCGCGGTCGAGCTTCCCCCACCATCTACTGGCAGAAGCCGGCGCAGCCCATACATTCACCATTATAAAACACACTTTTTATTTGCTGCTCTGTTGAAATTTATAGGGATAAAATATTGCTAACGCTTGTCAAACTCTTTTTACTAGTTAAACCTTTTATGTCTGTTTTGTTTCTTGCAGAAAATAGCCCATCTGAATTCTTTAAAACTGCAAATTCACTAAACCCATTTTGTAGATGTTTTTGACAACTGATATTGCTAGTTCCAAATTGTACATGGTAAAATAATAAGTGATTACAAAAGAGAAATAGAAAGTACAATATTTGTAATTGAAATTCTATTTTATTAATCGAAAAAATAGTACATAAACATTTTGAATAATTTTGCTAAGTTTTTGCCGCAGTGGTAACGTTATGTTTGACGTAAAAGCGATATTTTTTTTCTTTCAATGTTTAATGACAATGTATCTTACAAAATAGGTCATAAAAAAGTGTGCTTATCACGTTAATGTCAAGCGTAGATTTGCGGTAAAAACTAGACAAATGTAGTAGGGTTTTAAGAGTTCAAATGTGTTATTTTCTGCAAGAAAAGAAGAAGACATAAAGTTTAGAATAGTAAAAATCATTTGGCATGCATTAGCAATATTTTACATCTATATATTTAAACAGAGCAGCAACTTAAAAAGGTGCGATTTACAATGGTGAGCGTATGGGCTTCGTCGGCTACTGCCAGTAGATGGTGGGGGTAGCTAGACCGAAAACAGCGCCCGCAGTACTACTGAGAGCGCAATCCAGTAGTTTTTACATCGTTGGTCCCATGTAGCTTAAATGTATCTAGATTTGGGATTACAAATAGAGAATGTATGTGTTAGTTTTGAGAATTTACCTTTTTTAAAGTAGACATTAATACCAAAGCGGATGTGGCATTAATTCTAGTTGAGGAAACTTTATAATTACAATATATATTATAATGTAGGACCTTAATAAACAAACAGTGAGTCCTGTGTTCAATTTGAAGCTCACCAGGTAATGTATACAGTGTGTAAATTAAGTATTGAAACAAATCTGTTTTTTTTTTTTTAACCGAAATAGATAGAAATATTCTGTTTGTGGCAATAATTGTTAACAAAGGTCCTACAATTTTTACATCAAAAATATTATTTACCCCCCCCCCCCCCCCCTAACAGGGTAGGGGGTGACTTATTTTTTCAAATAGCAACCCCTATTGAGCGACCCCTCATTTTGAAGGATTTGTCAAAAGAAACACAATGAAGCAAACCCGAGGTGGATATCTCACCCCTAGCCAAAATGGGAGGTATTCCAAAATTTGATTTATTTTATGTGAAAAAGCACCAATTTCACAAATAATTGCAAGAAATCTGTAGGCCTATCTTTGAAACCGAAATAGATAGAAATATTCTGTTTGTGGAATTGATTGTTAACATAGGTTCCGCAATTTTTTACATCAACAATATTTTTTCAATCCCTTTAACATGGTAGGGGGTGGGGGTGACTTATTTTTTTATTAACAACCCCTATTGAGTGACCCCTCATTTTAAAGGGTTTGTTTAAAGAAAAACAATGACGCAAACCCGAGGTAGATATTTCAACCCTAGCCTAAATGGTGGGTATCCAAAATTTAATTTATGTGAAAAAGCACCCATTTTGGAATACCCACCATTTTGGATAGGGGGTAAGATTATATTCACCTCGAATTTGCGTCATTGTGTTTCTTTCGACAATCCCTTCAAAATAAGGGGTCACTCAATAGGGGTTGCTATTTGAAAAAAAATGAGTCACCCCCTACCCCCTAAACTGTTAGGGGGGAAAAAATATTTTTGATGTAAAAAATTACGGAACCTTTGTTAACAATCATTGCCGCAAACTGAATATTTCTATCTATTTCGGTTTTAAAAATACAGATTTGTTTCAATACTTAATATACAAACAGTATAACAAAAGCTTAATAGATTTAATAATGCAAGAGTAACCTAGGTCTTTTGTAAATAGTACTTTGAGTAGGTAATTCGAAATTACAGTATCATAAATAATGTATTTAATAGTTTGATGCCACAAAATGGTGTTTATGTAAAATGCATAAGAATCTACTATTTAATTATACCATGTATGACCATGTCACCAGAAGAATTCCTTGTCCAAAATTAAAAGGGAATAATTAATCCTGACAACAATTTTCTCAATACAGTAGTAGGTTTAGTAGTACTGTACATAATAACAAGAAATACAGTATATGAAAATTGAATGTAAGGTAAAAAATTTAGTGATTGTCCACCGGATCTGAGCTAGAACCGACGCCCGAAGGGATCCACAAAAAATCGGAACTAGGGCTGGATCCAGTTTTGATGGATGTGATTTTTTTGTATCAATTTGATTAACACAAAGCGTTCTTTATAAAGTGCAATTCATAAGAACAGATGTTTCATCAGTAGTGATTTATTTTAAAATAAAATCAATAGTTAAAAATGTTAAAATACAACTCCATATACAACAAGACTGTCTGTGTCCATGTACAAGACTATCAATGTCTATGTACAAGACTATCAGCACAGAAAACATACTACTATGTTTTCTGTGCTATCAGTGTCCATGTACAAGACTACCCATGTCCATGTACAAGACTATCAGTGTCCATGTACAAGACTATCAATGTCCATGTACAAGACTATCAGTGTCCATGTTCAAGACTATCAGTGTCCATGTACAAGACTATCAGTGTCCATGTACAAGACTATCCATGTCCATATACGAGACTATCAGTGTCCATGTTCAAGACTATCAGTGTCCATGTACAAGACTATCAATGTCCATGTACAAGACTATCAGTGTCCATGTTCAAGACTATCAATATCCATGTACAAGACTACCCATGTCCATGTACAAGACTATCGGTGTCCATGTACAAGACTATCCATGTCCATATACGAGACTATCCATGTCCATGTACAAGACCATCAATGTCCTTGTACAAGACCATCGATGTGAGGTGTTCATAATCCTTGGTTTAGACATACACCTCGAAATCATCGGATTGGGCGAATATTTTAGCTAAGTGGTTGATAGTGTATCCTATGAACATGCAGGTCACCAATGGCCGTTTTGCTACTTTTTGTTAAAATAGCCTTCCTCTCTATATCCCTTAGAGATTTTTAAAAACAACGATACTGTATATCGTTTCATAGCACTGAAAGGGTTAATGAGTGCCTAGGCTAGCTGCTACAGGGAAACTAATAAAGTGTGTTTTTTATTAAAATAGCAATAGCTTAATATGAAATAAATAAATCCGCCAAGTTTGATAAAAATTTATCCATAAATATGCCAACTACAACATTTTACAATATTCTCCATAAGAATAACATGGGAATTTTAAATTAACCAATCACCGTAAAAAAACACTTTGATATAGGTACTAAATTATTTGTTTTTTAAGCTTTTTAAAAAGGTCTTGAGAAAAATTATAAATTTTGTGTTTAAAGGGAAAAAATTAGAAAACCCCATTTTTACCCCATAAAACCCTGTTCCCATGGTCCGATCATGCTGGTTCGCGAACCTTCATACCAAGTTTTATCAAAATCGGACAAAAATTACTTTAGTTATCGTCTTGACGGACACAGAATTACATAATTATAATTATATATATATATATAAACATTTGAAGGAATGGTGTTTTTGGCCTCTGGGGACATCAAAATGAAAAAGTAAATCAGTTCCGGGCCTAGGTCTTACCATGAGACCTACAGTAATATCTACTTCCCTATAGAGAAATTCGCTAATACTTCCCTATAGGGAAATTCGCTAAAATGATACCCGATGATAAGTAGGATGATGTAAGTAAAAGCACGGCAATTGATAAGTTTAGCATATCTACTGGCGACAGGGAGGGGAGTAATGAAGAGTTCAGTCATTTCAGTGGTAGCCATTGTTAATTGGTTGTTATTTACATCTGTTCGACATATGTTGTACTGAAATGTTAACGTTTTGCAGTTTGCATAAAAGAATACTTATACAGTAGTTAGAACACCTCCAAATATGATAATCACATTTGCGTATTTGACTCCTTAGGTTCGGATAAGTGTGTACAGATTGGATGTCACACTGTTAAATCTTGACCAATGTTTTTTTTTTATTTAGTAATTGACACATTTTATTCATTTGGCTTGAATAGATACATTTTTATGATTTAATAGAACGATATAATGATGCAGCGTGATCTTGGTAAAGTAAAGGTCACATTTAGCGCAAATTACCACACCTAATTTGAGATAAAGTAATATGGCTTGTCCACTTGAATTTACTTAAAACCTTAAATTAATCTCGGCCCCCAAAAAATATTCTTGATCCACCATTGAGACCTACACTCTCTGTCAGTGAAAAACACGAAAACTTATTGTTATGATTGATTTGTTAGACCAACAAATACAAAGCAGTAAATGTGTCATAAGATACAGATTTTAGCAAAACACTTGACAGACCATAAGGTAACTTAGCCTATGTCAACAGACAAACACTTCACATGACACAGCATTTCCTCGCTCAAGTTTATAGCTTTGAAGTTAAGATGATCCACCTCACACGCTGTCTTGTCTCACCACCGGTCTTTTTCCACTGGGTTGGTAAAGGGATCAATGGAGACCTGTGGGCCCAACATTATGTCTAGGCCTACTCGCATGTCTTCATCCTTGCTTCTCGGTTATCTTAGCCTAGTTTTAGGTCCCTATTTTGTTATTTGGACCCTTAACAGCATTATTATAAGTAGGCTATAGCTCTTCAAATCAGTTGGTACCATTAGCCTAGCTTTCAATACTTAGTGAAGTTTGAATTGAGTTTGGGTTGCCACAATTTATATTATGTATTCATGTATATTTCAGGTGAATACGAACAGTTGGTTTCAATGAAAACTTCAATCGATGGAAAGTTTCCTAAACTCCCTAACTCTTTAACTGTGGCCAAGGATGGGGCAGTGTATTGGTCTGACTCTTCAACGTCACATTCTTTACACGATGGTCTCTATGCTGCACTGGGTAATGGTAATGGAAGGTAAATGTTACAACAGTTAAAGTGAAACTTGTCTTTCGGTTGTTGTAATAGAGAGAATTATATGAATTGGAATTATTAAAAAAAGAGGCTTCAAGAATCTTGGTATGTTAGGCCTATTTACAACAAAAACTCGATTTATGTATGAATTTAATCCGTATTGTGGTTGACAACCCCATTGAAGATGATTGAAGAAGTGTTTTGTCACACAGAAGTGATAAGTTATGTGTTCCGAGCAGTATCAGTACAGCCCTCACTCAGGTTTAATTGACAAACCTTTGCAGGAATGCATTTACCGCTGATTGTAAGGATGATCTAACTAACATAAAAAACACAAGAAGAAAACATTCCCTAATAACACATCTCTTACAATTTTCTTGTTCTCAAGTATGAAGACCATGTAGTGACTGGTTGTCATTAAAAATATTGGGTTTCAGAACCGATTTTGTAATATTGTAAATAATTATTTGTAATAAATAATTGTAATGATTTTGTAAACACCAATGTAAATAATTATTTACATTATTACAAAATCTGTTCTGAAACCCAATATTTTTTTATGACAAGATAACCAGTCACTGCATTGTCTTCAAACTTGAGAACAAGAAAATTGTAAAAGATGTGTTTTTAGGGAAAGTTTTCTTATTAGTGTTTTTATGATAGATAATTCTTACAATAAGCGGTAAATGCATTCCTGCAAAGGTCATCATCACATTTATTCCCACTCGAGGTCTAAATTGTAGGCATATATCCTGCAGAAGTCTCCCGGTATTCAACTGATACTGATAATATTTGTGTGGTTTAAAACTAGGCCCTCGGCTATTATTTGCCGAGATATTTTCCTTGCAGCTCCTTTAAATTTGTCTGCTTCTATCAGGAATCGCCTTTGTACTATTGTTGCTGATCTATTTCTATTGTCTATTCTATTGTTTTAGTTTACTTGATGCTTTCTTAGACTTATCTTTGACAGTAATTTAATTTCTACCAGTCTTTTTTTTAATTTATTTTCAGCAATCAAGGCCAAATTAGAACAAATAAAGTTTTGATTTACATAGGTAAATTTGTGAAAGGGCTAAACTGCAAAGTTATAAATAACAAGAAAACATGTTGAAGGATATTCATGTAGTTTAAAGATTCCAATAAATCATTTTACTTTTGTTTGCAGGCTTATAAAATATGATCCAAAAACAAAATCTAACACTGTGCTAGTTGACAAGCTTCATTTTGCAAATGGAGTTGCTCTCTCTCAAGACGAATCATTTATATTGGTATCAGACCTGTTTCGAGGAAGAATTTTAAGGTAAGCCAATAACAATGTTAAAAAAATTGTGTACAGTATTTGTGTATTAAGGCATTTCAGAATAGTAATTTTTATGATGTAGGATTGAATCAGCAGGGTCATTCATCATTTACTCATGGTTTTAAACTAGGCATTATGTTGTGTTGGTTCATAGTACTGTGGTATAGTGATTACATAGAATGAGAAACACAGTCTGTTAAACTTGTAAAAACTACTAGAATAACAAAACTTATATTTCCATAAGCACATTGGAACTTCAAGGGCTTCTAGGGCACAGCCCTTTGGTAAAATCAAAATCACTATGAAATCAGTTTAACTTTCATATTTGTAGCCTGAATAATGAATACTAGTGTATACCTGTTTCTTGAATTTGAGCAATTGCGAACTAATACAGGCGTTATTTTAAAACAAATAACAGTCATAATTTCCGATGACTTTAAAAGAGTCGACTCAAAAATTATGGAAATACTCACGATGTACATATAACAGTTTGATATAATCAACATTTATTGTAAATATATTGTCATTTTTCAAAAGCTGATCTTGTTTTTTAGTGTTTTCTACAAATGTTTCCCATTCACAGCCGCATTAGGTTGTCCATAATAATGATTATAAATTAAAAAAAAAAACATTATTTCTATTTCTTCTACTTGGTGGTGTTCTATGACATTTCTATGTTTCCATAGTTTGCAAATCGTCTCTTTCAATGATTGTTCAAGAAATGCAGCACAGTGTTAATTCAGTTTTCTTTTTAGTATATCAAATTGTCCAGGCTTTCTCGCATTTTTCCATTGTAATATTTACGCCAACACAAATTAAAATATAAAAATTAAAATCGCAGTGAGTGTCATGGATGAACAGGAAAATGAAGATGAAAACAATGAGACCGCAGGAGACGAAGAGGCAGGAAATGAAAGTGTACCATCACATAGTGAGGCGTTTATGTGCTTTGACAACGCCCTCAAATGAATGGAGCGGCAACCAGAGTGCAACACTGTACAGCTTCTTGCCTTCGGCGCCTGCGTGATTTAGCCGCGCGGAAACAAGCTACGTCACAAAAACTTACGCTGATTGAGATGAGATGTTTAAGTTAGCGTTGTTAAATGTAAGATAATATAAAATTCTAATAAATGCTGCAAGTAAAGAATGTGTTTATTATTCAACAAGAGTCATCATCACCACAACAACAAACTAAATTATAAAACATATGTTAAATGCAAAGGCATATGAATGACACTACATCTCCCCTTCCTTATTATATTTACTCATATCTTATTGGTGGTCTGATAGTTCTGCTCGATCTTCTTATTCCATCATTGTGGTTTGGCTGCACCCTTCTTCCACGGTAGACATCGTCAGAATCATCATTCTCTTTTCTTGGTAGGGGAATGAGATGCCATCTGTTTCGTCTTACATCATTCCCATTACTCAATGATACTATGTAGGATCGAGGTAGATTGGTTGTTGTTCTTATGGTTCCTTTCGCACTTATATCTTTAACCCAGACCATCTCTCCTACTGCTAAAGGTGGAAGTTCTTTGACGCCTCTTCTGTTGTCAAAGTTTTTCTTGACTCTGTCTCTTATTTTCTTGTCACAGTTTCGAAAGGATTCTATTTGATCTTTTCCAACCACTTGAAAGTCGTTGAGAGAAGGTAAAGTTGTTCTTAGTTTTCTACCATACAGCAGCTCTGCAGGTGATAACCCCGATTCCAATTTGGTGGTCCTGTAAGCTAATAGCAAGATTGGGATCTTGCTTCCGGACACTTTAGTAGAATCCTCTTGGCTATAGATACAGCGTTTTCAGCTTCTCCATTCGATTGAAGAAAGTGTGGACTACTAGTTACAGCTCTAAATCCGTACTCTTTTGCGAAACCTTTGAACTCGTCAGAAGTAAACTGAGTACCTCCATCTGTACGAATTTCTAGAGGGATCCCGTGTCGTGCAAAAATGTTTTTCATCCTTCCAATAACTGCCGCTGAAGTCAAAGTATTGAGTTCGATGAGCTCTAAAAATCGTGAGAAATAATCTTGTATTACCAAATACCAGTTTTGGTTACATTTCAAAATATCTGCACATAAATGGGTCCAAGGCTCTTGAGGAAGCTGTGTAGACATCAGAGGCTCCTTTCGCTGTAGTCTGTGTTCTATACATGTTGGACAATTTTCCACTGTAGTACTAATTTCTGTTGAACAGCCTGGCCACCAAACAGATTCTTGAGCACGCCGCCGACATTTTACTATACCCAAATGTCCCTCATGTAATCTTGATAAAACATATGTTAAATGCAAAGGCATATGAATGACACAACATTAAAGAACTTTTAATTGTACTGTATTGACTGTATTATTATTTTTATTAATCTCAGTATTTGTTCCTGTACTGTACTTCAATTTAATTTAACAGCTCTATACTGTCTTAGTTGTACTTTATAAAGTTCATTCAATGTGTAACATATAGTTTTTTATGCCCGACTATCCGAATCGACCCCGGTTAATTCAGGTAAACGGTTTTAGGCCTACTGTATGTTTTTTTATTGCTCTAAAAAAGATTGACAAAATAGCCACCGTAATGAAAACCGTGCAAAGCACCACTTTTACTGTGACTCAAACTCTGCACATCCTTTGATAGGAAACGCTAACATTTGTAAGATAAATGAAAGAAAATAAAAGAATCCTCTAGAGCAGGCAATATTGTTGTAAAAGGGTATCTGTTTTGTTCCAGGCACTACTTAAAAGGTCCAAAAAAAGGTCAAACTGATGTTTTTTTTTATGGTCTACCAGGTTTGCCTGATAATATGCATTCAGACTTACATGGACATTTTATTGTTACTTTACCAATCGAAAATGATATTGAAAATCCAGCTATAACTTCAATTTTGGGACCTTATCCTGTGCTACGCAAGTTTCTTGCAAGATTTCTTTATCTGATGGAAATGCCTTCACTTCTTATGAATGAATACTATCCTACATATTTATCAAAAATCTATGCACACTGGGTAAGTAAATGTGCATGTCAGATTAAGTATGAACCTAGATTTACACTTAAAAAAAAAATAGAAGGAAAAATCAAAAATCTCATACTAAACTAAAAGTTGGATTATGTGCAGTATCCCTTTAAAGTTGAAATGAAAATATAAGCCTAACACTTAAGTAAAATTATAACAAAAGTCCTTTAAAGCTACTAATAACCTATATTTATTAACAATTAACAATCAATATCGAATTTAACTTATTTGTGGCATAGAACAAATTAAGCTGCTACTTAAGCCACCAAGGTTTACAACATATGTTTTAATAAAGTTTACAACAATCTAAAGAACGCTAGTCTTATCAAAATTTTTTAGACATTTTTTCAGTGTTATCCATAGAAATTATGTTTTTCACTTAAAATTGTAAACATATGATTACAGTAGGTGTACACTCCTTCCTTTCACACTAAACGGTTTTTGCCGTTTGTTTCTATCAGCTGTTTGGCAGTTCAAAGTAAAAGTCATTTAAATAATATAATCAAGTGAATTCAAACAGCCCTGAGGAAATCCATCAGTAGAAGGAATAAGCTCACAAGAACGGTTAAGCTAAAAAACTGTCCTATGAATATGCATAGTAATATTTCTATGTATCACAGCGATCAGATGGATGGTTTGCTACTTATAGTCTAGGCATATTAGGAATGTTAGCGGAAAGTTTAGGTACAGTCCTAATCATCACTTTTCATTTATGTTTTTTGGGTCACTGAACCCGAATATGAGGTTTGCTGACAGATATTATGCCCGGAACATTGTTTATTTTGTGAAAAACCTTAAAATTTGGGCAGTTTTTTTAGGTTTTTGGGGTAAATCTCGGTAGTTATGGGATTTTGAGAAAACCCTGCTTTGTAAAATTAAAGAAGACAACATTTACTACAAGTTTCATATATAATATTTGTTTCTATGATGAACCGTTACGCCACTAGAGCACGCTAAAAGTGGCCAGAAGTGCCAACAATTAAAATAAACCTTAACGGTTTTACATTAGGTTTCCATGGAAACAACCCATGTTACGATAATTTTAACTATTTATTTATGTCAATGAACTGAAACACACTTGATAAATCTGTTTCAAGATGAATGACTGGCAGCAGAAACATTTCCCGTTCCCACAAAACCCCCATTTATTTTCTCTCAGCACAGGGATGTTGCTAGCCACAGGGTTGGCTGATATAGTGCTTGAGAAAAAAGGATGAAAGACATTGAAAGAGTTGTAGGCCTATATAACTTAAACTTTGATTAAGTCAAATTCAGACCGTGTCCAGCCACTTGCCGTAATGAACAAAGCGATGAAAGTAGATAATTCTTACCCGTAAACCCCACCACATTTTTTTCAATGTATCAGCGCCGCTAAGAATTCTGATGAAGAACTGAAACACTTCTTGTCCTACGACCTGGGTCCATACTTTTTCTCGTTGTTTGATAATAACGGTTTGTGCAAGGAACCAAATAAAATCTTTATAGGCCTAAACTCCTAAAGCACTTTTACCCATTGAAAACAAGCACATCCATGGTTAAGTGCAGTATGTTATTGATGGTGGGTTCCTACTACACAAAAGTTTATGGCCTGAGCATCGACCTTTCTCTAAAATATGTGACAGATACATTGCCAACATTATAACCAAATATAGGACTCAGACAAGTTGTTTTTGACGGCTACCCTGAAAACCTGCAAGTTGGAACACAAAAATTTCCAAACAACTGAAAAGAGCAATAAAAACTACTTCTGCAGACGTTCTCTTTGATGAAACTATGACTCCAACCACGACTAAATAAAAAATCTCCTATCCAACTCTAATAACAAGGAAAGACTAATTTCCATGATAACAAGTAAGATGATCTCTTACAATGTATCTTGGAAACAACATCTGGAGATGGGGACACTGATAGGGACAGAAGCCCTGTCATTGGCTAGCACTAATGAGAACGTTGTCGTTGTTGGAGAGGATGTTGACTTACGGTATTGATTATTCTAATCAGTTTGTGTAAGGAAAAAGTTTTCTTCTTGAAACCAGGAAAGGGTAAAACCTAATCGACAACATACCCTTCACTCCTTGCTGCAAAGAAGAAAACTGTAGCTGAGAATATTCAAAGATAAACTTGGTCCTCAGTTTCTTACCCTTGAGGAAGCCTTAGAAGCAAATGAGGATGTGGAAGAAGATGCTTTTTCTCTCCTCTTGGGCCCACCAAAAAAAGGATGGATGGAATGTCAACCTTCAACCCGAAGAGAGTGAACATGATCCTACCAACCAACCTATTGCTATTCATGAGGTTATTACCATTATTAAAAAAAAAGATTGTCACCATTTTCCCCGATTTAATTTTAAAAGACAGATCTTTCTTTCAGGTGGAGGCTTGTGGTCAGTGGACACACTAGTTTGTTTATTATCATGAATAAATAGTTAAAATTATCGTAACATGGGTTGTTTCCATGGAAACCTAATGTAAAACGAAACGGCAGCATTTAGCGTTTGTTTTAATTTTTTGTACTGCTGGCCTTTTTTAATGTGCTCGAGTGGCGTAACGGTTCGTCGTAGAAACAAATATTATGTATGAAACTTGTAGTAAATTTTGTCTACTTTAATTTCACAAAGCAGGGTTTTCTCAAAAACCCATAATTACCCACGCGTTGATCTGTTAACATTAATATTCTAATTTATCGAAATGAAGTGTCAAAAGTGTGAAAACGATATTGTTCAAACTCGGGACGGATGTAAATGCGCGGACTGTCAATCAATTTTCCACATTACTTGCGTCGCAGACACATACAAGAAGAAATCTCCCAAGACCTGGAAGTGTGAAGATTGTTCTTTTGGAACTCCGTCTGAACCAAGGACCGGTGAAAGTGTTGAATCAGATCGTGGTCAAACAGCTGTATTAAACGCTATTGCCGCACTTCGTTCCGAAATGAACTCGCGATGGGACCGCAATGATACCAAACTGGACCAAATGCAAACGGACATTAACAGCATTAACAGTGAAATACGTGATTTAAAGGTGGAAGTTACCCGTGTCGGAACACAAGCTAGCAATACCGAGAAGGACGTCGAACAACTGCTTGAAGATAACAAACGTATTTCTGAAGAATTAGCTAAAACTCAGGAGGACTTGCTTGATCTTCAACAACATCTACGGAAAAATAACGTAATCGTTTCAGGTGTGCCAAAGTTGCCGAGAGGATCAGATGTGTTCAAGGTGATAGCACATATCGCGGAGCTTATCAATGTCCCGTATTATCGCTCGAACATTAACGCGGCACACTGGCTTCCGAGCCAAAACAGGGACGACAGAACACAGCCCATTATAATTTCTTTTGTGTCACGCATCGTCAAAAACGAATGGATAGCAGCGAGACGTTTCAGAAGAAGTCTACTGGCATCGGAGTTACGCCCGAATTTCCCAGATCAGCAAATCTACATAAATGAACATTTAGCTCCTCACACGCGAACAATCTTCAACAAAGGACGCGACCTACTCAAGGAAGGGAAACTGGAGTCTGTCTGGACGTCCGATGGCCGAGTTCTCGTCAAAACAACACCCAAGGGACGACCGACTCGAATAACCAGCCTCCAACACCTAGACAGCGTGACGTCACTGCGAGGCAAATCCACCACCGACCACAGCTCACCGTCACCCGAGTCAACAGAGACATCACCCGCGACAAGGTCACCGACAGCAACCCAGACCACTAACACTGACGCATAGATTAACTATTTATACATCAGGTATTTGACATGTCTCACATAATCTAAGTTTTCGACCAATCTAATGTAAAGTAACTTTTTTACTTCATTATACTATCAATCCTTATTGTCTTGATATTAAATTGGATATCTTCTAATCTGCAGTACCAACACATTTGCAAATTGCATTTCCATCTCGTAATCATTTTCATATTGATTTGTATTAATTTATGTTATCACTTTAATTGTTATTTTACTGTATTATTGGCCTAACCTATGGGGAAAAGTGTACTTCATTTACATTATTACATTATTTAACTTTTAATATATCATGTATTTAAACAAATCGTTATATTACTTTATCGCGTGCATTAGTTTAAATGTATTATTGACTTTCCTATTTTTTAGAGTAACTGAGCTCATTGTTAAGAAGGATTGTTGTTGAGAATTGTTTTTCCCATAATTAATTAATATATATCGGCATTTCCTTGTCTAAAAATTTATTTTTTGCTCAGATAGTTAGACTTAGCCGACTCATATAATTATTCAACTAGGGTATCCAAATAATTACATTCGAATACTGTCAAATTCTCATTCCACTATTTATCAGAGTATTTGAATTAATCTTTGTTATAATTCCTTGAAAATACTTTCCTTAACTAAAATATGTAATCAGCATATTTAATCAAATATTTTACATATCAAATTATTTCATTATTTTCTGGAATTCAGTTCATGATTTTATTTCGAATAGCCAAACAATTTTCTGAAATCCAGCACGATTTGATATTTAAAATAGCTAAATAGTTTGGAATTTATTCCATAGTATAGCTATGTAATAGTTGGATAGCAACAATAGATTTCGTCCTTGTTGACTTGACGCAAACATTCAATACATTCCCCATTGTACTTGACGAATACCGTTGACGGCACGCTGCGCCTCTGGCTGGCAGAGCGATAGTTCTGTCCGATAATGAACATAGATTACGATGAATCTCCCTTTGTTATTTGTAAAGAAATTGTTAATCCGAATCACAAATTATTTGATGATAATTTAGATAGTAGTAACTCGTTTTGTAAGTTTAGAGTCTTTCATCAAAATATCAGGAGCTACAATAAAAACATAGATGACCTACTATTAACACTTCAGGGTATAAAAAACAAATTTCATTGTATTATTCTGACTGAAGCTTGGTTAAATGATGATAGTGATTTGTTGACTATTGATGGCTATAACATATTTAGAAGCTACAACAACTTGAATCAGAACGATGGAATAGTAATATACATAGATAATTCATTATCAACTTCCTGTAACCAGCTATTGATTGGCGGTGTCGCTACGAGTCTTTCATTGACTTTTACGTGGGCAGGCGTGAATTGCAACTTAACTGCCATATATCGCAGTCCTGCTTCGTCTTTGCAAATTTTTATTGATAGCTTACATGATTATATAACAAATTCAACAAATTGTTCTAGCATGAAAATAATTGCAGGTGACATCAACTGTGACATTTTGAGCCCCCAATTAAATTCTTTGGAAGACCGTTACTTAGACATACTGAGTGACCTAGGATTCATCCAGTGTATAGACAAAGTAACAAGGCCAATAAGTAACACGTGTATCGATCATTACTTTGTCAAACTTCCGCCCAACTTTACAGCCAACTCAGCCGTCCTACAGACCTCAGTCACAGACCACTACAGTATTTGTCTAGAAATTAAAAGTACCGCCAAAACAAATCCGAGAGTAAACAACCACTCTCAAAAATCAATCAACTGGGAACATGTTAGGCAAGATCTCCTCGTTCAAAACTGGGATCTAATCTATACATCAATAGATGTCCATTCTGCCGCAAAAATCTTTAATGATATACTTATTACCATTGTTGAACGTAATTCATCTACCGTTACCACTACCGCTAAAACGTTCAAGATAAAACCGTGGATAACTAACGGTCTCTTAAAATCAATACGTCATCGGGACAAATTAAGTAGACTAACCAATAAACACCCCTTTAATACTAGACTGCGTGCGCGCTATGTTAGATACAGAAACATATTAAAATCTTCACTAAAAAAGGCAAAATACGATTTTTACAAAAATAAAATCAATGACGCTCAAGGAGATCCAAAGAAATTTTGGAATATAGTGAACGAAGTAGCGGGCCGCGCAGATCCCAAATGCAAATTTCCAGTCGGCGCATTTGGCGCACACAGCGACACTGTCCCCTCCATCTGTGATAAATTTAACAAATACTTTGCTTCCGTCGGATCCCAGCTAGCCGGGGCTTTGCAGCCTGTTGGTCGTGTCGAAATAGAGGATGCTGATTTTGCTGTGAACTCCCAGTTCTCACTGCAACCAATTACCCATCAAGATTTACTAGACGTGGTTACCAAAATCAGAGGAAACTCGGCACCTGGGTATGATGACATTTCCTCTAAACTGATAAAGCATAATCTAGACGTCTTACACCAACCCTTATTTCACATTGTAAATTTAAGTATATCAACTAATACTTTTCCAAATCCTTACAAAATCGCCAAAGTAATCCCGATCTATAAATCAGGCCCAAAGAATGTGATATCAAATTTCAGACCTATTTCTTTACTTAGTGCGGTATCCAAGATAATCGAAAAATGTGTCAAGCAACAGTTGTATAGATACCTCGAGGAAAATAATATCATTGACAACGCACAGTTTGGGTTCAGAGCTAACGTAAGCACTACCCATGCCTTATTTAATATCTCAAAACATATTTATGAAAAAATTGATGATAAAAAACGTGTGCTTGTAACCTTTTTAGACTTGGCAAAAGCATTCGATTCTATTGATAGGCATAAATTAATCACAAAACTGCAGTTGATAGGCGTTGACAACCCATCACTTGACTGGTTCCGCAGCTATTTGACTGGTCGATCACAGTTCGTTACTATCAATGGCGAAAATAGTGATATCACTAACATTGACTATGGTGTCGTCCAAGGAAGTAACCTAGGCCCTCTTCTCTTTTTAATATATATCAATAACATTACTAAATTAAGAGTCAATGGTAAATTGTTTCTTTTTGCTGACGACACAGCGGTAGTATCCTCGGGTAATACGTGGGATGATGTCTACCATCAAGCTGCATCTGACTTACTTAAAATAAAAAATTGGCTGGATCATAACACATTGACATTGAATGTATCAAAAACCAAGTGCATGCCAGTTTTCTTATCTCGAACTCGTGACCCTGGCCCTAGAAAACTCTATCTTCATTCATGTGGCGATCTGTGGTCTAATACCTGCGGATGTGACACAGTCGATCGTGTGGACCAATACAAGTACCTTGGGGTGATCATTGATCAAAGGATGACATGGTCTCCTCATATTATCTATGTAAAGCAAAGATTGAGGAAACTGGTCTACGCCTTTTATCAACTAAGCCGTGTGTTAACGGTTGATCACTGCAGATACGTTTACTATGCATACGTGCAGTCTGTGCTGCAGTATGGCATACTGGCGTGGGGCGGTGTATCTGCTGCCACATTGGCTCCTCTTCACGTAACCCAGAAAACCTTAATCAAAATTATTCTTAAAAGGCCAAAACATTATTCAACAAGTTTACTTTTTTCCGAATTCCCAGTTTTAAATATTAGACAATTGTTTATCAAAACACTATTACTTTTCATTAAGAACAACAAGGAAATTATTTTTTCTAACTTACAACACAGTTATCACACTAGACACAGGCATAACTTTGGATACCGCACTCCACAACTAGCATATAGTTCCTTGAAAAATAACGTGTTTTACATAGCTCACATCCTTTATCGCAACTTGCCGCCCAACATAACTGATGCTGAATCAGGCAGTGTCGCTGTGTATAAAAGCAAGGTCTGTGAGTGGCTGATGACTGTGGGAAGAGAGGCTGCAGAGGCTTTAATTCGCTCGCCTTACATTTAAATTAATCTCTGACATCAAACGCCGCCATAATAGCTATCAAAATAAATTTGTCTTCATGGATTAATATTTTTATTGTTGCTTAAGGCTGTTTATTGTTAATTAATTCTAGTATACAATATATTTATATAGCATATATATACATTTATTAAAAGCTCCTGATACGTATTAAGTACAGATGTACACATTATTTATAAACAGTGTGCACATTTTTTTTGACCTATGGACAATAACCAAAACTTATTTCCTGCTGGTAAGAGCTCTTCCCTCGAGCACGGACTTGCAGTCCATTCGGGGGAATACTATTCTTACCCTGATAATGTATTCCTGTATTTATATATGTGAATAAAGTGATTTTTGATTTGATTTGACCTAGATTTACCCCAAAAACCTAAAAAATTGCCAAAATTTTAAGGTTTTTCACAAAATAAACAATGTTCCGGGCATAATATCTGTCAGCAAACTTCATATTCGGGTTCAGCGACCCAAAAAGTGATGATTAGGACTGTACCCAAACTTTCCGCTAACTGCCACTTAGATTCCTAATATGCCTACAATAATTGGTTTTATTTATAAAAAAATTGGATTAGGTAGGACATGTTTGTCATATTTTTGATAACAATATTATATTTTAGGTTGGAAGTTTTGGGATGATTCCACTCATCACAAATAAAAGAACTACTGTGATTGTTTTCAATGAGAAAGGTGATGCAATTTCTTCTCTCCATTCTACAGATGGTAGGATCAGTAGCATTACTGACATTGCTTCTCTGGAAGGGTATTACTATTTAGGATCGTATACTAATCCTTACTTAGCTAGAGTTAAAATGAGAGAATGATCAATTTCTAAGTATTACAGGTGATGGTAAATCTGATTAAAAGGTTTCTTTTACATTTTTGACAAGGTATTTTTACATTTTTAACTTAGGAGACCTTAAAATAATACTGATTTTATAGGTTTAGTATACTTTTTATTCACACTACAATTACAATGGTGTGTTGCCTCTTTTATTTAGTGTGGTACATTAAAGTGTCTTGTTTATTAGGTTTTTTTACATATCCATTTTATATTGTTGATGATGAAGGATTATTGATTTTTCATACATTCCACTAAGTTTAAATTTTATATTAGTGCGGCAGATGTGATATCTCTTTTAGGCTACGGCCACACGGGCGTTTTTTCACGCGGTAAAATGAAGCTTATTTTCACGCTGCTTGAATTCCCGCTGTTGTATGCCACACGTGCGTTTTTTCACGCAGTAAAATGTAGCTTATTCTCACGCTAGTTGCCAGGAACGGGAAAATGCACTCGGAACCCGCAGTTGATTGACGAATTCACGTAATTATGTTGTATATCTTCCTAATGACCGAAATAGTAACCTTGTTTCTGACTAGTGAACAAGAAATATGAATGGTATATTAATGTTGGTACATTAACATTATTTTATTTTGTTAACCTTTCATTTAATTATTTACTTTTAGTATAAAAAATAAATATAATACACATATTTTTATGACAAGATTTTCATCAGATCTTTGTATATTCTACTACATAAATGCCATTTTACATTTTTTAGTCCAACCTTTCCTTTTAGTAACAAATTATTAAGTGGTCCAGAAAGGTCGACCTATGTTTAAGATCCTACTGTGTAATTGGCTAGACCCAAAAATATTTTACGCTATCCTGGAAAAAATGAGATACATTTATCTTTATTTTACTTGCTAGGACGACTTGATCAAAGCTGCGTGTTGCTCCCGCCCGTGTGGCCAGGTACAGAGCGTGAAAACAAACTTAAAAAATGCACCCCAGTCCATTCTCTTCTGCGGGCCCGCGGCGGATGATTTTGCAGACGCGCCTTATCTGCGTGAAAACACACTCCGTGTGGCATACCTCATTACATTTTAATGCTGCCCATATTTCTCGCGTTTTTTCACGCTGCGTTCTTGCGTGAAAAAACGCCCGTGTGGCCGGAGCCTAAGTGGGCAATTTTTATCAGCACACATTTTTAACCGGACTGGATCGGCAGGAAGTAGGCAGTACTGAAACAAATTTTCTAGCAAGAAACTTTTGTGACCAATGATTATGTGTCTAGTTTTACAAGTTTTATGTAATAAAAACTATAGGCTTATATAGTATGCATTAGACGTTCCTAGGTTAACGAGTTTTAGGAGATGTCAGTTTAACCCTAGAATGCTCGCTAGGGGTAAATTTTCTCCAGGCATCTTTTAAATGAGTCCTCCCCCTTAAGTTAAAAAAGAACATGCTCACAAACAGCTAAATAACCTAATTTGAAACTTGTACATAATGTAATGTAGTTTATGATTTTGTTTGTTGCAATTATTTCAGTCGACTAGTTTACTGAATGACCTTAAAGTCTAAATTTATTTAGTGTCAGGAGACTTTTTACCCCGCATGGGCATTGGCATTAGTTATCTATCATGTCATGTCTGTAGTGAGAATACAGTAGGTACAGTACTATTGAGATTTAATGCTACTTTTATTATTTTTTGAACATATTTGTGTTTTAAAAAGAGCATTTTATAGACAATAGTGAGGGTGACATTTTTGGAAACATTTAAAACTGAAAAACTGTGGTGACCAAATCATTCAATACAAATTGTAAGTTAACCGTCGTTTGTAATCAAACGTGATCACAAAGGAGGTCCCCTCTATGGCACATACTCCTGTTGGTGGTTAAATTGAACTATATCTATTTTGATTTGAAAACTGGCATCCAATTTAATGTGGATGAAATTTATAGGTCTATTAATAGTCAATGATATCTTTGACAGTGTGATAGGAGCACAACTTGGGTTCAACAATCAATCGCCAGTTATGTATGATATCAAAGAGAAAAGAAATGTTTATTATTAAATTTTGGTGTAAATCAATGTTACAAATTTAATTAGATTTGAAATCACAATTGACTGTGGCTTATACTCCACCAGATTAGTGCAAGGTCGCAGAGTGTACGATTGTTGCTAAAGGGACCCTTACTGTTTAAGACCTACACGATTCAAGATCTTTATTTGTCATTAAGTAACAAGTATAAAATTAGACAGCTGTTTACGAATGCCTACTCTGAATTTTCAACAGGTTTGTACTTTGATGTACTACAATTAAGGGTTGTCATTTTGTCATTATTAAATTCATAGGTTGAATCTATGTCATAAGTCTAGTCATTTTTCATTTTTATATCAGGTTTTGATTTGAATACTAGGACAATTCTGTAATGAGCACTATGACAACTAACAATCAACACTTATTAGTTGAAATTATTCTGATTGTTTGTAAAGAACAGGCAATACTGTGATAAGCTTACAATTATTAGTTAAAAAGATTCTTAACGGGTGCTATAAGAAAGAATTTTATTGTGACAATGTCTGATTAATTCTTTATGAAAAAACAATAAGTGTTAACATAATTTGTTCACACCTAGATTTAAAATTATAAGTCTAAAAATCTCTTTTCTTGCAATACAGCCTCCTTTTTTGTCGAGTACTCTTATTTGTACACGATACATTGAAGCAACATCAAGACATGGAAAGTAAATTGTTATTGCCAGTATTGAAGGCTTAGAGATATGGACAATTTTCTGGCTCTTTTTACCAACGACTTTATAGCTTGATGTCAACGTTCCGTTTGAAATCAGAATAAGTTATACTTTATGTAATAAGTTTTATGTAAATAAGTATTTTGTGTATTTCTCTTGTGGGTGCTCAGCCTTGAGTTAAAATATGTATTGGTGGTAAGTTACTTATGAGCACTACAAAATTTGCACATACCCTAATAATTATAGGAGGAGGGTTGATGGTGTTCTTTTTTAACAAATAAAAGATGTTTATTTTTTTAATGTGATTTTTATACCTGTCATCTAGTTTTAAATGTTGTCTATAGTTTATTGTAGTATTAGAGAGCTACCCCAATATCCATATTCATGTTAATTTAGATTTGAGCAGAGATTAGAAATCTCCACTGTCCAGTCCCACTGGTCAAGAAAAAACATTAAAAATTAAATATGGTACAGTTTGGCCGAACTAATTTGAAGCTTAATACTTAATACTTCAAAATAACCTAATTTGAATAAATCACAATAAATTGAATAAAGATGCTTTTGGTTTTTTAAGGCTGTGAACCATTTAACTTTTGGTTTGAATCCTGTCTATTTAAATTATTACATATCAAAAATAATTGAAACTAATTTAAAATTAAATAACCCCGCAGCAGCAAATCTGTAGATGAAGCAGGAATTTCCATTTACCTGGCTGTATTTCTACTAAAATATTCCCTTAAAATTGTCAAATTTATTTCCTATTTAAATGACAGTACCATGAGACGGAGCTTTGCTTGGTTCGAACTAAACATTTATTAGATCTAGATCAGTTTATTAGCTAAATAAAAAAAAATATGTTAAAACATTTTAGATGATTCCATTAATAAAACATGTTAATAGGCCTATACCTTTATAAAACGTTTTAACTTCCATGTCGATTGGGATGTCGTTTCACGGGATCAGAGGAGCATTTGGAATGATTGATTATAACTATTTTCCATACTACGTTGCTGGTATGGGAAAGATTTGTTGACGGTAGGACCAATTTCAGTTTTGATTCTTAATCGAAATCCAATACACCAATACAGTTTAGATATACGTAGGCCACGCAAAGCATACCATGCACGAAAACCCCGGTGAGCAGGATCACACAGAAGAATTTAAGTGTTTGACCTTGGCTCTTGTGTATGTTGTTCTTGACGTATGGGAAACTCATGGCACTGAATTGTATTTCCAAAATGGGACTTGCTTGAGTCTAAGGTAATCTGTGGAATGTGAACAAATCTCATTAAGTGGAGCATGGATATTGTACTTCGAATTGTACGCTAGCAGTTTAAGTGCCAAATGCAATTTCAATAATTTCTCTCATTCACTGACATGGCGACTATAGGTTTGAGGAACTGCAGTGCGCTCAAGTTCTTTCAAACGTCGAGCAGCAATTTGTCGACGCTCCCTGATCAAGATGATAACCCCATTTTGTTGTTCACCATTTTGCTCGGCCATAAGATTTGAAATTATTTTTCTACTTTTATTCTCCAATGCGCGACTTGGCCAAGGTTCCGAAACATTTGGTTAGATGCATGAGCTGTTTGGAACTCTCTCGGTTGTAGACGAAGTGTTAAAATTTGTTTCCTGACAAACAATTGTAGCTTCTCTCCCTTGCAGATTCTGTATATCTCGCATTTTCGCTTTGGAGGTCAACCGCGTTTCATTCTTTATCTTGAAAATTAACGTTGAAAACATCTAACCCTAATCTAAACCAAACTGAAAATAACTATTCTTAAAAACGTTTGGCCTAACTAACCACAACAGTTATTTTTGTTTGTGTGTAAAATCATAGACAAAAAGAATTAAATATAGACCGTCAGCTGTGCTGCGGTTACCATAGCTTCTGGCGCACACCGCTTGGAGCGCCATGTAGTTACGGCGTACGCGCTACGTAAACTACAGTGGTGTGCGCTGGAACCTATGGTAACCATGGTAACCGCAGCACGGCTGACAGTCTATATTTAATTCTTTTTGTCTATGGTAAAATCAAGTAATAAAAATAAATATAACCTGTATCAGATGTTTTTGTTAACTGCAGCTACAAAAAGGTATTAAAATAACATCGGCACTTACAAGGGCTGTAGGACGGAAATTGGATTTTTCTCAGCCTTGTGACCAACTCCAATAGATTTCTTATGGCCAAATACCCCATAAAAAATTCAAAAAATAGAAAATTCTTGCATAAAACATAATTTTGCCACAAGCACGAGTATAAGATTAATTTTAATGAGTACAGTAGACTCCCTCTTATCCGTACACCTTTTAACCGGACATCGGTTTAAACGGACTACACTCAGCAGAAATGACATCTCCTTAACCAGACTAGATCGGCAGGAAGTGGGCGGTACCGAAACGACTGTTCTTGTGGGAAATATTTGAAACTAGTGATCACGTGTCTAAAATCTAAATACAATGCTCTTCTAAATTTAAGTCAAGTACTGTATACACAGTAAGTATTAAAACGGTCCGTTTTAACGAGTTTTTGGGGCCGTCGGTTTAACCGGAAAAACCGTTATCCGTACCGGCCTCGGTGCCCAGGAGTACTGTACAGAGTCTAAAGTACAGTCTACTGTACTTATGTTCGCTGCTACAGGGAAGGTAATGAGGTGTGTTTTTTTAATGAAAAGTTGATAGCTAAGTATGAAATAAATAAAATTGCCAATTTTGATTGAAAAATATTCATAAACAAACAAACTACAACAGTTTAATTATTCTCCATAAGAATAACATAATAATTTTAAATTTACATATTTTTTTAAACTCTGTAACTGTTACTAGTGGCCTGTAGGGACATAAGTCCCTAAAAAGCTCAATAACGTAAAACAAATTATTATAATATTTAAAGACACTCAGAAATATATTATTTATGTGTCAGAATAGATATCCCTGTACACCACATCTTTTGTGTAAAAAACAGTTTGTTGATTGTCTTTGTGTGCTTTTGTTGATGTTATTTTCAATAAATAATTTGAATCACTCCATAGGTGTAATTCTGCTTAAATCAGCAAACATATAATTGTTTGTGAATAAATACTGGTTTATTAAGGTAGCATTGGTCTTGTGGTTAATGGTGGTAAAAAAGGCTTTTGGAAATTTTGGAAATTGTCTTTGTCAAATATGAAAAGACAAATAAAGGTGTGTTGAGATAAGCTTAGTTCTTGGTCAAAACCGCTAAATTGGCATCCCTACCCAGTTTATATTTTTAAGCTTATACTCCTTTTGTTAAGGCTTAACACAATTAGCGTAAAGTAAAGGTATTCCATTGACTAAACTTAACCCTAGATTTTTTCTGATCCTCTTAAAGGTGCAATTGAGTTTACATACTCTATCAAAATAGGCCTAATCATCGGCTGATTCATAACTCTTGCGACTGGTTAGAGTTACACTATATACCCAGTTATCGAAACCTGCATATTTTTGGTGTGTTTAAGAAACGTAAAGAAACGGAAACTACCTCTAGGTTTTATAATTATATGTGGATGATCCCTTTACTTTTATCATAAATGCTAGGCTATATTATTTTAAACTTTTTTGCTTAGAGCAACAGACAGTACCTGTTTAAAATCACTAACAATATTGTTTTCCGCCCATTGGAACTTGTCGTAGTACTTACTTAATTAGCAAATATATTTCCTGTACGAACCTATTCCATCTTTATTCCCAGGTTATTTTCTAAGAGTAGCCGTTGAGGTTATTCCACTTCATACAAAATATTGACTAAAGACTACAATAAATCCAAAATTTAAAATATTAGTAAATTTACAAAGAAAGTGTGGAATAAATCTTGAACATATGTTTTGAAATAAAAACAAAGCAGAAGTTTCCCATTTAATCTTGAATCGTTGATTATTTAGTCAATGTGGTTATTTCATGTTTAACGTAAAAAATACACAAATTTGAAAAGTTTCACAGTAAAATAATTTATTTCAACATTCTATAACGTAATAACTAAATACCCCCGCCGCAGCAAACCTGCAGACTAAGCGAATTTCCATATGTCTGATTGGATTTACACTAAAATTTCTACTTAAAAATTTAACATTTATTTCCTATTTAAATAGAATTATTTTAACAGGTTCTTAGGTTTGCTGCATCAGGGAGAGTAAAACTTTTTTTGTAAAATGTTAATAGTTAGTAAGAAATAAAAACATTTTCCAAATTTGATCAAAATATGTTCATAAACAAGCAAACTACAACAGTTTACTCATTCTCCATAAGAATAACATGGGAATTTAAAATTTACATTTTTTTTGGAATTTTCTCCGTAACCATTAGGCGCATAGTAACACTTCAATATACTAAATTATTTGTTTTTTTAAGCTCTACAAAATGGTTTGAAAAGATTTTGCAAAATTTTATTTTTTTTGGGTCAAAAATGGGAAAAACCTATTTTTACCCCATAAAACCACCCGTAAACCCCCGTTCCCATAGTCCGATCATGCTGGTTCGCGAACTCGTTCGAGTTTATCCCGCCTTACACCTTCAAACCAAATTTTATCCAAATCGGACAAAAATTACTCAAGTTATCGTGCGGATGGACACATATATATATATATATATATATATATATATATATATATATATCTATATATAGATATATAAAAATTTGAACGAATGGTGTTTTTGGCCTCTGGGGACATCAAAATGAAAAAGTAAATCGGTCCCGGGCCTAGGTCTTACCATGAGACCTACGGTAATAGCTACTTCCCTATAGGGAAATTCGCTAAAAGTCTTCATTATTTTAGGTAACGTTTTTTATATAGTACATTGCAGAATTGACTGGCAATTAAATCATCCAAATGTAATATTGCGTACCGACTTAGTGATAAATCACGATCAGCTGTATTGGAAGTAAACAAAAATCAGCAGTAAATGGCTTCTAATGCTATTCTTATGGAGAACATTTTACGTTATATCTTATTTTGTGTTAAAATTTGGGGAATTTCTCTATTTTTCCCGCCGTCACGGGATCAAGACCTTTAACCCATTGGCGCCGACTTACGAGCGTTACTCGTACGGCCGCTGCAGGCCCGGCGGCCGACTTACGAGTGCCGCTCGTGTCACCGCTAGGCAGCGCCATTAGTTATTTAGTTATTATTATTTTTCGCCCTTTTTGTTTCTTCTTACTATTATAATGTTAATAAATATCTTGCTTCTTGATTTGCGTATTTACTCATTTATTTTAGCGAATAACAAACAATTTTGTGTTGCCATGGAAACCACATATCACCAAAAATCAGCTGCGGTAAGGTAAACAAACAATAAAAAAAATGTTATTACTTATAAAAGTACACAACTTTTGATTTTTCTACGTAGGGAATCGATTGAACTTTATAATAGTAGTGTTATTTGGTGCCTGGATTAATCTTTGAATTTGTATATCAAGTTTACTTTCAAAATATTGTTTTTAAAATTTTTATTTTTATAATCTTTATATTTATATTTTTTTTTAGTTTAGAACTTTGACTATCCAATTACCACTTTTCTGTAGACAATTTTACTGTGAACAAAATGGTGAAAGAATTATTAATTTATTACCTAAGGTTTTCTTTCTATAGCAGTTAGAGTAAAAGTCTACATATTCAGTAAAATTAATTGCCGCCAGATGGTGCTGTAGGTAGCGCATTAATTCCTTCCCTAATGGGTTAATTTGAACCCTCTCCCGTCGTTCTACGACTTCCCAGTCACCCACAATTTTGACGCAAAGAATCGGCTTACGTAATTAATATATACATAGATAGATAGATTCATACAAATTAGGCCTCTGAGGATCTCACAACGGAAAAGTAGATCGGTCTGAGGTACAGGTCTTATCATGAGACCTACGGTTATTAGCTTATTCCCTGTTAGGGAAATTCGCTAAAAAGGAAAACAATGTATAACATATTTTCAAATACAACTTTATTGATCTTGTTTAGTTTGATCCATTGCTAAAAAAATGCATGTCCTGTTCAATAGGTATATCCAGTGTAGCAAACTTGGTGTTAGTATCCTTTGTAACCTGAAAATAAAACTGTAATGTAATACTAAATGACAACCATCGTAGGCTTTAAAGAGTTCAGATTAAAAATGTGCTATTTAGTAACTTAGTATTTAAGTATAAATTAATTAATATTAGAACTATAATGTGAATGTACTTCATGATATCGGACCCGTAGTTAAAAACTGGCAGTGACCAAAATATAATTTAAAGGCATATAGTTCTATGGCCACAACACGATAACATAACTTCTGGTTTTTATTCTATGACCATAACTATATACAGTGTTTTACTATCAAGGAACACTAAAAAATACAAAACTGTAAGATAATAAATAGCTTACATCATTAAAAATTTAATAAACCCCGTCGCAGCAAACCTACAGACTAAGCGAGTTTCCATTTGCCTGATTTAATTTCCACTTAAATCATTTAAATAACATTAGGTTTAATGATTATCTAGGTTTGCTACTACAGGTAGGGTAATACTGTGTTTTTAGTAAAATATTAATAGCTTTGTATAAAATAAATACATTTGGCATATTTTATCAAAATATTTTAATAAATAAGCAAACTACAACAGTTTACTCCTTCTCTATACTAAATTATTTGGTTTTTTAAGATCTTCAAAATGTTATGGAGAGAAATTGGAAGATTTTATATTTTGAGGATCAAAAATGGGAAAACCAGTTTTTACCCCATAAAACCTGTTCCCATGATCCGATCCTGCTGGTTTGAAAACTCATTTAAGTTTATCCAGCCCTAACCCTCTAAGCCAAATCTCATCAGTCTATCCGACAAAAGTTACATTTATTCGCTGAAATAATAACTATTCTGTAATGTAAAAGTAAAACTTAAGCATAAGCATACTTTCTAAAATACTCTCGAATGATGTATCCTAATTCAACTGAATACAGCTGTCCAAATTGTGTAAACTTTAAAAAGAGCGCATACAAATTGTAAAACCTACCCTTATATAAAAGTGAAACATTGAGTGAAGCCAGTGCACTCAACCGGCACCTACACTGACTTGCTCTCTTTTCCCCTATATCAAGTAATCTTCAGTGTAATTTTTGCTCAATAGTTACAACTGATGTTTATCACTTTGTACTGTATTTTTATAATTTGCTAGTATGCTGTGGATGGCTTGTTATACACACATGTTACATTTCTTTTGTTTACTTTTTACTTGTTATTTTTTTCAAACACCATAGTTACTTGGAAACCCATAAGGCCAAAGTTAAATTTTTAAATTTTGAAGTGAGCTGTGTAGCGAAATACAAATTTTCCTAAGTTATTGGCTGTAGTCAATCACGTTTTTAAGGCTACAGTAGAACCCCTCAAATCCAGCCACCATGGGACCAAGTCCCTGGTCGGATATCAATTTGGCGGGATAAACCAACCTACTATGAAAATGACAATTCACACCTAATAATAATATGTAATCAATATATTCAGTCAAAAGTATCATTCAAGTCTTTCTGGGATTATTTTTAGAAGAATAAACATGTTTGTTAAAAGAAAAAAAGAGAAATAAATGTATTGGTAGGTTAAATTCGTTAAGTAATTAACTTAGGTACAAATATTGATTCCAGGTAACAAAAACTATTAAATGAAAATGGAGGTAAAAATGACAATTCGTTCGCCTTGAAGATTATTAGGACTTAACTGGTATATACATTTCTACTAAACTTTCTTATCCATTTTGTGAAATACAAAAATTGATGTACTGTACTAACCCCGCTTTGGAAATAATCATAATCAACCAACTGTTCATAGGTTAAGCCTACTAGCTCAAATGAGTTTAGTGACACAGTAAAATGTATAAACAAACAGATAAATAGTGACGCTTTAGTCACCAAGACTAGTGCTTGCATCCAAACGTCTGTAAGCTGTGAGAAAAACATTTTGATATTGGCTTCCTGGAAGCTGGATAAACAGAGTCCCGGTAAAACCAAGGCCGGATTTCAGGGGTTCTACTGTACAAGTCCCTGAGTGAATCCAAAATTTAATTAAAATCCTTCCCTACATTAAATTAGTTAGGTACCATTTGTTACTCCCAATCATTTCAAATGACACCTAAATCGTAAAAATCTGTGAAGTAGGACGGGCTAAAAAGGGATGATACAGTGAAAACCTTTGTTGTATTAACTAAAAAAATGATAAATATTTGGCTATATTTTATTCATGTGCCACCTTACACCTACAAGAGAGTACCTTATTTCATGTCAATAATAATTTGTCTTAGAAAAATGTTTGTAAGAATGGAGCCAACCACACAATAACAATTGTAACAATTGGATTGTTTGTCCAATGGAACCAATGAAATTTCAAACATAAGAATAGTTTTAGTGGATATGAAAATTTAACTTTTTTATATGCATTTACCGACACATACAAGAGACTATACAGTTTTAATTTTGCTAATGGGTATCGTAAAAATTAATTTAGATTAGATCATCAAAACCAGTACAATTTCTTTCCAAGTAGGTATTAACTTACAAATTAAGATTAGTGTGGCAAGCATACAAATTAATAACAATCCGAATTCAAGTCTCCTAAATCATAACTATGTTAAAATCAAACTCACACTATCTGGACTTAGCCAAAATTTCACCAGCAACACACATTTTGTGTGTACAAACAACTGCAGTGTTTTATAAGTGAAATTAACCAATACCTATAAAATAGGCTAATATAAAATCAAGACAAACCTTGAGATATTGACCAGTCTCTCACACATCTCCTGAAGTATCGGCTGTTTCTGCTGCCATTTGTTCTCTGTTTTCGTAAGTCCAAAACCCGTTCAGGTCAATCAAAATGCTTACCAGCGTCTCTCCTTGTCCACTAATATAAAAATAAATTAAGTAAAATATACTTAAGTTTTGTAAATTATGTAAATTGACTAAAATAAAAGGAAATAAAGACAGTCTAAGTCAGGTGTGCCTGTTGGTTGTTTTAAATTAGGAGAAACTTAAATATTGTAAGTAAACATTTGTGTAACTTAAAAACAGTAAAATCTTTTTATGATTCAATGTAATACCTCCGCTGCAGCAAACCTGCAGATTAAGCAAATTTTGTTTTTCACTCAAATATTTTTAAATGTCAGGTTTATTCCCTAGTAGTACTTATGTTTGCTGCTACAGGAAGGGCAAACTACATCTGTTTACTTAATTCTCTAAAAGAATAACATGGTACGGTATTCAAAATTTACAATTATTATAATTTTCTCCGCAGCCATAACATTAACTAACTGTACAAAACACTTCAAAGATAATTATTTTAAAAAAAATTGAATGATGTTTTTGGCCTCTGGGGACATCAAAATGAAAAAGTATATCGGTCCCAGCCCTAGGTCTTACCGTGCCACCTACGGTCTTAGCTACTTCCTTATAGGGAAATTTCTTTACTGGAATAAAGTAAGTACAAGTTAACATATATTTGTACTTTCCCAGAAGTAAAATATGCTAACCAATAATTATTGTGTATTTTGTAGTGATATGACTCTGGGTACCATTTATTAATCTATGGATTATGATTCCTTTAATGATCAAAGACAGGTTAGGCCAATTTTGAAAAAAAGTTACTGCCTTTCTGAGTACCAAACCGTAACATAAATATACAGTATACTCCCTCTTATCAGGACCGAGATCAGTCCGGATAATGGTCTTTCCAGTTAAACCGACGTCCCCAAAAACTCGTTAAAACGGACCGTTTACAAACATACTCTATACAGTATTTGGCTTAAATTTAAGAGAGCATTGTATTTAGACACGTGATCACTGGTCTCAAATCTTTCCCACGAGAACAGTTGTTTCAGTACCACCCACTTCCTGCTGATCTAGTCTGGTTAAACCGATGTGCTGATAAAAATTGTCCGGTTAAAGAGATGTAATTTCCGCCGAGTGTAGTCCGGTTAAACCGATGTCCGGTTAAAAGGTGTCTGGATAAGAGGGAGTCTTCTGTATTATAAAAAAAAAACTTATATTCTTAAATGCAGCCTTTACATGAGGTTTTTTTAAAATACAATATTGTGTATGAATTGTTTGCAGTTTTGAATTATTTACTAACCTGTTTAAAAGATCTTGCAAAGTTATTTTAGTTGGATCAACAGGTTTTATCATATCAAACATTTCATCCTTCACATCGTGAAAAGAAACGGGGTTTTGTTCATGCTCACTCATTTGTTCCTGTATTGCCTGAAAATAGTAAAACTGTTAGATATTTTAATAATGTAACATTTAAATGTAGTAACCATTTTTCTTTATTTAATCACAATTCTATTATGTAACTAAATCATCATATAAACAATAATAAATAAGAACAGATGTTTATGAACCACTTATAGCCAGTAGTTTTGGAATGTACACATCAAAAACCAATGTAAAAATTGTTATAGTCCGTTCACAAAATTAAGAGAAGAAGTTTTCTTAGTTCTTCAACCACTTTTGCTTAATGTATGTTGTAGGTTGTTTATGTTTACTGTTCGCATTTTGCTTCTATGAAATGATTGATTAGGGCCGTGGCGAGATGGGCGCTAATACGTTAAGGGCGCAATATTGATAATGAAATATAGCCTTCTGTTTATTATTAGTGTTTTAGTTAGGGATGGACAAGTCGCTAGTTTTAATTTTGAAAAAACATATTTTTTGAATTTTGGGCGAGATTAAAATAAGTTTGGGATTATTTTGTTCTTTCTGTAGGCTAAGTGATTTTGCCACAAACGCGGGAAACAATTACAATATCTCCTTAATGGCAGGAGATGATCATAATTTCCCCGGTGACGATAATGATGTCTGTGATTGAGGGAGATGTTTACGATTTTGTCGCTAACACTGAAGATGTTCAAGATGGCCAGGCGATTATCCCACTATTGCAGAATAAATTATAATCGTTCTATAATTGTAGGAGATGTTCAGCATGATCAAACCAATTAAACATTGGCTAGTATTAAAAATTATATTACTCATGCAACAAGTAATTTAAATCATTTTCTAAGAAGTTTGATTTTCGCAAGTAGTTTGAAGAACGATATTTACTCACCCCTGGCTTGCCTACATGACAAAATCAACTGCACACAAATTAACTATAGATTGCGGCTTCCATGAATAATATCAAAACATCTTTTGCATTATTCAGTGATAAGTTTTTGTGCCACTTTAGTTTATTAATGAGAAAAAAAAAGTAGGTCGTTTTTTTTTACAAATCTCAAAGTTGGTGGATGAAATGACTCTGGAAAATGAAATGAGTCACACTATTCATTGAATTAGTGACAAAAATATAATTCTTTGATGCTCTCCCAATAAATGTGGATTAAACAATTCAGCAAAATGGGTTTAAAACTACTTAAAAAGGGGCAATATTTATTGAATCAGTCGCAAAAATATGATTATTAAAGATACGACAATTCAATGCATCAATCATTTAAGATTTTCAACACTTTTCTTTCAAATGGTTTCAGGTTATTCTGTGTTCACTCATCACGCATGCGCTTCATAAGCGTACTCCTACTTAATTAAATAATTAATGTAACCTTTGGAAGCATGTAAGTCGTAGCCCTTAGGATTTTTGTTTATACCAATTAACTTTGGTAAATTTACACACCTCTATGCTTTGTTTTGATATGCATATATTTATATAGGCCTATATTCATATACCTATATTTATTTTGTCAAAGACCTTAAACAATGACCACAAATTTGACTGTATAATATTGATATTCTAATAGGCTAATCTAATACATAGTTTTTACTTAGAAATTTACCAACCATTATCTTTATCTCACCTTAATATGTCGTAAATATGTAGCCTATATTCAGGGTGGCGAAATTAAAGACTCGTTAGAGGCTAACCGATTTGTTATTTGACTTTTTGTTGATAATAACATTTAATAAATCACAACAAAATTGAGAGCTTCTTGTAACTGTAAATTGTATGATAAAATTAATATCTATTGGGCCACGTATATTGGATTTTAACAACTATTCAGACGTCAAATAACCAACTCAAACCAAACATTTACCCTATTTTGTCAAAATAAGATTACAGGCATTCATTAAAAGAACATTTCCCAAAGGTCTAGACAGTGTTCAGTGAAACCTTTCCTCCTCTACCCGACTCAAACATAGTTGGAAAATGCAAATTTGGTAAGTTTTTTTCTGCGGGCAATGTGCTTTATGTTAAGTCTAGCAAACACAGTCCAAACCATCTTTTCAGCAGTTTCATTAGCTCGTTGGTATTTGTTTACTCACAAACTAAGGTCATATTTGTGTTATGCAGTCGACAACATTGACGTTTTGCCAAACAGCTGTTGATTCATCAAGGTCGGGTGGAGAGGGGATAGAATTTTTCTCCTAAAACCACGTACATTTTGGGAACAGAGTATAATACCTTTACTCTCAGTCTCAGTACATTAGATCTACATATGACACAAAATTTCCAGTTTATTTAAATTCTGGACAGAAATGACTTTGTTTTGAAATTGAAAGTATTTACAGTTGAATGAATTATAATTTTATCCTTCAGGAATATTCAATAAAATTGGAATCCACTGATTTTCCCTCTGAATATGTTGATTACAATCATAAATAATCTTGTAAAATGGTTTTAGAGAAATCCAGTCAGACATTTTTAAAGTTTGTTTGTGGTTCTTTTTACTCAAATGGCCAAAATGTGTTTAGAATAAAGCCCCTATTTTTTTATCCTAGTTTATTTAATAATATCAAACTACTAGGTAAATTGAATAAGTATAAGTTAATTACCCTAAAAAAGTAGTTTAGACTAAATGTATCCAAGTATCCTTGGTTTTTTATATCAAGTATCCGAAACAAGTATCGGAGAGACTGAGGTTCATGGCGGTTTTCCAGAGCCAAGACGAAATCAAGGTATGTTTTGTAATCCATTTCTTCATCATAAGTAAGGCATTCTTGAAAAACTTTCTCTAAAAATACTTTGGTTAAAGTACCAGTTCCATATCTGAAAAATTATCACTATTAAGTTACTTTCTCGAGTTAAAAATAGGCCTTCATATATTTTTTTGCAAAATAACTGCTATGGTTTATAAAAGAAAAGAAAATGATAAACTTGACTAGGTAGGTAACCCTCAAAGTAGGAAGCTTTATCATAGTGGTGCATCAGTGCATGATTTTTAAGCCAAGCAACATGAGTTTAAAACTGGTTGTTTCAAATTTGCATTTTTGTAGCTTCATAAATTGAAGTGTTTGATTACATTACAAACATTAGACTTTCTATTAAATACTTTAGGCATTGTTGAAGATACAGGTGGGTGCTTGCTTTTCAAAAATCTACCTTCAAAGCATCACAAAGAGAGTGTTTGCTACTAAATATGTAAAGTTCATTAAATTACCATTATCGTATGTAAATTTCATAAATATCCTGTAAATATTAACAGAACAGAGATACGATGGATTGTGTTTTGCGATCAAGATTATCTACCATGATCACCGGGTAATCATAAACATATCCTGTGCAGTGATCATGCCGACATGGTGAATTTTTCAGTTTGAGTAATCTTTGCAGACGATTTTGGCAATTGCTATAATATTGCAAGAATAAAACCACGGCATGGCTCGGTTTTCTGACTTAGTACTCAAGCTTTTAAATTTCAGCTTGGCTTGAAAATTGATCCACTCGCACACTTCTAATATCTGTTTACAAAGAAGTAATTTATGAATAATATTGTGTTGGTAGATTTGTTGTGCTATTTGAATACCAATCAGCAATACAAAGCAAATATCTTGCAGCTATACCATAGACTAACCAACACAAGTAGACTTCTCATCCCATCATAAATGTTGAAGCTCGTTTTCCACGTCTAGTTAATGTTGGTGACACTGACTGATAGTGTCAATGACATTTGTTTCTATTATTTTAGGGTTAATTTCATGATTTGTGCTTTACTGTTTGGTTATATAACTAGAGGATGAGTTGTTGTTTATGATTATATTATGTTATTTCGTTAAAAGAAGTTTTAAATAACTGAAATAACAAGAAACAAATTGTAAACAAAACACAGTGCACCAGGCGGAACTAAAAATAAAGTTATCTTAATCTGATCCATAAGGATGAGAAATCTACTTAGGGAGTATGTTTTATATGTAGTATGTTTTTATGGCAATACTTAATAATATTTTTCAATAGTATAGTCTGTGAATAGATAAAATAATTTTGATTTATCTGGAATTAGTCTACAGCACATCTGCACAATTAACGACACATACCCAGCCAATTCTTCTTTACTTATCATTCCATTATGATCCTTGTCCAAATTTAGATACTGGCCATAGACTTTTAGTGCTGAAGGAGCAGAAAACCAATTAGCTAACTGCACATCTTTGGTTAATTCTTCATCTCGTAACTGAAAACAATCGTATTATTTATTATAGTTTTATAACTATATTTCATATAGAAGTAGGGGTGTGCGATGCATCAAAAATGCATCAAAATTCCGATTTGATTCGTGAGGGAGTTAGTATCCATATACGAAATACACCTGCAGAAAGTCAATGCACCCGCAATACAGGAGCGAGTTGTTGTGTTTAGTTTGCGAAGGAGTTCTTATTTAATTAATTCTTTGCTTGTAAATATTTCTTTAATTGTTTATTATTTTTTTGTTTTGACATTGCAAATGACAAGAAGTTTTGTTAAGTGCAAGCAGTGTGAGACATGTTTTACTACTGTAAACATAGCCAAAAACAAATCACTCCAAAATCATTCAAAAAATAAAACACAAGTCTGAAAAATTTTTACTTTATCTTTAACTTGTAAGATTGATGTTTTAGACTAATAAATTTGGTATTTTTGTAGGTCTGCTTTGTACACCTTGTAGTTTGTAGGTCTGATTCTATCCTCTCATTTTATCAATGTAAAACAATAACAATTGAAGGTTACAGTATAAATCTTGCAAATGTTTTTATTTGTTTACACCAAAACATATCTTTATTTGTAAAATCAATATTTTGAAATAGGTAACATGCTTAACAATATATTCTGCAAGTGAAAATTATGAAATAGGCAAGTAAAGCAGCTCAGCTCACCGACATTTCCAGCAATACAGGTTCTTCTATATGATTGAAAATAAATATTTTTCACCAAAGATTTATGTATGTCATAATATGTATGAATAGGCCTAATACCATATCAACAAAAATTTTAATTACACAAATGTGGTAAATTTTAATTGGCCTATTGATATTTCACTCCATTGACAAGTATGAATAAACAAATGCAGTCCCAGTATTGCTTCGAATTGAGTTGCATCAATTCGAATTGAAAATCTTTTTGAAGAAAAAAAATCTGTTGAATCAAATTGTTGCTTCGAATTGAAAACCTTTTGCTGCTTTGCACACCCCTATATAGAAGAGTGTTAAACATTTGACTTGACAGGCTACATATTTTTTACATCTGTAAAAAACCATTTTACTAGGTAGGTAGGCTACTGCAAAAAAGCACAGTATTGCCAATAGGCCATAGTCTATATGGAAGTGTACAAAACTAAAATATATACAAATTAATGTATAGGTTTACTTAATAAAATATTTACATTCAGAAGTAGGCTTATAGCTGAAAGTGCTCTGAAAAGTAGAAAATATAATATCCCCGCCACAGGGAACCTGCAGACTAAGTGAATTTCCTTTTACCTGGCTGAATTTCCACTAAAATATTCCATTAAAATTTGTAGATTTACTTTTTGATCATCTTATATATAAAAAAAATTGTTTTTCTTTTCCAAGATTGGCTCTTCTACCTGACTGATTTACATGATTGAGGTCGCCAATTAAAGGTATGCACACGCACAGATTTGCCATCAAGCATCGGCATATATTTATCTATAATCCCACTCTGCTTATACGTAAACAAAATTTGCTCCCCATGTGTTTCTTATGGGAGTTAAATTTAGTTTCTCTTTTCTGAGTTCGTTTGGCTCTTCTACCCGACCGATTTTCATGCTTGAGGTCTCAAATTTTCATGCTTGAGGTCTCAAATTGAAGGCATGCGTGCAAAAATTTTTACATCAAGCATCGGCATATATTTACCTACTGTATTACTCCGCCAAAAAACATAATTTGATTCATTTTCAAATTCTGACTTCAATTTAAGATGTATTTCACCAGTTATAATTATATAATCCTATATATTTTGGTCTAAGAACCTTCAGCAAAATACCGGCTTTCATTTAAAGTATTAGTTATTCAAATTGAACGAGTTTCAAGCAAACGCAAGGTGAACAACCAACATCAAAATTATATTTCATAAGTTTTTTCGATGATTAAAAATCAATAGCTCCAGTACTTTTCATGTTTTTTTATATGTTTTAGACTCAAAACAATCAGTAAATTATATGCTTTAGTTTGAGCTCAAGATACTATATTACTAAATCAAAAGTCATTAATTTGATTATTCCTCGGATATTATATTTATTTTAAGTAAGGTTACAGAGCAGCATGGCTCCTCTAGTTATTGACTTAATCTATTGTATGTTTTATATTTATTAAATGATCAAATTAATTGTCAACTGTCTACCTCAAGTAAGTCGTCGAGAAAGCTGCAAGCAAGAATGTCCTGAATCCTAACTCTGCCAGTGCGGAGTGGGTCCAGGAAAAAGAAAAACTTGCGGACAGCAGTACAGGTGTAAAAACTGTGAAACGATTTATCCAGGCCGTCCAGTTGTGGTAGTGTTGGTATAAGATCTTGAATATAGTTTTCAAGGTCCTAAAAATTATAAAATTTTTTTATTAAATTACTGTTGACATAACATAAACAAATCACTTTTAATCTCATAATATATCAGCTTCAATTGGCTTACTTTACTTATTTTGACTGGTCATTTATTTAGGAAGATTCAAAAATACCATCAAACAGTCGAATCAACCAAAGGGTGCAAAATTAGAAGGAGCCTATTTATTTGCAGTAGCAAAAAATTATGAGGATGTCATTGTTTCACTTTTGTATTATTGCGCTATGGGTATTTATCAATTTATTTCAGACATTTCTTTTTTTATCAATTAGTTCATTTTGGTAGGTATCGTGATAAATTCAATCATGGGCGCCAATCTGGGGTTCCCCACAGGCTCTTGGGGGGTCGGTTGAACCCAGTGCCGCGCTTCCTCGCGTAATCAAACAGCAAGCCAAATGGCTAACCATCATATATCGTAGCCTCATTATTGCCGTCTGAAATGGGGATGTACCTTGTGTCTTAAATATTTTTGTAAAGTGAGACATATTTTATGAAGGCTAAAGTAGTGTAGCATTAAATACTCACAGGTTCTCTCAAATACCCATGTCCAGTTTCATCGTAGAGTGAGAGACCAATCCTTGTCTGATGCAACCAAACCTTCCTCATGACATAGTTGAACAATGCCGTGATGCTGACCCTACCACAAGGGTCATCCTGCTGCAGCTTGGCAAACACTACGGGAGTGAAGTAGGTCCTGCAAACCATAACTCTCTGGTAAGTGGTTGGTGCTGTACACCTTTTACTTTGCTTGTTATCTTTCATGATGGCTTTAGAACAGAAAAAGTAGTGGTTGCAAAGGGAGAGAAACTCAAAAGTCTTACACAACAGGAATATTAATGATTATAAAAATGTTTAGGCTACAATTTTTTAAATTACTTTCCATATTTTAAGTTATCAGATATTTTAACTAATATCAAATCAATCAAATCAAATCAAAAATGCTTTACTTATTTCATTCACATAGGTACATATAAATAGTGTCAAACAATTATATTAAAAATACATCAGTCTCTGAACCTTAACTATTTTAACACAATTTGTCCTGAAATATACTTTTTAGTTCTTTTGTGAACAAAGGTGAAAAAACTCATCTAAAGAATATATTTTGGTTTGTTTACTATGAACTCTTTGAGTTTCTTCTTAAACTTTACAAAATTCTTTTCAGACTTTATATTTTTTGGTAAATGTATAAAGAATTTCTTTCCCGAATATGTTGGTCTTTTCTGGTAAAATTTTAATCTGTGATGATTTGAAATTATTTCATTTTTATGCCTTGTATTGGCATATGGAAGATTTAGAACTTACTGCCTCATTTTTAGAAATTAGTATGCAGTCATAGATATATTGTCCATAAACTGTGGGAATTTTAAGATTTAAAAAGTGTTCCTCTTTGGCTGATTGATCATAATTTAGTTTAAGAATTATTTTTATGGCTCTTTTTGTTCTTTCAAGATACTGTCCAAATTTATTTTCCCTGTTGCTCCAAAAAGATGTAATGTGACTGTAGATATGACGTTATGTCTCCGATCCACAGTATAACGACATTTTCCTAAGAGGATAATACACCATAGCTGTGACCATATAATTTAATTAAGCTCAGATAATTGAGACACATATCAACCAACACAATCAAGTGAAGACCAATTGAAAGAAAGAACAACATATCAAGCAGGCAATCCACGTGAAGATTCCTCCAAACATTAGGACTATGCATTTTGATAATGAAAGTAGACTACTTTATGTTTTAATACTTTTCAGTGAAATGGTGACCACACAAAGTAGGTATTTTAAGCTAAGTATGAATGGAGATGAGTATAGGATGAGTGGCGCGATCTTGCAGTCTTCTTAGCTGTTAATTAATAGCCCAACAAATTATCAGGATAGTACTGCAGATAGTCGTAGTAAATAACGTAAATCGTTGCTAAATCATGAACAACCCAAATTGTTCAAAAAATACTCATCCCCACTGCAACATTTGGAGCTAGTTTCTTATTAGCGAATTCCCATATAGGAAATAAGCTTTTACTGTAGGTCACATGGTAAGATCTGGACCCAGTAACGATTTACTTTTTCGTTTTGAGGTCCCCAGAGTCCAAAAACACCATCCGTTCAAATTCATATATATATATATTTTACTAGCTGCCATACCCGTGCCTTGCAACGGGTTCGAATTGCAGAGGAGACAAAATTTTAGTTCCTTGAAAATGCCGTAAAATGGTTGTTTCATCCTCCAATTTATTTGGAAACAAAATTCAACTGTAACACTTAACTTTATAACAGTCCGTTTTTGTTAACATGTTGACTGCAGCCTACTGCTATAGCAGTAGCGCGGCACTGGCACTGCTCGTGGCCTACTGCTATATCAGTAGTGTGCTCGCCTGCTAAACATTGTGTCAGTATGAGCCCAGCACACGGCCGGGAACGTTGTGATTGTTCCCAGGCTGTAGCTTAAGAATGCGAGCTTTATTTTGGTATAGGTTGGTACTAAATATTCCCCTTAAAATCCCGTCTGGCAATGCTTTTGTCCCATTTTTGGGGATTTTCTCTATTAGAGCCATATTACAAAGACTCTGGTTATTGATCCAGGCAGTGCTGAGCTCCCTTTGGGTGTTTCAGTGAACTACGTCCCTGCTCTTTTGTGATTCGTTTTACTGAGATATTTCAATGCCAATAGCGATTGCTGATTCAGTAGCGCGCCGGGGCTCCGCCCGCAGTTTAGGGAGCGCCATTGTAAAGGTTTTCAGCAGTAAACGTGTTAACTCAGACTGTGAACACTTATTTAGGCTAGGCCTAGGATGGTGTAAGAGCCAATGCACTCATGAAAATATTATATGTGAAACTATATGATTTTATGTTTTAAATAGGCTAGCTTACTAATAAGTGTATTTACTTTGAAAACAAATTTGGAACTCAATTGTTAGGTAAAACAAATTCTAAAGCTAAGGGTAAGGGTAATGTGGTGTACGAAAAAATCATTGATTGTTATAAATGTCACATAACAAAGGATACAAATAACCCAAATGCTTCGATTATGGTAAGGCCTCTTTCCCTGAAGTATATCTTACACTGAGATAAAAGAAAAATTATAATATTTGCCCTCTTTTGGTTATCAAATATATCCTTGTTATTTACTTACTTCACAATTTTCTATATTTTATCAACAAATAACTTACAAAGAGATGGTTAAAATTGGCAAATCTTATAGCAAGTAAGTGTCACTTTGCCCGTTCCAAAATTCAAGACCCTTAAATTTACACTCTTACCATTGATTATAGAAAAATAACATTAACACTTTTTCCAATGATTTGAGAAAACAAAAGTCAACTGCAAGCAGCTTAGTTTTAAAATATTGCCGTTGACATAATAATTGAAGCAGCTGTCTTGCTAAATTAACCACAATGAATAAAGAAATTATGCTATGATCAAGTTTAGTAAAAATATGAATACATTTTTTCCAACCCCAAAGCAGGCATGAAACACAGATCACAAGAGGCTTGAGATATAACAATAGGATGCAAAACATATACTTCTGCTTCTCTTCTTTATAATAGTATTGATAGATGTACAGGGTGGAAAAAAAGTCCCAGGACGGTTAATATTTCAAAAAGTAATAAAGATAGAGCTTCAGAAATTGGTACACAGTTACTGGGCTTTAAGGTCATTTTAACACATTGTTCCCTCTAGGAGTCAGAAGAAAATCTTAAATGTAAGCATAGGTTGATATGCAAATAAAATTAAAGGTCTTTGTTGGTAAAATACAATGCCGCAATCCCGAACTCAAACGGACAATCAAGTAAAAAATGACAGCTATTCAAAGATGCGCTGAATTTGCATTATACGCTACCTCCTCAGGAAGTTGCCTGCTAGAAGTTGGAAGAAAATCATAAACAAATGCATAGGTCGATATGCACATCAAATTAAAGGTTAAAAAAGGTTAATTAAGGTTAAAGGTCTTTAAAAGTTAAATATAATGCCACAGATTTGAGCTCAAAAGAACAACTGAGTATAAAATGGCAGATTCAAGAAATTTTTGAACGGCTGCCATTTTTGACTTGGTTGTCTTTTTGAGTTCAAGTTTGCAGCGTTGTATTTTACTAGTACCTTTAATTTAATGTGCTTATCAACCTATGCTTACTTTTCAAATTTTCTTTACAACTAAAGTAGTGTATCACTGAATCATGTGTTAAAATGATGTTAATGCGCAGTAACTGTGTACCAAGTTTTAAAGCTCTATCTGTATTATTTTTTTAAATACTTGACCGTCCCAGGACTTTTTTTCTACCCTTTATATGTGTCCGTTAGAACGATAACTCGGGACAAAAATTGTCTGATTTTGATAAAATTTGGTACAAACGTTTAAACCTACATTTATTCGAATGGTTTTGCAAACCAGCATGATTGGACTATGGGGACAGGGGTTTATTGGGGTAAAAATGGGGTTTTCCCAGTTCACTCTAAAAACACAAAATTTTAGAATTTCTTTCTTCTTTTATTACAAAAATGGCCAAAACGTGCATTTTAGAACACTTAAATATTAAATTTCTTTGTTTATTTTATAATTTTTTCGAGGTATTCCCTGCAAGTCCACCTATCTCGACCCCCCCCCCCCTCTAGTGCAATGGATCCCAGATTACTTAGGTGGTAGTGTAGTGTAGTTGGTTACAGTTGACTATGTGAGTGGAACTATCTATATAGGCTACCTGCATTTCTGTCCAACAAGCTTGGCTACTTTACAGAAGTTTTCATAGTTAATCATTTGCTCTTCATTAGATGGAGGTGGAGAATGATGTTTGTCAAGAAGAATCCAAAGTGCCTGTAAGAAGTGTAACACCCAAAATTACAAGCCATGTTATATAACAAAGCACACTATCAGGAAAATTCAACAAACAAAAACTAAAGATTATGTTCAACTTATCTGACAACAAACATAATGCTAACTAGGCAAAACTCTATCCTCTAGTAAAAAAAACACATTTGTTCCTATTATCAATCCTATAAAATGTCTGTTGCTAAACCTTTGCGAGAAAAATTGCAACAATTTTTGTCTATTGAACCCTCTGAACTAGTAAAAATCTGATGATATTGAAGGCATATTTAACCCTTTTGGGGCTCAATAGACAATACCCTCAAATTGTTTAATCAAATAGGCTACATTGTCAGAAATATTACTTAAAATCATTATTGCACTGGAAAATCTTCTGCAAATGTACCATTGTTTTGTAAAAGTCTTAAGTTCATTTCAGTTGCAATGGATATTTATGATGATCTGAATTGTCTTATGTTATCTATGTCAGTTTGCTAATCACTTCCTCACAACTCAACAATTTGATGTTTGTTTAAACAATTTGTTTCTATTATAAAACAATGGCTTAAGGAAAATGTTTTTTATTCCATAGACGATTATCTGGCCTGTGATATTAGTTCCCTATGTTTTTAGAACATCAATGTTAATATTAACATATTTAAATATTTAATTGTTATTATATTTAAAGATTTTATTGTTATTATATTTACAGATTTTATTTTTGATCATTGACATGTAAATTGTTAATTTATTTATTTTAGAGTTAATTATGTTTAACTGTTATTTTTTAATAACTCTTGATTGCTACTCACTTGGTGCATTCTTGCTGTTAGGCCTACTCTAACAGGAAATTAACTGTATGTATTATTAGAAAAAAAAAAGAAAAAAACTTTGACGATGTCTATTGTAATACTTGTATTGCTTAATGACAAATAAAGATCTTGAATCTTGAAAAAACTCCATGGCCAAATCTCTTTTTTTACATGCCAGAACAAATACACACATTTAAGGTTTTCAACTCAGATCATATTTTAAGCAGCAAACCTTAAGTTCATTATTGTCTGGGAGTTGGCGAGTTCTCATTTGTAGAAACATTGCCCGTGCATCTTCCCGAAGTTTGTGTGGCAAAAGCTCCTCTTCTTTAGGTACCTAAAGCAAAATGAGTATCATCTCTTGAGGTTACAGTTAATTACCTATGAGATAATCTGATGTTAAATATTTGTACAAGACTAGGGTCTTTCTGTGGGTATCTTATGACGAGTTACAACAGGGTCTTTTTTTACTTTTATTGGTTACGGAGAAAATTCAAAAAAATTGTTATTTTAAAATTCCCATGTTATTCTTATGAAAAATATTTTAAAATATTGTAGTTTGCTTGTTTATGGATATATTTTGATCAAACTTTGTAAATTTTTTTTTATTTTATACTAAGTAATTAATATTTTACCAAAAAACACACTTTTTAGTGAATTTCCCTATAGGGAAGTAGCTATTACCGTAGGTAAGACCTAGGCCCGGGAGCGATTTGCTTTTTCATTTTGATGTCCCCAGAGGCCAGAAACACCATTCGTTCAAATTTTTATCCTACTAATAATATTATAAATGAGAAAGTTTGGATGTATGGATGTATGGATGGATGTATGGATGGATGGATGTATGTTTGTGACAAGTGAACGCGAAAAATACTGGTCGGATTGGGCTGAAATTTGGCATGATGATAGCTCACATTCCCGATTAACATATAGGCATATTCTTATTTCAAAAATCCTATCGGGCTCCGCCCCAGTGGCTCTGGAGTTTCCCATGTTAACCTTATGAGAAATGGAATTATTGAATCTTAACAGCTGTTTCAATTAAACAAGTTGGTTCTGTTCTATGATGTTCAATAGCATTAAAGTTACACAAGGACCAACAGGGTGCAGCACTATTATTTCTTTTACATTTATGACAACAGCTAATTTGCAACGAAAAGGTGAGTGAGCGTAGCGAACGAACTTCAACCTGGAGGCGAGTTAGCGTAGCGAACGAGCTAACCTGAAGGCAAGTGAGCGCAGCGAACGAGCTCCAACCTAAAGGTGAGTGAGCGTAGCGAACGTGCTCCATTCTAAAGGTGAGTGAGCGTAGCGAACAAACTTCAACCAGGACGTGATTGAGCCATGCGAACGAGATAATCTTGAAAATTAAGAAGTTAAACGGGGCAAAGCCCGCGGGTTACAGCTAGTAGATATATATATATATTTGTCCATCCGCACGATAACTTGAGTAATTTTTGTTCGATTTTGATAAAATTTGGTTTGAAGGTGTAAGGCAGGATAAACTTGAATGAGTTCGCGAACCAGCATGATCGGACTATGGGAACGGGGTTTTATGGGGTAAAAATAGGTTTTTCCCATTTTTGACCCTAAAAACACAAAATTTCACAACTTCTTTTTAAACCATTTTGTAGAGCTTAAAAAACAAATAATTTAGTATATTGAAGCGTTATTATGCGCCTCATTGTTACGGAGAAAATTTAAAAAAATTGTAATTTTAAAATTCTTATGTTATTCTTATGGAGAATAAGTCAACTGTTGTAGTTTGCTTGTTTATGAACATATTTTGATCAAATTTGGAAAATACATTAATTTCTTACCAAACCACAGTACTTTTTAACATTTTACATTAAAAAATCTTGTTTACCCTCCCTGTTGCAGCAAACCTAAGTACTCATTAAACTAATTCTGTTTGAATAGGGAATAAATGTGATATTTGTAAGGAGACATTTTAGTTTAAATCCAATCAGGCAAATGGAAATTCGCTTAGTCTGCAGGATTGCTGCGGCGGGGGTATTTACCATCCATGTAGCAGCAAGCCTAGGAACTCATAGAACCTAATGTTAATTAAATACATTTAACTGAAAATCAATTCAGGCAAATGGAAATTCGCTTAGTCAGCAGGTTTGCTGCCGCGGGGTATTTTTGTAAATCCTGGATTGAATAGAAAGAAAACATTGGGTTCACAAAATCAATCTGATAGACATTAAGTCTTCCCTCTCAAAAATTAAAAAATATCCAGGGAAGTTTTACAATTATTGTCTAATAATTGTTATACTACTGTATTCTATTGGAAGGTTTTTAAATACTGTAAGACCTCGTTCACACGTATCGACTTTCTGCCGTGCGCCGTGTATGCTGTGGTCTATTATGGATGCGTTTACACAGGTCGACGCAGGGCCATCCTGACTCGGTCTAGCGCATGCGCAGACATTGTTTATTTCAGTGTCTTCCTGGATTCGAGAGGTGTAGTACATCCATCATAAAAGGCGGAATCTTCCACTTTTGTAAAAAATTTGTAAAAATAACTTATGTGAACAGTTCACAGGTTCATAGTATTATTTACTATAAAACATTAGTTTTTTAACAGTGAAGTCATGCCTTAAGATGGGCCACAAAGCTCGTTTGTAAAGATTAACCAGATTTATTTGGAAATGAAGTCAGCTTACATAATTTGTATGATAAATAAAATACACCTTTTAGCCCAAAACCTGAGAGTAACGCTAAGTCTCTCCACAGCACGGCATCTCTCATCTTAGTGTTCTGTTTCTTTAATTAAGCCTCCTTGTACTTTTACTAACAGTTTATCGAATGAAGCAACTGACATTCGAAAAAATAATTATAAAATTAACTTTTGTTCTTTCTTAGAAAAGAAAAGAACTGAAAAGAAGGAACGAATGCTCCTGTTACTGGCCTTTGCATGTTTATAGGGTGTACCCACTTTAGCCTATTACACCTCCTTTTGCTTAGACGATGTAGCAAGTATAAAAAGAGCATACTTGTTTGGTTAACCATTTTTACAGAATGAAGAAATGTGGCAATAAGTCATCTACGCACGGCGCAAGTCGTGTTGTTCATGGCGCAAGTCGGGTGGTCCACGGTGCGGTTCAGGAATGCACAGCGCATGGCGGAAAGTCGATACGTGTGAACGAGGCCTAAGTAGTATCGTTGGAAATTGTTATAAGATAATGATGTAAATGTTATAAATGATGAACTGAGTAACCTTGGTTATTTCTTAATTATTTACTACTTTGCATATGCTGTGACTATCACAATACAGTAGACCCCCTCTTAACCGACCCTAATGGGACCGGACCTAGGTCGGATGATTCAAAATGTCGGATAAAACGGGCAATCCCTAAAATCATAACATAATAAAGTGCTATTCATTTGGAATTATATAATCATTATTTTGAAGTCATACTCGCATTATTTATAAAATAAACTACTCTTATCTCCTTTTTCATATTGATAGAAATGTCACAAATAAACCCAAAACACGGTTAAGTCAAATAGGCATACTTTCAGTGAATATATTATACTACTAGGCAAGAGTCAATAAAATTCCTATTTTAATAACTTTACTACTGTAATGTATTAATTGATGCTTTCCAAATACATCGTAATACAGTAAAGAACCTTTTGTCGTCATTAAAGATACAAGCAACCATTTTGTTACAAGACAGGACGTTTATTTATAGCCTCTCACTGGAGGCTCGAGGCACAAAAACTATCTTGACCTTGGAGTTGTTAACACCCCTTCCCTGCCTTCCCTACAAGTTGTGTTGTTTGTTTACTCCAGCGATAAGATAATCAGTTCTTAAAATCGTAACGCACTTTATGATGTTATAAATTTGCCGCACAGATAACAAATCAGATCAGAATATGTGCTCGAGTTACGAACGATGATGACAAACTGACAATAGGCTATGCTATATTTTTTGTGATCATCACAAAATAACTTATTGTTAGTCATATCCTGTGGAGATAAGCGTATATGGTTCAGTTCTCATCGCCCAGCGTGGGAGCGGAAATGCCGAGTTTCCTAGAAAGCGGCGGTTAAACCAAGCTGCTCTCAAAGCAAGGTCGGTTAAAACAAACTGTATTATTTTACGATCAAAGGCGGATAATCCGATTATCGGTTAATACGAGGTCGGTTAAGAGGGGGTCTACTGTAGTAGCATCTAGCAAGAAAAATTAAACAACAATATTGTTCAATGGAAATTCAAAATATAATTATTAAGTTTTAATGAAACTTTAAAATTTAGTTTTCAAAGAAAAAATATTTTTTAACCCTCCGAGTGTTTTGTGTCGATGCATCGACTCACAAACACTGTTTACGGCGAAGGCTCTATGACTGACAAAATCGGATTGAACTGGATCGAGTTAGGTATCGTTTTATTTTGCAGATTCAGAGCTTTCTCCGGAGGTCTGTCTCTAAGCGCTTTTCATTTTAGTTCCGAAAATATTGTAGCAGACAGCTGACGTGCGTATTTGTAAACAGCTTGGTTAACCTCGCACCGATGACTGATGTGTTTTATTACGTTTATCATTGTTTTAGTGTTAAAAATCAAAAGTAGTGATATACGTGGTGCATTATAAGAAGATTTAAGTGATTTTGAAGGGCTGGTTGATGATCCTGAAGAAGTAGGTATGATATTGATGTAAATTATCAGCAGATTCCTAGCTATGGTTAGGCTATGCATTCTTAGCTAAACGCTATGTACCGAAATCTGTTTTTTGCCCATAACTTATTTATTTGCAAAAATCTACTTCCTTATATTATTATATATTTGTAATCCTCATAAAATTTACAACAAAGTGGCTATTTTAAAATATTTATAGGCCTATAATTTATACAATTTCATTGAGCGCAAACTTATTTTTTTTTGAAAATTTTCCAAAATATATTTTTTTTACCTACAAAATTTTTTTGAAACAAATGTTCCTTATGTTTTATGTATAATATTGAAGCCCATGATTTTCCGAATAAAATGGTATATAGAACAGTATCATTAACATTGTTTTCATTCTTCTCAGATTCGTTTTAATAAAACCTTGCAAATGAGCAAAAAATAGGCAGACATTAAGGCCAAAACAAGGGACACTCGGAGGGTTAAACAACAAAAGGTCAATAGAATTTTGAGAGCCACTAATCTTTACTGGTAAGAAGGGATTTGGGGCATGCGCAGAACGTTTTGCTCCTTGAAACATCAAACATCGTGCTGTATCGGATCCATTATTCAAGGGGCGGCTGCTCAAATGTTTCAAGACCATTTTTCCTCACAATACTTGCTTCAGGTGAAATGCTGCATCAGTGTACGGCTGGCCTTACTTTGTGCGAAAACTATTAATCTAATTAGTGGAGCTGAGGTAGTAGTGTTTACAGTTTGGTTTTAAGCATTCACTGTTGATTGCTTTTTTTGTTTTTTTCAAATGGATTGAAGTTGGCTTAGTAGGAGAGACTGTGTAGGTAAAGAGAGTCCTCATAATAGCGGTTCTCAAACTATGGGTCATGGGAAGAGAGGAGAGATAAAAAAATTTAAAAGATTTTTGACTGGTACCTGTGATTTCTCACAACCTGAACAGTCAGGTAAGCCCCAGAAAAGTACCTACAGTCTTGAACCGAATAATGTCTTGAGTTTGATAATGTTTTATCGGTGGTCTAAAAATGAACTCATGTTAGGGGTGCCCAAAAATAAGTTTGAAAGGGACCGAAAAAAATTCTGTTACACCACTGCATTGATTCTTATCAAAATTTTCTAGCCTAACATACATGAAAAAAAATTGGCTGTAACTTATTAAGGAATTTGTTATACTGAAGTTGATTATAGGCATATTGAGTTTGCAGAGTAATTTCCAGCAGTAGTCCAGTTAAATCAATATATGTATCTAAAGAGAATGTGGATACATTATCTTACCTTAGCAGTATTCTCACCTTATAATAGAATCTTGGAATTGCTGAATAAGACTGATCATCAACAACATTTTTCTTTGGATTCAATTGATTGTAAAACTCCAAAAAATATTCTTCTTCTGATTTTCTTTCACTTTTATGGACACTGGAATCTAAGCATATATGTGTACAGTAACTTATATCATTATACTTCAATGATAAATTAATTGACCCAGAATTTTATTTCGATTCAAACATAAACGTGGTTGACAATCAATTCGTGGTACAGATACAAGGTGGGACTCAAAAGTAATGAGCCTTTTTTGAGAACTGTTATTAGCTGATCTGATCATTACATGGGATTAAAATCTTCAAAATAGGACCCTCCTGCGTCGATTTCTTGAAAGGGTCCGTGTTGGCCTTTTCTCGGATGGCTGGAATGACCATTTTGACAGCAGTTTGTATTTCCTAAATGGAGTCGAACTGACGTCCTTTCAGCGCTGTTTTTATAAAAATAAAAAAGTCAGGGGTAAACACGTCCGGACTGAAGGAAGAAATTCAGGATCTTCATAGCACATTTGAAGCAGTTCTTGAGATCTGAGTACTCGCATTTTTTTCTGCTGGACAGTCAAGAGCCTAGGACAAGCTTTGCATGCACTTTCCAAATGCGCAGATCCTTGGTAATAATGTGTTTCTCTGTGGTTTCTAACATATTTAACTTAACTGACGGTCTTTGTTTGAAAACTCGTGCACACACACTGCACATTTTCATCCATTTGGGCTGTTAGCAGGCGTCCAGACCAGGGCCCATCGCTGAGATCTTCTCGGCCCTCCTGTAAAAACCTTGAGCCACTTTTTTGATTTGGAAATCAAGACACTAATCTCCAAAGGCCTAGTAAAGCGAGGCAAATGTTTCTGAAGGAGTATTGCCAGACTGGATACGAAATTTGATCCTTAATGTTCTAGAGAATTCTCCGTTTCGCCTTGTCACAAATCAACAGACAGAGGTTCATGTTATGGTTGCTCCTACCAGTCTGAGAGCTTGGAGGCAATACTTTTAATACTTAAATTCTTTATTTTTCATTGAAATGGCGACCATACAAAGTAGGAATTTAAGCCAAGTATGAATGGAGATTAGTGTAGAATGAGTGGCGCAATCTTGTAGTCTTGTTAGTGACGATGGCCAAAATATTCCTTAGACACAGCTGTTAACTAATAGTCGATACAGCTAATGGCAACTAAAAGACCGACAGTTTATAGTACACATTTTTGCCTTGGTATTAACGAATTGGTCTAATTATCAGGATATTACTGCAGATAGTCGTAGTACTCACTAGTGCGGATGTTAATCCACACCAGGGAGTAACGCATCCACAGTGCATTTCTATAAATATCCACAATTCGTGACCTCCTAGTAGCTGGATTACAGGACGACGCCACCGTCCCAGTCATAATACTTAAATTTAAATTAAAGCGAGCTGCGGTGTGCGTGATATTGTATGCATGGTATCTTTACGTCAGGAAAAAAACCAGGCTCATTACTTTTGAATCATACCCTATGTACAGCCCAAAAACGGTTTGAAGTTATCTAAGTAGGCCTACTCCTATCTAGAGTCAAGAGGGTCCAGGAACACAAAATAGAATAGTGCATTGTGTAAGACATTAAGCATTACTTCTGTGGCTGTGTTGCCTCTGGGTAGCAGAGAGGTTAAACTGCTCGTCTGGCAATCAAAAGGTTGCCAGTTCGGTCCTCATAAAAGTTAAGATCTTTTTGATGGTTGGAAACTGGACCTAGCTAGCCTTGATAACTCTTTTTAGCGAATTTCCCATATAGGGAATAAGCTATTACTGTCCGCGAGAGTAAAGAAGTCCCCTGAGCTCCGGCCTATTCGTAGTTTGAAGGCGTTACGCTTGAACGTTTCGCACGACAATTACTGTAGAGCCGTTTTCAGGATGCTCTGCTAGTTTAATTTAATATCTGTATGATTTTTATAAAACCATGTCATAATATTTTTTTGCATAGTCATACAATTGAAGGAAACCCATTTTCTAGTGTTACTAAGGCAAATTAATAACCTTTCTACTTTATGATTTTTGTTTAGTTAAATGTAACAATACCAATAAAATGCAATACAATAAAATCCTTTTTAAATCCGAGTTTGAAATCATTAATCCCAAATAATTAGTTGATCCATGAATATACTTATGGTAAATTCATATTACCGGTACATTATTATTATAAGTACACGAGTACAGCAGTTTCAATAGCATTCATCGCAATAAACAACTTATTATTAAAGTTATTAATCCTATTACCATAAACCTAAGCAAAAAATCAAGAAAACAAGCAAAATCCCTTCGTTTGACCCAATGTCTACGACAAATCACGCGGTTTGACGCGTTCATATCAGGTAACACGCCATTGACGTATTTGCCAAATTTTCTGGAATGTTAAATTACTGTCTATCCAAGTTTCGTCTAGATAGAAAAGTTTCCTTTTTTGTTCCCTTAGCTTTCTTATCTCTCGCAAATACTTAAACCTCCAATTAATGATGTCAGGCCTTTCAATCAAACATTTTTTTATGGACCAAATTTCTTCCACTTGAACCCCATATCTTTTAAGAGACGCCGAAGTACCCATTCGCTCCATTTAAAATTAATTCTTTCTCTCAAAACAGGTAATAGTTTTTTTACATGTAGGGAATTTTTTTTGTTCTTGTAAAAATCGTGTATTACATCTACAATTACGCCTATCAAAGCTATCTATTTGTATTTTATGGTGGTCAGCCTTCTTGCGTTTTTCCCAGGTGTACAGAGTTTTTCATCCGGAGTTTGTTTGCCGGCTTTTCTAATTCGTTTAATAGTTTTTTCTGGCACTTTACAATAGTTTGCGGCACGTTCTGTTGCCTTTTTCATCGGCACTAACAAATTTTTGTCTTTACATTCGTTGTCACAACACTCGATCACCCGTCTAATTAAATCCCTTTCTCCACTATATATAGTAGCACCACGTTTTCTTAAATCCATAGCTACAAGGACTGCCCAAAACAAAACAGAACTCACTACGCGAACACACGAGACTGTAATGAATCAAATGACGTGACCATATGATGATAATCCACTTACTAAAACAAAGATATGAGTAATTATGTTTACAACAGTTGTTTACAGACAGACATCGAGGCGAGGCGCCCAGATGCTTAGCGCCTGCAAATAGTGCGCGATACCCTCCAAACATAGCTGCGTATCGCTCTGGCTCAAGGGACTTCTTTACTCTAGCGGACAGTACCGTAGTACTCATGGTAAGACCTGGACCCGGGACCGATTTTTTTTTTCGTTTTGAGGTCCCTAGAGGTCAAAAACACCATCCGTTCAAATTCATATCCTACTTCCTACTATAATATTATAAATGCGAAAGTTTGGATGTATGGATGTATGGATGTACGTTTGTGACAAGTAAACGCGAAAAATACTGGTCGGATTGGGCTGAAATTTGGTATGATGATAGCTCACATTCCCGATTAACATGTAGACGCATTCTTATCTCAAAAGTCCTATCGGGCTCCGCCCCAGTGGCTCTGGAGTTTCCCATGTTAACCTTATGAGTAATCATATTTAAAAGGAGTAAAAGAATTTTGTCAGCTGTTTCAACTACACAAGTTGGTTCTATGATATTGAATAGCATTAAAAAATTACAAGGTTTTTTTTTTTTTTTTTTTTAAGGGAGAGGAGGGAAAATGCTTTTACGCACACAGGTAGCCAGCCTGTAGTGTGAGACTCCTGAATCTATCGCAGACTACTCACTAAAAAACCCCCTCTACTCTGTTGGACACAGACCTGGAATTGTTTGTCACATTACTTCAAGTCAGGCCAACATGTTACCTAAGCCCTCAGGGCTCTCACCGTTTATGGCATTTGGATACTTTATGACCTACACCGCATCCCGGTCAAGGTCGAGCTTCTTGGCGCAGAGAATACCCTGGATGTAATGTGACACACAGGTCCAATTGTCCTCACCCTCCGTCATCATCGGTATGACCGTGTCCACCGACAGCAGTCCTACTAACTGTTGAGCCTCCAGGCGGGGCCTTTCCCAACGCTGGCAGTGGAAAAAGGTATGTTCCACGTCATCGGGAATGCCTGGGCAGTATATGCAATCGGGTGACACGGCTTTGCCCATCCTGAACAGGTACGACCGGAAAAAGCCGTGACCCGTCAGAAATTGGGTGAGGTAGAAGTCCACCTCTCCGCACCGCCGATTAACCCAAGGTTGGACTTGCTTTATCAGTCGCCTGGTCCAGCGTCCCCGAGTCTCCTGTTCCCAGCTCTCTTGCCACAGCTGGTAGGTGCGGGTGCGTTCCTCTGTTCGTGCCTGGTCCTCCCCACGGCGCTGATAAATTGCTTTTCTCTCCGCCGCCAAAAGTTTGACGGGGATGACTCCAGCAACCACCAGGACGGCGGGTTCGGACACTGTTCGGTAGGCGGATGCAACTCTTAGTGCTGCCTGACGCTGCACTCGCGCAAGCCGCATCCTATATACCTCCTTATTTAGAGCGTCTGCCCACACCTCAGCACCGTACAAGAGTACGGACTGGACAGAAGACATTAACAGCCTTCTACGGCTGGACCGAGGCCCTCCGACATTGGCCATCAACCGGCTAAGAGAGGAGACCACCCTAGTGGCCTTGTCCGCCGTACGGAAAATCTGATCCCGCCAGCTAAGCTTGCTGTCCACCATAATCCCAAGGTACTTGGCAGAACGAACGGTCTGGACTTCAACGGCCCCTACCCTCAACGGCACGATGGTGTCAATCCGTTTTTTTGTTAATATCACGATCTCAGTTTTGCTCAAAGCAAGCGAGAGACCGTGGTCTGTCATCCATGCGTTTATAGTACGCATAACTCGGTTCAGCTTTAGCTGAGCCAGCTCAACGCTACGTGCAGCTATCAAAACTGCAACGTCGTCCGCGTACCCAACCAAAACAGTTTCCTCAGGCATTTCAGACCTCAGGAGGCTGTCATACGCGACATTCCAGAGGTCCGGTCCGAGTATGGAACCTTGGGCAGCACCGGAAGTGACACTCATCGTCCGTGGGCCCTCTGTAGTGTCATACAAGAGGAGGCGGAACCGGAGATAATCCTCTATGATACGCATAAGGTATGCCGGGACGTGGAAGGTGTTCTCCAGAGCATCCAGCATATCGCACCACCTCGCCGAATTAAATGCGTTTCGCACATCGAGAGTGACGAGCAGCACAACCCTTCGACAGTAGTGGTTAAAATCCTCAGCTCTCATCACGGCTTGCTTCACCTCTTCAACAGCGTCAACCGTAGATCGCCCCATCCTGAATCCATACTGCCGAGGGGACAGGTCCCCCGCAGCGACCACGGCTGAATTCAGTCGGGAACGTATCAACTTCTCGAGGACTTTTCCAGCCGTATCCAACATACACAGAGGTCTGTAAGAGGATGGCAGGTCTGGGTCTCCCTTCCCCTTCCCAACAAGCACAAGCCTAGCTGTTTTCCAGCACGAAGGGAAAACTCCTTCGACTAGGCAGGCATTGTACATGCGCAAAAGGATCAAGGGGTTAATAGTCAAAACCTTTTTGAGAACTTCGCCGGGTACCCCATCGGGTCCAGGAGCCTTATTGTTCTTCAGGGATAGGACGGCCGCCTCCACCTCTCCAAGACTGAAAAGTGGTACGTCATCCACCCTTCCGAAATCCCGCATGGGCGCAACGTGTGAGCCGGGAAAAGGGACTCGACTATCCTCTCCATAGTGGCCCCATCCATGACGGAAGGTGGAGAGCGGGTGCCAAGTTTCTTGGTTACCAGTTTGTAACCCAAGCCCCACGGATTGGAATCGATATCGTCCCTTAATGTCTCCCAGCAACTACGTTTACTCCGGTTGATGGCTCGACGAAGAGACCTCCTAGCCACTCTGTAAGCATCTGACTTACGACGTCTGTCTACAGGTTCTCTGGCCCTGGTAGCAAGTCTTCTGGCTCTCAATGCTGACCGACGCAATTCCGCAATCTCGGCAGTCCACCAGTACACAGGTCGCTTATTGCACCGGGATCTTCCGCGAGGCATAGACTCATCGCAAGCGGAGACGATTAGTCCCATCATGGATGTAACTAACACCTCTGCATGAGCCACGCTAGTTGCGGGGGGAACCACCGGTGTTCTTCGTAAGATGGCTTCATTGAATTTTGCCACGTCCAATTTTTTAATATTCCATCGAACGGGCACTTGACGAAACGCGGCTACTTGTCTCTGATGACCATCCAGGACAGCCAGTGCAGAGCACACATCAACCCCTGCAACACAACACGGGCACTCCCAGGGACTCCCAGTGAGTTCGTCGGTCACCCTTTTAGTCGCCTCTTACGACAAGCCCGAGAAGGCTGCGGTGCTATTCTAACCCGGTACCGCACGGGGTAAGTTACAAGGTTTACCAACAGGGTGCGGTACTATTATTTTTTTACATTTATAACAACATCTATTTTATAAAGGCCGTAAAGGTTAAATTATGTTTTTAAAAGGCTTATGTGTAACTATTTTATCAACAGATGTAAAGATCAATGGCAGATGTGGGGAAAGAGTTGAGCGTTCTGTTCAGTCTTGCCCGGGGTACATCAAGATTCTGCCTAGCTCTGGTGTTATGAGCATGATAGCACTAATAATATGCTTAATGATATTAGTTGAGAGGCCATACACATCTTTGCTTTTGGAAGCTTTCATTTTTGTGACAACACTTAAAACACTTTCACTGGTAACACATTCCCAGATGAAGGGAGAGCTGGAAACCCTTGCTTGCTGCAGGAACTCCTCGGAGGATGTTGGTGGCACAGGTATGTTGCCTTGACTTATAGCCCTTGACTTATAGCCAAAACAAACTTAGGCCTACCATTATCTAATATAAGCTACAGTACCTACCTATGTGCTGTAGGCTTTATATAGTAACTTTGCATCTTTGCAAACCTCAAGTGCATATTAAAATGAATTAGGCCTACGATTTCCAAAAATCTTTAACCGTCCAAAATATTAAAGTACTAACTTAAATTAACTTATTAGTACTTAAAACTCTGCTTTTGGACGATTTATCAACATTACGCTTGCTGTTGTGATATTAATGTGCATAGGCCTAAATCAGCTAGGCCTGTAGGTTGGTAACGGCATATCTGTTTTGGCAACCTAATTTTTACCAAACCATAATACTTAAATTTGGTCTACCAGTGACGTCATCGGGTTGTGGGGGTCCGGAACACCATTATCACAACGATACGATGTACAGCCATAAGTTTTTGTAGTGTAAGTTAGTGGATATAGTAAGTTACTCGGCTGATGTACAAGAGGTACCTAGATCGTATCCCATCGGTGACACTAACTTTTAGTCAAAGATTTTGCTTAGAATGCCATTTCTTCTTAACTGTACATCTTTTGTTAGAATTAGAGGCAATGAAAATTTTATTTTATGAACAGAATTTAACCTTCATTCGATTTTTTCATTATCAGCAAGTTTGGTTAGTTAGGTTATGACAGTAACCGTACTTGAGTATTAAACGGAGGCCACCTAACCTACAGAAATATTTCGGATACCAAAAATAACTACATACTTGGAAAGAACACACTTTAATAGATTAACAGGTGAAGTTTAGAATTAATCCGACGCCTGGTTCTGACGTTGTGCAACCCAGAACGCAGCAATGTCGGTCAGGATGGAGTTGAAAGAGTCGCCGCCGCTAGCAGTCACATCTGATCGCCACATGTATTCTGCCAAATAGCTATCCAAATTATGACGCGCAGTTCCTCGCTGCCTTTTATTCCTCCACTTTCCAATTTTACCTTCGCCACCAATTTTTCCACTATTCTTGTTTCCAACACTGAATACACAAACCTCCCTCATATAACTGTTCCAGTCGACGACTGTTTTACCGGCCATGCCTAACTGCTTCTCACAGAATTTTAGTGATGTTAGTTCCTCGGCCCAAAAGTAAATAAAACGAACAATTGTCGTGAACGCTAATCTGCTATGTCCGAACCAAGTATCAACCCTAAGAGACACCTTTTTACGACACGAATGTACATTGCACTGCCAGAATGGATATTCCTTACCGAAATACAACTTCATATCGTGGTCGTTAACACACAATTTCACTGAAGGCAAAAGATGCCTTTCTTGAAAGAAACTTACACTATCCTCTTCATTTCGAGGTAAATCCCACAACAAAATCACGTCACTCATTATTGAAACACACATAGCAGTAGTAGCGCACGGCAATAAATCACTCAGTACACTGACCAGACACAGTGACAGGCGATGACAGGTAATGGCGCGCGCTCCGGTCAACGACCCTGACCTTGGCCTACTTGGAGGGGATTCTGCGAGTAGACACATGACTCATCTGATAACGCTCTACCCACAACAATACTAGAATAGTTCTACTACAACATCTATAACAATTTAACCCTCTATAAGTGCCGCGGCGCGTTTCGTAATGGTGGCCTCCGTTTAATACTCAAGTACCACAGTAACTGCCTGACGCCTAATCCACGTCCGCCGGACGTGTATCCTCTGCCTAATAAATTATTAAGACCTAAAATGGGTTGGCAACTCACGTGTTTCGTGCTCACATAGATTTTTACAATTTACATGGAACATGTACTTACTTGAGTTATTTGCTTGCAAATGTAATTTTAGAATATCTTTTAGATTACTCATCATTATAGGCTATATTGCAAAATAACAAACTCTGGCGTGTTTATCCGTGGAATACACCATTAATTTGCTGAGTTAAATCTTTAACCTTTGTTACAACAAGAACAACAAAACAAACCCACAGTTAAAGTTACAGAATCACAGTCACAGAGTCTTGCTTTGCTTTGTTGCTTTTCTAAACTTGTTTACATAACCTAAAGAAATCCATCCAACACAACAACAAAAACAAAACAATAAACAATTGAAAAAAATACACATAGAAATTAGAACTGTTTTTTCAAGCTTTTTTGGCAGGCTTGATTAAATGTCATGTAACTTAATATATAGAAATAATATTAGTATCGATTTTTAATTTTAACTACAGGCTGAATGCATGGCGGAAGACTTCAGATTTTTTTAAATCGATAATGGGAAATTTACTTTGATATCTTTTTTGAAATTAAATTAAATTTGTAAAAATTACAAATCCAAGCTGATCTTTTAAAAAGGGTCGGCTGATCCATTTTTCTTTATTCAGCTTATACATGACCCCCCTTGCCAGAATGTAAATGTAAAAATATACGTGTTTTAATTAAAACAATCTGACACATTATTATACCATAGGTTACCCATTACCAAATTCAGTCTTAAGATTATGCTTGATTTGTTGGATTAAAAATATTATAATTAATTCTCTTCAATCTCACTAGATATGCGGCATCATGTCTGCCAATTGAGTGGAGTGAGCTTCGATGATAACAAATAATCTTATTTACAAATACATTTTTTTATAAAAAAATATTTTAGTCTATATATAAAAGGCAAAGCCCTCACAGACTCACTGACTGACTGAGTCACTCATCACTAATTCTCCCACTTCCCATTTACCTAGGAGGCTGAAATTCGGTACACCGATTCTTTGGGCATTAAATAGGACAACTAAGTCGTTTTTATTCTGATCGGGCTTTCAGGCTCCGCCCCAGTGGGCCTGGAGTTTCCCATATATGTTAACCTTATGATTTTTCATATTAGGAATTAATAGATCTTAACAGGTGTTTCAATTAAACAAGTTGGTTCTGTTCTATGATGTTAAATAGCATTAAAAGTTACAAGGATTACCAACAGGGCGCAGCACTATTATTTTTTTAATTTATGACAACAGCTAATTTGCAACCAAAAGGTGAGTGAGCGTAGCGAACGAACTTCAACCTGGAGGCGAGTTAGCGTGGAAAACAAACTAACCTGAAGGCAAGTGAGCGGAGCGAACGAGCTCCAACCTAAAGGTGAGTGAGCGTAGCGAACGAACTTCAACCAGGACTTGATTGAGCCATGCTAACGAGCTCACTTATGAAGTTAAAGGGGCAAAGCCCGCGGGTACAGCTAGTTCAACATAAAAACATGATTAAATGTTATTGATCAATAGATCTCATGATTTTAACCCATCGTTATAACATAGACTAACCAACAGTATGTTTTATCTATGGTTATAATCAATTTCCTTAAGTCTTGCCATCTCTTTTTTCTTTTAGGGTCAACTCTTGGAATTATGAAAGAAAACTTTCACTTATTTTGGACTCACACACAACGTACAACGGACTGCCCAAATAGTCTAAAAACCTTTGCATCCAGGAATTCCTTTAGAGATTAAACTTTAAAAAAAAATCTTAAGTTATAAATATTTAGTCTTAGGGGGTTTTGCTTTGGAAATAGTTATTTGTGCAACTAGTGAGAAAAGTGAGCAATTGACTCACTCGAGAGAAATCCTTACTCACGAGCCGTAGGCGAGTGAGGAATGGTTTCTCGAGTGAGGCAATTGTACTTTGAACTCGAGTTGCACATTATACTTTTCCTACAGTTACCATAAAACAAATAAATTGGTGAAGAAACATAACCTATTTTTACACAGAAGTGAACTATTAATAAAACATTTAATGTGAAGTGACAAATATAACAGTACAACAGCTGACCAGCTGATTTACAGTCAGTGCTGCCAACGTATTTCGCGCGCATACGACGTTGCCTGCATGGTACGCGCTCACTATTTCGTGCCTTCACGTTGCAAATATGGAGTGAGACAAAGTAATTAGAGTGAGACAATGTTAACATTGTCTCACTGATGAGCGAATTGGCCACTTTGCTTTCTCAAATCAGCGAGAGAACATGTACATTGTTAGGTAACTGTAGGAAAAAGTTTGTGTAGGGATAAACTTCTAGGGTGATTGAAATAATTACTAAATTATTCTCCAGCTAAGAGAAACAAATTAAAAAAAACACAGAGATATTATTATATGGATTTTTTGGCCAGCATTTTTCTTACATAAATCAGTTTATCCTACAGTTACCTAACGTACATGTTCTCTCACTGATTTGAGAAAGCAAAGTGGCCAATTTGCTCATCAGTGAGACAATGTTAACATTGTCTCACTCTAATTACTTTGTCTCACTCCATATTTGCAACGTGAAGGCACGAAATAGTGAGCGTGTACCATGCAGGCAACGTCGTATGCGCGCGAAATACGTTGGCAGCACTGGCTGTAAATCAGCTGGTCAGCTGTTGTACTGTTGTATTTGTCACTTCACATTAAATGTTATATTAATAGTTGTAAGGTAACTCGCCTACGGCTCGTGAGTAAGGATTTCTCTCGGGTGAGTCAATTGCTCACTTTTCTCACTAGTTGCACAAATAACTATTTCCTACAGTTACCTAACAATGTACATGTTCTCTCACTGATTTGAGAAAGCAAAGTGGCCAATTCGCTCATCAGTGAGGCGATGTTAACATTGTCTCACTCCAGATTTGCAACGTGAAGGCACGAAATAGTGAGCGTGTAACATGCAGGCAACGTCGTATGCGCGCGAAATACGTTGGCAGCACTGGCTTTAAATCAGCTGGTCAGCTGAGTTGTACTGTTGTATTTGTCACTTCACATTAAATGTTATATTAAAAGTTCACTTCTGTGTAAAACTAGGATATGTTTCTTCACAAATTTATTTGTTTTATGGTAACTGTAGGATAAGTATAATGTGCAACTCCAGTTCAAAGTACAATTGCCTCACTCGAGTGAGTCAATTGCTCACTTTTCTCACTAGTTGCACAAATAACTATTCTCTACCTGTAGGTAAAATGATTTTGAAGGTTAAAGGTGAGCATCAATGGTATATATACCTTACCTGATAAAGGCCAGGGACATTTTCAAAATTTTCACTCATAATTTTGAATGTAATTGTCCGGGTCTCTCATAAACATTTATTTACAAAATGTGTGCTCAAGGTCTAAAACAGTGTGCCAGTGGATGAGTTTTCTGCATTTACTGTACTTTTAGATCTTCCGGGATCTAATAAGACAAAAAAAAAACTCATTGACAGATAAAGCTTTTAGGATGGCAAAAAACTGTGTATTAAGGAATACAGTACATAGGGCCCCTGTTTTTCCTGAAATGTTGAAGTCATACAGACAGAGAAAAGATTATATATTATTGTGGTTTGGAAGAATTGTAGTTCCAGAATGCATGAAAACTGATGTTCTGAAGATATTGCACGCAGAACATCATGGTATTGTATCAATGAGGTCTGTAGCGCGACACTATGTGTGGGTTTTCACTATGTTGGGCCATAAGGTGGCCCAACATGGATAAAGATATCGAAGTTTATATCAAGAGGTGTACATCTTGTCAAGAGAATCGAGATAATGCTGAAGAAGTACCGTTATATCCTTGGAATGTACCTGACAAGAGTTTGGGAAAGGGTCCTCATTGATCTGGCAGGGCCAGTCAACAGATCTATGTGGTTGGTAGATATTGATCGCATTGTCTAAGTGGGCAGAAGTGGACTGCAATTTGTGTTGAAGGAAATGGAAACATTCTTCGAGAAAAATTCTATCAACCACATAAAAACAACTCCGAACTATCCTAAAAGTAATGGACTTGTTGAAAGACTGAATTGTACTTTGAAAAGACCGTTCTAGACAACAAAGCAGGATGTCGGAGATGGAATGCTAGTTCTTCAGAACTTTCTTTTTAGCTACCGAAACTCGTCTCAGAAAACAACTGGTAGGACCCTTTACTAAAGTTTCAAGGGGATAAAAAAATCTTATCGAGGAATTTGTCTTACCGAGGTTCATACTAATGAGGTTCCACTGTATTACTTTTTATAATTGTATCAACATCTTCAGACACAGAACAATAGTAATTGCAGATGCAACTAAGAACTCTGTTCACAAAAATAAAATTCTGATGAATACCTACAAGTTGTAAAACTAGCAGTACTATTTTCGTAGTTGTCTACATGTAGCTGTTCTTAATTGGTTCTAATAGTCTAGTCTTAAGATGATTAATACATTATTCAGTGATTTATGTAAAATGCATATAATTAGTACATTTTAATTCAGTAACTTTTAAATATTGTCACATTTTACATTTTAATGTAAAATGTGACAATATTTATCAGTTACTGTTTTATACATGAGTATTAAAGTAGACTAATTATTTGCAGAATAATGTTAGGTCATCAATAACAATCCTGATAACTGATTATTGAAGTGAAAATTGAAGGTATAATGGTTTAATATAATTTCACAATCTACAACTTTGTTAAAAGCAATGGCATTTAATAACATGCAGATGCAACAGATAAATATTATGACAAAAATACATAACTCTACATAAATATAAATATGACTTTTTTGAAGTTTAAATGTACACCAAACGACATCACATTCTTCATAGACAGGAGATAGTGTGCTATAATTTCAGGAATCTACATAGTTGGTCATTTATAGCGTTCAGAGCAAATAGTTTATCATCAAAGGCTCTATGATCATCAAAATAGTTTCCCCAGTTGAAGCGAAGAGCTGGTAGCTTCTTTCGACAAGCTGTAGCAGATTTCTTGTTAGATGAACGTGATTGTTCAGATTTTTTAAAACTTGATGGACCCAGTTTGTCATTTTTCTTCATACTTTTGACAATATATTTGTACGTGTCTTGAACTTTGGGAGTGTTCATTATCACCTACAAACGACAACAAGGTTTATTAGATTATTAATATTATAGCTTATAATTTAGTAGGCCTACACTAAAAATTCCAAAAGGTTAAAATTGCATACTTTCTACATTCAAGTGTTTTCCATTAGGGGTTTTTTTTTGTCCTAGGACGCTAGGCACGAGCCTGGGATTGTTTTTCACATTACTTCAGGCTAGACCTAGGGGTTGCGGCATTATCACTTAGATAAAATCCATTGGTGACTTGGCGGGGATCGAACCCGGGACCTCAGGGACTGAAGTCCCGCGCTCTAACCACTACACCAGCTCGCTCCCCTTCCATTAGGGGTCGGAGGTAGGAGAATAATAGGTCATGTAATGTATTTAATGATGTACTTGATCAATTAGTTATATATTGATAAAGTAGTAGATCCTAGTTAATATTGAGTTCTTTTGCAAAGTAAAAAATAAACTAGTAAATCATAAAAATTCTCCTGTCGCAGCAAACCTGCAGGATAAGCGAATTTCCATTTGCCTGATTTGATTTTAAATTAAATCTATATCAATCAATAACATTAGGTTCAATGATTACCTATGGTTTGCTGCTACAAGGAGGGTATTAAAGTGTTTTTAGTAAAATATTAATGGCTTAGTATAAAATAAATAAATTTTGAACAAAATACATCCATAAACAGCAAACTACAACAGTTAACTATATTCTACATAAGAATAAAAAGGGAATTTTGAATTAAAAATTTTTTGAATTTTCTCCGTAACCAATAACCGTTTAAAAACACTTCAATATACTAATTTATTTGTTTTTTAAGCTCTTCAAAATGGTTTAGAGAGAAACTGGGAAATTTTTTGTTTTAAGGGTCAAAAATAAGAAATCCAATTTTTGCCCCATAAATCCACCCAGTTACTATGGTCCAACCACGCTCGTCTGTAAACTCGTTAGAATAAACGTAGGTTTACGCGTTAGTACCAAATTTCATCGAAATCGGATCGTTTTTGCTTGAGCTAACGGACATCTATATATATATATATATATATATATATATATATATGTATATTATTTTGATCGGGTGTTTTTGGCTTCTGGGGTCATCTATGTAAAAAAGTAAATCGGTACTGGGTCTCACTATGAGACCTACGGTAATAGCTTATACCCTATACGGGAAATTCACTAATATAACAATAGGCCTGCATCAATAAATCACAGCAACCAATGATTTTCAATTCAAAGAAACATAGCTAAACATACCGGTAACTTAAAAACAATATTCATATAGGACTACACAAGCTTGAATAAATATTTGACTTAAAACTTGGCTAAATGAAAAAAATGAATTCATTAATGGCATTTAATTTAATACAAACTTTAGAACCGCCATCATGTAACTTGACATTACTTCCTACAGTATCCAGTCAAATAACCAGAGATGGTTGGACCGGAAAACTTCTGAAAATGTTCAGGAACAATATACTCCCGATCGTCAGGACGAGATTACATTTGATTCAGGATTTTCTCCGGGTTAAAATAAATAATTTCAATTTAAGATAGAATTTTATTTTATTTTAAAAATAATTCAGCCAACCCTTTCCCCAACAGTTAATCATTGTTTGGTGATCTACAAAGACTACTCACTTTAGCTTTTGTAGGATCCTGAGCAAACAGCCAAATCACAGTACATGCTTTGCAGAATACAGTGGACGTCTTTTCTGTCTTAAAACGCATCATCAAATCAAAAACATGGAATATCCCATTAACTTCTTTAGTTTCCTGAAATTAAAAGTCACAAGATTAAGAAGTTAAAGTATAATATTATCTGTAGTGTTGAAATACAACAGCCGTTATGGCATTGCAAAATAGATATTTCATTATTATTATTGAAAGTGGCATTTTTGGGGGTAAAACAGTGCAAGAAGAGTTAGTAAGAAGAGTAGCCAGAGTTGTTTGAGGAGAAAGGGGTGTTGTTTTTGAATGGTGAATTAAATCTTTTGACAATCACCAAGGTATACATTCTATAGGGAGAATTTTGTTTAAAGACTTCAAAATACTTAACTCATAAAAAAAAAATCATGGCTCCAGCACCTTTAACAAAACCATAAGTTTTAAGATCTGCCAGAAGATCATTGTTTTCACCAAACCTCCTAAAAATGTTTGTGGACCCAAAAACTCCTGACTGACCAACAATAATTTAACCAATTAACATCACAGATTATATCCCTTTGAAATCCAGAGGTACAAAACTTGTGAAATCAACCAACAACACAAAACCTTCTCTAGCTCTATCACAAAAGAAAATTATAGCGTCTGTACCCAGGATGTACGGCCTAACCACCAATAGCCTCAGACCCAGGACGAATTGCCACAGACAAGATGTATTGGATACAAAGATAAACTAGTACTACAGACATATTAGGGGTAGACATGCCCAGAGCCGTAACAATCCCAATTTTAATAAGTGCTACACAAAATAATAGTAAAATTCCTGAATCCTCAATGTAACCAGTAATTACTGAGAATATGGGAATTATTATCATTTGTTCAAAAAATCCAGAAACTCCCAAACGTATAGTAACACCTTTCATCCTTGCAATAAATTCCTGACCACCATTAGGCCTGAAAAGCTCTCTTCCTTGGTTGAAAATAATGTCAGTGACAGTGAAATATCCTAATTTTTTTGTGTATTTAGTGTAAGTTTTTGTGTTTCTTGTGCCAGTTTGGACTCATCCACTCAGGTAAGCCTGTTATCCTTAAAAAATCCTAAAACCTAGGCCCTTGTGCTCTATGTTACATCCTTTACCTCGAACAAAATTATTTGTTTTCTTTCACACTCTACAATATGGTTGTAATGAAAATTGGACATTTTTACGTGTTCAGGGTAAAACTTTTAAGCATTTCAAAATCCCATAACACCTTGTTTCTATGACCCGATCTTAATGGTTCGCGAACACATTCAAGTGTATGTTCACTGACATATACAAATACAGTCTTGCCAGTCAGGATATATTTGAATAGCTTGAAGATGGAGAAAACACTGTTAGCATCTACACTGGCCTACGTAAGGTCTTCTATTGTTTCAGCCTTGACCTCATCCTCAGGAAACTGGAACTGTTCAGATTCCAAAGCTTGCAAGGATTGACATGGTTTGCAAGTTAACTCATTTGTTGGGTCAGTTGAATATGTGATCCAGTCAGATGGTATATTCTTCAGAACATTAGAGGTTTGCCTTACTGCACATTCTGGTGCACACCGAGAACTTGAGCAAAGTGGTTTGCTGCTTGCTGCTTGTATCATCCAGCAAAAATATTTAATAAGTTAAATTAAGGTTGTTCATCCCAATCATCAATCAATTTTGTCATTGAATTTCTGATTTCACCATCCCTAAATCCCTTCCTTTACACAAGTAAAGGAAAAGATGACATATCAGCACTCGTAAGTCTCCTACAGTATGTTAGTTTCATTTGAACTCATGGAATTACAATTGATGTCAAACTTATGAGGGATGACTCTGTTGACACTTTGCAAGAAATTAAGCAGTGACATTGCCAGCAGTCACACGAGATTTACGGCATGTGAAACAACATACAATACATTTACTGTGGTTTAATGTGCTGATAAGCACTATGGAGCAATTGTACATCGGGTGTTGGTTTTGCAGAAAAAGGATATTCGAGTTATGGCTCGCTTGGGATGGAAGAATTGTAAAAGAGCTTTTCATTAGGTGAAATGAAAGTTGTCATTAGGACATTCCCAAAGCCATCAATCATCATGCATGTGTTTCATCTTGCCACTGCATAGCATCAAAACACATCAAAGTAGACTCCCTAACACAGAGGCTTAACTTTTCAATTACCTCTCCAGTTCTGAAAGCAGTTCATCAATGGCTCTGCATTATCAATTTTACAATGTGGAAGAACACATTAACTGTTGTTATCTGAAGGAATTAGAAATTGAAGAACATTTTAATTTAACCAATTTTGTACATTTCATAAGATTATCTTTTTTTATTGTAAGCATCCACCATTTTGACCTTTAAAAAAGGTTGTAAAACAATTCATCTATGACTCTTTAACGGGTAACTGAGTTGTCTTAAGCTTTACACAGTATGTTTCTTTTAAAGGGAAACAAAACTTAGCCTCTTAGTTTATTATATTGAAGATGAGATTACATAATAAATGTTACCTTCCAAACGACCTCTGCAGTGACAGGAGCTCGGTACAAATTAAGAAGAATGGATAATATAAGTTCTACACAAGTATCTACACCAAAGGCTCTGTTTGTCTGATGCTCCAGAATGTCATATAGGATTTTAACTGCTCCATTCTTCACAAAGTATTCACACTGGTCAGCAGACAGTACAGTGATTTTATCTGAAAACAACACAACACGAGTAATGAAAGGGATTGATGAATCATTCAAGAAACAGAACTAAGAATAAAATTGTAATTTAGATTGTTGAGATTTTAAACTAAAAGGTTGAACTAGAAATTAATACAAAATCGTAGGTAAAATCTGATTATAGTTATCTAAATGTTTTGACCTAATAATTATTATAGCCAGAAACTTGTAGACTTTAAGAATTACATCACAAGCCATCGGTTTGACGAGGTTAAATAAAAACAACCAAAACAAACCTACTAGTTCTACTAGTCCAAAAGACTTTGATTCCAGACCAGACACACACAGAGTCCAAGGTGACAAAATTTTTTAGCTATTAATTAATGAACTTCACCTGTGTAGTGAATATTATCGTTGAAAGTATAATCATTCAAATTAAAATTCACTTTATTGTCACATAAAACATTTGTACATAGCAAAGCTAATAAACTGGTGACATTGTTAATTCAATCTTAACCTAAAAATGCAATTACAGAACATTTTTGTCTAAATTTAAAACTACTGTTTTTAGAGAAACGAAAGTTACATAATCACAATACTGCTTAATTTTGTAAAAAGTCACTTAAAGAGTAAAATACTTGGTTTTAAAGATAATGATTTAGTGTATTCTTAAAACTTTTTAAACAGATTTGGCTTTTAAAGGTAGATTATTTAAAACTTCACACCCATTTAACTGGAACCTTTTTCATAGATTGTTAAGTTTCATAAATGCTGCTATCCACAGAGAAGAAATAAACCATTAATCTAGTTTACAAATCAGTTTTATCTCTCAACACAAGAATTTGGAAACAAGCCGAGTTTAGTTCATTGCCAAGTATTGTTATGTATGTATTAATGTTGCCATCAAGATCATGTTTATAAATTAAGAATAACATTGGGCCAAGGATTGAACCCTGGGGAACACCAACTGAAATTGTTGCCAATCTGATTGAAATTTTAATGAATCTCTTTCTAAATTACAAGTCTTTACCTATGCTTATTTAAGTACGAACAAAACCAAGAAATTACAGTACATGAGAAGTTATATTTTTTACTTTTCTAATAGAATCACATGCAATACACAATCAAAAAGCCTTGGATAGATCACAGAAAATACCAGATACCCTCTGTGATTCATCCAAGGCTCCCAAGATATGCTCTACTAATTCAGTAATTGCCAATGAAGTATTACTTCCAGACCCATATTGACTGCTGGAAATAAAAGATTTAATTAAAAAAAAATTTAAATTTGTTTACAAACTATTATTTTAAAAACCTTAGACAAAAATCTTAAGTATTGACACTGGTCAATAATTATCTGGGTTATTGACTTCACCTTTTTTTAATTTGTTTTAATACTGCATATTTCATCTGGTCAGGGAAGATTCCCTCAGTTAGAGATTAATTGACTAATTCACAAATAGGTTTGGCAATTATATCTACATTGTCCTTTATGAGGTCTACTGTAATTCCATCTCATCCAACTGACTTCTTATTTTTAAGTGAACGTATGACATCTTTAAATTCTTCAGTTGTTACACCAACACCACTAAAACAAACCCCTGTCAAGAAAACCAAGAGCATCTTCAACACAAGGCAGAGTATTTACTGAATTGGATGATTGTAAACATTTAATATTTAAAATGTTAGCAATTTCATACCTTGTTGTTAACAAAAAATTTTTTTGGAAAATTGAGACATGTTACATTGTTGTCAAGTTCCGTTTTTCTTTTTACAATATTCCGTGCTGCTTTGGATTTGTCTGTAGCACTGCTTGTTTTAAGCTAGTTACTTAATAATTATTATTATCAGGTGAGAGGTTCCTTTGTTTGTAGGCTATATTAAGTTTAGGTTCCTTATAATACATTGCAACTTAGCTTCAGAATCTTTGCTTGAGCATTACTATTACTACAAGAATTTTCTCAATTCAAAAATTATACATTGCTCACAATTATATACATTATATGTATTGTAAGTTGACTGTAAGTTTACTTTTATTATCAGGACTGTTATTAGCGGTGGTAATGTAGTTTCACTATCAAACCCAATTATACGCCAACAAGCAAGCATCAGTTCCCTCTGGCAGTACTCTAAAATAAAGTAATTTAAAGCATAATCTATTAAAACCTACATTTATTCAAAGGTCTTCTCCTATTGTTCATACTTACCAATATTAAACAATGTGTTTTGAAGTTCGGCAACAGAATACTTGCGGTGATTTGATAGGAATCTCAAATATCGTTGACCCCGAGTGGAGATGGTCTGACTTTTATCAACTGATGCGTCAGCAACTGAAGGTTTCGGTTGGGTTGGTTGTGGTATAGTAATGGCTTTTCTTACTAGGTATCCTCGCCACAAAGCCTATAAATAATCATGTTTTCAAAGTATGAATCTTTATATGTAAAAATTCGGTGTTATGTCCTGTTAGGCCTATAAGAAATTAGCCCAATGGATGGTGTGAACCTACATACATATTAATCATAAAAAAAATAAGGGACCTTGAAAAAGTACTGGAAATTGAATCTAAAAGAGATAATGTAATTTGTTAAGACTTTATGTGAGAATTTTTATAGGAATTTAGTTGTATTTATATTGTAACTTATTGGTTGGTGTTTAATGTAAAATGATTGTCTTACAAAAATATTGGTCAAAAATTTCTTTAAAAACCAGAAGATGTATAATGTTGTTATTTTATTTCTTAGCTGAATTTTTATTTTCAGAAATTACATTCAAAAAAAGATAACAATCATGTCTTTGATTTCTCAGATAATTTGTTTGAATTATAACCAAATTACAGTACACTCTCGATTAACGTTTTTGGGACCGAGGCTACCTCAGTAACCGAGAATTTCGGATGACACGGGGATCTCTTAAATGCTGAAGTTAGGGGTTACAATACATTAGGAAGTTTAATACTTGCAAGATAATTTTAAAGTTTTAGTAATACATAGCCAATGAAAAATTATCAATTAATTGGTAGTTTTGTAAATTTTTTAAAAATATGGTAGTGTTATTAAAATTACACTAAGCCAACACCCTGCATTATTAAGTAATAATGTAATTATTGTTTTCAGACAAAAAAAAAACAAATATATATATATATTTAGGCTTAAAAAACCTCGGATAACCCGAGGGTTCAGATAACCGGGGCTCGGATAATCGAGAGTACACTGTAACTAAAAAAATGCAATCACAAGATGTCAATGCCTACTTACTAGCTTTGGCTGTAATCAATGAATATATTACAAACCTGTATCTTTATGGCTGCTGAATATTCCCTGGCACCGACAGAGTTGTCAATCAAGGATCTTAACATTCTTCTTTCTCTAAATCTTCGTTGAATATTGATTGTTGTCTCTTTCAGCATTATGAAATGGTGTCTATGAGATTTTGCCAAATTCCTAGCCCTAAAAAGTCTTTGGAGGGCAATTGTTGCATTCTTCAAAGCAACAAATTCTTGTCGTTGATGTCTCATAACAAGCAAAGCTCGAAACTTTCTTTGAATTGTTAGCGTTGCAGATCTCATAGCAAGGAAATTATCTCTTTGGGATTCACCTTGTTTTACAGCCTTGTATTTTTTTTGTAAGATGAGTGCAGCAGCTTTAATTTGAAGAAATTCTTGTCTGACACGTTTAGCAATCAAAAAGGCTCTAAATCGAATCTGAATTATAATAGCTGCATTTCTAATTGCAAGGAAGTTTTTCCTGTCGCTCTTTGCTATTTTGAGACTTCTATATCTTCTTTGAATATTGATTGCATTTGCCTTCATTGCAAGGAAACGATTTCTTTCAGTTTTAGCAAGCAGGTGCAGCCTGTACCTTCTTTGAATCGTAACAGCAGCATTTTTGACTTTAAGGAAACACTCTCTTTGTAATTTTGATTCTTTTTTTGCTCTGATTATATTTTGCATTTTAACTGCTGCACCCTTAGTCAGAAGAAAGTGTTTTCTTTCTTTCTTAGCAAGTTGGAGGGATCTAAATCTTCTCTGGATTTTTATAGCTGCAAGTTTAATGGACATGAATTCTTCTCTTTGATGTTTGACTAGTTTGTGACATCGGTATTTTCTTTGTATAAATAAAGCTGCTGCTTTCAATGTGAGAAACTCTTGTCTTTGTTGTCTCATGAGTCGCAGTTGCCTAAATTTCCTTTGGATTTTGACAGTTGCAGTTTTCAAAGCAATGAAATGTTCTCGTAGCATTTTGGTTTCTTTGTTCAGCCTGAATCTTCTTTGGATGTTTACAACTGATGTTTTCAGTTCACCAAAATACTGTCTCTGACGTTTAGCAAGCATAAAAGCTCTGAACCTTCTCTGAACAGTAATTGTAGCACTTTTAACAGCTAAGAACTGGTTCCTTGCAAGTTTTGCTTTTTTGTTAGATAAATATATATTTTTTATTATGTTTGCTGCAGTTTTCATTTGTAGAAAGTCTTGTCTTTGTTGTTTAGCAAGACGCCTTGACCTGAACCTCCTTTGAATTGTAAGAGTTGCTGCTTTCATTGAAAGGAATTCATTTCTAAGGTTTTCAGTTAGTCTTTTGGATTTAAAGTTTTTCTGGATAACTATTACAGCGGTCTTCAATTTAATAAACTCCTGTCGTTGACGTTTAGCTATTATATATGCTCTAAACCTTCTCTGTATTTTAACAGCAGCACTCCTCATTTTTATGAAATGGTTTCTTTTTTGTTTTGCTTCTTTATTTGCCCTAAACCTTCTTTGAACTTTAATTATTGTGGTTTTGGTTAAACGATAGTTTTGACGTTGCTTCTTGGCAATCTGTAAATTTCTGTATGATCTCTGGATTGTAATGGTTGCTCTCTTAAGTGTAACAAATTCTTCTCTTTGCTGTTTTGCTAATCTGTATGCTCGGTACTTTCTTTGAATTACAATTGCTGAAGATTTTGTTTTGATATAAACTTGTCTCTGTTGGTTAGCAAGCTGGTGGTTGCGGAATTTTTTTTGTATTGTTGTAACTGCCGACTTCAAGGCCAAAAATGATTCCCTATCGTGTCTAGCTAGTACGCTTGCTCTATACCATCTTTGTATCAGGATTGCAGCTGATTTTCTTGCAAGAGATTCTTTCTTAAGACATTTCATCAAAAGTTGTGATCTGAATTTCCTTTGCAATGTGATGACTGCAGCTTTCAATGTGAGAAAACTTCTCCTTTGTATTTGGGCCAGCTTGTTGGCTCTGATTTTTCTTTGAATTACGACTGCTGCAGCCCTAATTGCTAAAAACTGATTTTTTTGATAAGCCATGAGCTTGTTTGCCCTAAATCTTCTTTGGAGTATAATTGCAGCTCTCTTCTGCTTGAGAAATTGATCTCTTTGATGCTTTGTAAGTAAATAGCCTCTGAATCTCATTTGTAAAACACTAGTAGCTTTTATCACAGAAAGAAATTGTTCTCTGCACCTTTTAGTTTCAATTTTTTCTCTAAATTTCCTTTGAACACTTACTACAGCTGCTTTAAGTACATGAAACTCCTTTCTTTGTTTTTTTGCTACCAAGTAGGATCGATACTTCCTTTGAATGAAAACAGTTGCGGTTTTCATTTTAAGATATTCTTGTTTTAGAACCTTTGCACATTTGTAGGCTCTGAATTGTTGTTGAATCACAATTGCAGCTGCTCTTTTCTTCTTAAAATCATCTCTTTGCTTTTTGGAAATAAGAAAAGCTCTGAATATTCTCTGAATTGTGATTGCTGATCTCCTCATGATTAAAAATGTATTTCTGATTTTCCTGGCCAGTTTATTTGCCCTATAACGTCTTTGAATCTTGATTGCTGCTGCTTTGATAGCAAGAAATTCCTGTCTTTGTTGATAGCCAAATTTAATCAATCTGAATCGTCTTTGTATAATAACAGAAGCTGCTCTGATTTTCAAAAAGTTACGTCTCTCTTCATGCTCAGATCCAAGTTGTTTTAATTTGTAATTTCTAAAAGCTCTTTTTATCGTAGTGGCTGCCTTTTTAGCTGCTATGTAATTGCTCCTATCTTTGAATACCTTTTTTTTGTTTCTGTACCATCTCTGAATAGTTGTAGCAGCCTTAAATTTCTTTTTCCTGTCACTTATTTCTTTTTTCTTCCTATATATCCTTTGAAGGCAAACTGCTGCTGCTCTCAACTGCACAAAACGTTCTCTTGTCTCCAGTCCTATCTTTAATTCCTCATCACTTAGTGCATTAGCTCGCTTTATGTTCCTATACCACCTCTGTATTTTGATTGCAGAGCTCCTCATTTTGAGGAAATTCTTGCGGTCCTTACGCAGCTGTTTTGTTTCCAGCCACTTGGTTACAATCAGTACCACTGCACGCTTTTGGAATATACTTCGCAAATGCCACAAAAATGAAAGCGTTTTTTCCATGTGACCATCAGAAATATCTTTGGGAATCACATCCGACGGTAAATCATATCCAGCTTTCTTCAGTGCTGAAAATGCAACCTCAGCGTTATACTTCTTTTGTAAATTAGATACAGCAGGAACACGTAGCTTGGAACAGAGAGAGTTGTCACTGACTAAGTTCTCAGCAAGTCTCGTTAATCTGACCCCATCTCTCAGGTCTGTTATACTGCTCAGTGAAAAATCAAACTCGTCAATGTAGGTCTGGCAGTGAGACACTTCATATCCTCTCAGTCGGAGAATCCTGGTTATATCTCCTGCATTGCCGACAAAATCCTTATTGAAATCAAGTAGAATTTCTTTGCTTGACTGAAACAAACCACAATTACCCATCAATTTTGTTAAAATCATGAAAATGTGTTAATTTATCAACTAATACAATGGAAACTCCATCAGAAGACCCTAGATAACCAGTCACCCTTGATAAGTGTCATAATAAAATACTCTTGAATTCATATTACCCCTACCTAATCACAATAAGATGTGCAAACCTCTATTAAAATAAAGAGGTTAATATCACCTTTTTAATAATCACCATGAAAGACCTGTTATCAAGGTTCTACCATGAATTATCTTACTTGCGCCCAACAACAGATAGACCATCAACTTAATAATTTTTCAAGTTTGTTTGGTTTTTACTAGTTATGTGTTGGTTGAAATTTGTATTGGTTCGGTTTTGGTTAAGTTGCTGTTTCACCGGTTGTCGTTTTTTGGTTTAAGTAGATAAAGCTACCACACACTCAATATTTCAGCCTGGTCCATACTAATGACCACTTTATTTGTTTAAAGTTTATTGTCTGTAGGCGAGACAATTGTCTTTGCCAATTGTCATCACGTGTTTGCGGAATTGTTGTAAGCCTGTCAAGTTGAATGAGACCATTGAGTATACACGTACTAGAGTAGCCACTCAATAGAGGTTATCGTTACCTGAACAAAGCTGTTCCAGAGTAGTATCAGCGGCCTGAACTACTCCACCTCGGGCTTGTCATTAAGGCAGATTGGTTTTTTTTATTATTGCTTTCATTGTAGGTTGTAAAATAATTTTTGTTGATGAAATTAGTTTGTTTGTTTATAGTTTTGTTGTTTTATAATACATTTTTAATACTAAATGGTTAAAAGGTCCTCAGAGGCGCACTGCACTACCAACAGACCACCGCGATCCAAGCGTCAGCGGCCCGAACTAAGTAGTCAAAATTGCTAACAACTAATAGCATTATGTAACAACTCTTATACGTATATACTCAATGACAAGACCCTGTTTACACATGGCCAACAATTGCCTAGGCATTTGACAGTGAACTAGGGTACTACTGCCTATTTTCTCACCAGATTTATTTCATTCTAGATTTATATTATCATGTGTTAATTGTTATTGTTTACTACTAGTTGATTTGTACTAATTAAAAACTTATACTTAAAATATTCTATCGTGATAAATTCTGATTTTCATGGGTTTAATACAAATTTATATTAAAATCTTGTATTGCATTTTATCTTAGAAATTTGGATTTTCCTAATGGTGATAGCCTAATACTAATGAAAGCATATACAAACTTGGGAATATTCTTTATAACCAAACTAATGATATGCATACAATTTATTTATAATACATTTTAATGGGATACACCATTATACATAGTATAAACTAAGGGGTGCGTCATAAAAAGGTTTGGGAACCCCTGCTCTAGGAGCTTCCCTGCCATATTGAACATAAAAGATTTCTGTATGATGATGTGGTCTTCACAATCTACTTTACTCTTGCTGATCTACAGGGAAACTTGAGCTACTACCTTCAGAACCTCAATCGGCATCACACCAGGACTTGGGGCCTTGTGACAGCTCATAAAACCAAAAGCTCTTTCCAGCTCATATTCATTTAACAAGGGAATATGTTCAGTGGCTACTTAAATGACATATTGTGGACTAACCTCGTAGGTTAAAAACAGAGTATCCACAATGTTTTCGAATTATGGGGAGTTCAATTTTGGAGCCACTGATTTCAAGGTACCCAGATGTCGCTTAAACTATTCATTAACCCATAACCCCAACGATTTTTGAGGTTTTCTGTAAGCTCTTTCCCTTTTGAGGATTTATTTCTTAAAGTGGTGCCCTTGAGCTCACAGGACAGACGTAAAAACAAAAGACATCATGTATCTCCCTGGCACAAAAAAACTTGAAAATCTCTGCAATCACCAAAATATTACTGCCTTCTGTAGTCACGGCAAAATGAATACGGCATGAACACGGCATAGCAATCGCAATCAATAAACCAAAACCGATATTTTCCATCAATTCTCATATTGTTTTTACTAACAATCAGTAAAACTTGCAACGGACTGTGAAAACCAACCACATCACTAGTATTCACTTTTGCCAGTGCTATCCAACCTAAGTTGGAAACAAGTTTAAAATTGGCTTTCCACTTAGCCAGCCTTGCTGTGGCTGTTTTAGGTCTGATAATTAAGAATCTTTCCTTTTTAATAAGTGGATAAAAATATTTCCTACATTTAATACTTTTTAAATAGCATTCAGTTTATGTATCATGTAACACATCAGCAGTTTTAAAAGGCTGAGTTTTTCTTACCTTTAGTGAGACAAACTTTTACCTTTAGTTTTGAATCTTTCTTGAAAAGACAAGGGTCGTGAAGAATCAGCTTTTTTCTTTTAACCAAGTCAAGTAAGTATACAATCACCAAGAACTTGTAAACAGTAAACTTCTTCATTTCATCCTATGAAAAAATTCATATGAAAATTAAATTGTTTACAATAACAAGTCAATAAGAGATTAGGATGTTCAATAGCCTAACTTTTTTTAAATGGTCAGTAAAATTATATTTTAAGTATAAAATAAACAGAAACACAGTTTATCTCAACTCAGTCAAAAATATTTGCTCTCCGTGATTTGCTAAAAATTAAATAATTTTATTACCGTATAATCAAATAATGTACAGCTTGCTACAATAATGGATGAAAACATGCACAATCACTTTGACATAACAGATTTAATATGATAACATCAACAATTTCTTAAAATTACAAAGCCTAATGGTAATCATCAACCAACTGTGAGACTACCATTACAATTCCAAAAAGAGTCCTAATAACTTGGAACCCAACTCCAAGGAAAGTACAGACCCTTCAACGATGTAGGCCTACAGGTGCATTCCTACAAGGAAGACACACCATAAGACCATGCCGAGAGGCCTAAACTTGTAAAAGATGAAGCCCGCACAACAAACACCAAGCTCTAAAAAACAAGGGATGGGCCCATCAATCAAGAAGGGATATCAGAAAGGACAGGAAAAAAAAAATCAGGCAGATAGACCCGCTCCCAGGAAAAAGACAACAGTACCCAAAGACAAATCAGAATCAAGACAAGGAAATTTCACCTATCACCCCCCCCCCCCCTTCAGAACTATAAAGCAGGGGGGAAAGATGGCTCAGGCTACCCTGGGGAAATCTAGAGAAGAGATGTTAAGGGAGTAAGCAAAATTAAGAAAGGAAAAATACTTGTGGAACTAGGCTCTTGAACAAGCAACCTAGAGAAGTTTAGCAAAGCTTTAGAATATGCTCTTGGGGAGGAGACATCTGTTCTAAGTTTAGTAAGGAAGCTCAATGTACAGATTAAGGATATCATACTTCCAGGAACTAAAAGATACCCCGCTGCAGCAAACCTGCTGACTTAGCGAATTTCCATTTGCCTGGATTGGTTTTCAATTAATCTATTAAATTGACATTTATGTTTAACGAGTACCTAGGTTAGCTGCTACAGGGAAACTAATAAAGTGTGTTTTTATATAAATAGCTTAGTATGAAATAATTAAATCCACCAAGTTTGATCCAAATATATCCATAAACAAGCCAACAACAACATATTATAATATTCTCCATAAGAATAACATGGGAATTTTAAATTAAACATTTTTTGAATTTTCACCGTAACCTGTTACCGTACAAAAACACTTTGATATACTAAATTATTTGTTTTTTTGAGCTCTTTAAAAAGGTCTGGAGAAAAAGTTATAAATTTTGTGTTTTAAGGATAAAAAATGAGAAAAACCCGTTTTTACCCCATAAAAACCCCCGTTAAACCCCGTTCCCATGGTCCGATCATGATGGTTCGCGAACTCTTCAAGTTTATCCCGCCTTACAGCTTCAAACCAAATTTTATCAAAATCGGACAAGAATTACTCTTAAGTTATTGTGCGGATGGACACACACACACACACACACACATATATATATATATAGAATATAGATATATGTATACATATATAAAAATTTGAACGAATGGTGTTTTTGGCCTCTGGGGACATCAAAATGAAAAAGTAAATCGGTCCCGGGCCTAGGTCTTACCATGAGACCTACGGTAATAGCTACTTCCCTATAGGGAAATTCGCTAAAAGCAACCTTTAGGGTTTAAAGAGGGCACTAAGAAATTCCACCTATCGCCCATCCAGGACTGAAACGCAGATGACTCAGGCTACCCTGGGGAAAACAATCCTTGTGATACATAGAGAAGGGAAGTTAAGGGAGTAAAAAATATGAAGAAAAGATAAATACTTGTAGAACTACAAGGTGTCTACTACATTCTGGATAAAAAATTCATGGGCAATTCCCGTACATTTAAGGAAACTTTGCCGTAACCTTTGTTGGTGTCATCAGGCCTACCGAATAATTTTTCTGATTTGTCAAATTGTATTAATCTTGTTATTAACTGTAGTTGTACCAGAGAGAAAAGTAAATAATAATAGATAAGAGTTAAAAATTTCAAAATAGAAATTCATTGAAAGTAAACAAGCATAGGCCTACCTATACTTCAGGTAAAGCTTTTATAGTGTAACAGAGAAACGCAATCATTGTCTCCTGCGATAGCGACAAATATCTCCATCGGTCACGTAAACTTCATAACACAGCTTATCCGATCCAGGCGGATTAATTTGGCATGATTCGTCCTGGCACAACGTTAGGCTCTCGACTACTTTTGAAAAGAAAATCTTTAATGCACATTGTTACTCAGTTCTTCGTACAAAATCGAGGTATGGTAAGCAGCTACCAATAAGCAATAAGCACAGAGTAAGATTATTGTATTTTCATTTGCAAAGTTAATATTGACACATAGCAATCATTAGTTGTTTATCTAGGCTCAATTACATTTTCTTAATTTTATTTAATATATTTTACAGCTCTTTCAAGAATCAAAATACCCAGGCCTAGACCTAATTATTTAGGAGGGCCTATATAAACTGGGTAACAAACAATGAGGTTATAATGGCAGCAAAGTCACTATCATCATTCTAGTTCATTAGATTTAGATTGCTTAAAGCATACAACTCAATAAATAAATATATGGGAAACAAAAAACATTGAAACCTGAATAGCCAACAATATAAGACAAAGATACAGAAAATGCAATGACATAATTTTAAACCAAGCAGGCCTACATAGTGAAAAAACATTAATGCAAACAACAATGCTTGTGGTTTTGTCAATTGAAAGATAAAATATCCATAAAAAAGGGGTTAACTTACAAAATAAGACTGTAGATTATTTACATGTTTAATATGAAACCATAAACAGTTTTATGGCACTAGGCAATGGCCGCGGCAAATTGAATCTTCAAGCCGAAAGTACAAGTAAGAAGTGAAATTTAACAGCCATTATAAAGCTATTAGTTTCACGATAAAATAGTTTTGGGATCTTATAATAATTCCTCATAATACAATCTCATAATAAGCCCTAGTAATAAAAAAAGAAGTTGTAAAGGAATAAAAGTGATACAACTTTTATGAGCTAGCTAACTGAGTCAACAGTTCTTGGAAGTACTTGACTTGACACTTGATTGTCGTGATAAAATATTAATGGGTTTGAGATTGCTAATGGGATTTTTATTGCATAATTACTCAAGTAATAAATTATGAAAATGTAATCAAACATCTGATAAACCTTTTATGTGCTCCTAACCAACTAGCGATCAATAAAATTATGGCCCATTAAAAATTTAAGGACATAGTCTGGCATTTAAGGACAATTCCCGTACATTTCATGGCCATTAAAAAATTAAGTACAATTCCCGGTTTTCCCGGATTTCCCGGTTGGTAGACACCCTGAACTAGACCCTTGAACAAGCAACCTAGAAGTTTAGCAAAGCTTTAAAATCTGCTCTTGGGGAGGAGGCATCAGTTCTGTGTTTAGTAAGGATGATGAAGGAGCTAAAAGAAAGCAACCTTTAGGGATCAAAGAGGGCACGCAAAGCAGCCAGAACAAAAAGAGTTGTATGCCAAAGACCCACTGAAAGGTGGAAAAGTCTATGGGACAACAAAGAGAAAGGACGATGGAATCATCATTTGATACTCATCATAAGGCCCTGGCTAGAGAGGAAACATGAAAACATGAATTTTTACTTCACCTAGGCTTTTACACGACATGGGTCATTCTGGATTTACCTTAACAGGAAACAGAAGCTAGAAGATGGTATCTTTAGTATTGTAAAGTAGACATAGCGACAATATTAAGAACAATAGGATAGAGGTCAAAGGTCCAATTATACAAAATGTCAAACCCTGGAGACGAGACGATGAGGACGACAACGCAGTCTACGTTATACTTCAGGTACGTGCACATCGTATTTCAACTTACTGTATAATTTCCGTAGGCCAATGTACAATCATTTAGTAAGTGTGGCATGTTTATAGACAATGTCGAGCATGTTATCTCCTGATGCAGTAAATTAACAACAGAGCATCAGCAATTGGAGATAGAATTAGGCCAGAATATCAACACTTGAAATCTGGTAAGTCATGATGGAAAGCGAGGCCAGCTGGAGTCTGATAGGCAGCAAGAATCATGGAAGAGAAAATGGATGAACTTAAAAACATTAAAACCTACCTGAGAACTTGAAGTCCTACTGAGATGATCCCATGGTCAGAGAAAGGACAGGAAAATGAGGGGTTGTTTTTAGTGGATCGCCAGGAGCGAGGTGGGAAGGCATTCTCACATACCCTTAGGGTGCAAACCCCTTAGGCTTAATTTTTTCCCTCTCAAAAAAAAACAACTTACGATTGCAGTGACTTTTGCGAGCTCGACAACAAATGGATATTATTAGTAATAATTTAAAATGTTCCTGTCATAAAAATTCACGTACAATATTGTGAAATATTCTTCAAGCTTAAATACATAGGCTACATGTACAGCATGAATATTGAACTATGAAATAAAGTTACCTCGAATTGAGGCAGCATGAGATAAGGTATAGTGGGGTGAGAATGCTTCTGACGAAGGTAATCATCATTGAGTACATATCTGCGGATGAAGTCACGAAGACCAGTCTGGTCAGAGTGGCACTTTAGTTGGATGTTGCACTGATACACCACCTCCAGGCTCAATCTCAGCCACAGTGGGTTGTAGTTCATCAACAAACTGATTATCTTATCTTGGAGACCTATAATCAACAGTAAATTGTTAATTAAATTGACTTTGACCAGATTAACAATTGAGTTCAATATATTTTAATTTAACTAATAATTGCTACATTATGGTTTGAAAATGATATTGCAAGCTTAGAATCTCAAGTTCTAAAAACATGACAAAACTCTCTCTTCCCTAGATGAAAATGCTGTCACATTCTAATGAGTTGTGTTGCTTGTGACAGTTTGGACTCCCTCCCATTCAGGTAAATCTGCAATCCTTAATAAATCATTGTTACATGATTGGTAAGGTTTCTTACAAAGGAGCTGATTGTGTTATCAACATTTCATTCCCATTTCAAATTAAAATTTATAGAATAAAGAATTGCATTTGCTTGAAAAACTAAAATAACTATAAAACGTTAAAAACAACAAAAATTAGAGGGAAACAATTTTTAACAGATTTTGTAGAACCTACCGAGATCTGCATGAAGCTGTCTGTCAGAGCGTATACTGATGATATTCCTGTCCACTGCTATTTTGACTTTGCTCAACACAGTTGCCACTTCAGTCGATGTCAGAATGTTGAATGCAGTTGCTCGCAAAGCGTTTAGTCGGTGTAGAGTGCTGTGTTCTGTTTGGTCTCTGTCTAGTTGTAGTTCACTTGGAGGTTTCAGCATTCGGTCAGTCCACTGAATCAACTCTACTTCTTGTTCTTTCAGCCATTTATTGTTAAAATACAAACCTCTGTAAAAAGTTTAATGTTGAAATAACTTGACCATTCCACCGTAATCCACAAGTAACTATTGCGACACAAAAGGAATCAAATATGAATGTAACTGCAAAGTTGTCAAAAAACAAGGTTTTGAGATGAAAAGCACTAAGCAGGCTTACCTTTATACAGGATGAGCTTCCCTTTATACACCTACCTAAACATAATAAATCCTCTCCTAGATTCTAATGCAAAAATATCTACTAACAATAATTTGAAAAACAAAGTGTTTTTATTAAAAAGCTTAAAACCCTTTCATTTGGTGCATTAGTCAGGTTTCCAAACAAATTCAAACAGACCTTTGTTAACACAGTAGTACCAAATTAATGTACCTACAACACGCATATATTTACTATAAATACTTAATTGACAGCTACTTCCTTGAAGCAAATACCCAAAAAGCAAATAGTTAAGCTTCACAAACTGTGACAAAAATAAAAAAAAATAAAAATGTGCCTTAAACATTAATATAGGACAACACTTTCATCAAATAAATGTATTACAGGCTATACTTGAGCCAGATTTGGATGATTACTTCAGATTTGTTTACCTTTTTTTAACCAAGTGCTGGGCTTGAGTTGAATCAAACTGCAACACAGCTATTAAGCTTGTTGTACACCCCCTACTTCCCATTGAGGTGAGAGATTTTCAATTACAACATGAACATACTCACCCCTTGGCAAATGGGTTGAGAGAGGTGGCGGCTAGATAAGGATCTGGAGTGGTAAAGTCAACTGGAGATGTGGAAATGTCTTCCTCACTCTGACTACTAGTGGATACTAGCTTTAGTTTCCTCACAGTAGGCACCCAGTCCGCAACTGTACATGCATATCATTACATTATACACATCCATTAGTTAAAAAAAAATATTGGAAATCAACAATTGTTGTTAGGAATTCAACCTATGCCAAGTAAATCTTCAATAGTAATTATTGGTAAGATAGTAAAATAATAATTACCACCTTTACTTTAACTACCATAACATTTGTGCAATCTGTGTCATCCCATTACAGTAAACTCCCGATTATCAGTGGGATTGACTGGCGTGAATACCGCGGGTAATCAATCGACGTTCGCGGATAAGCCGCAAAATTGCCAATAATGGTTAAACAAAGGTCGAAGGCACTAAAAAACAACACACAAGTGCTCTAATAGCTATTTACATTACAAGTGTAGTAAGAGCATTATTACATCACACAGCTGAATGTTGTGCAACGAGCATAGTTCACCTAAGTGATGTAAACACGCTCTTGCGTAACGTGTAACGTACAAGATTTTACCTGACCCGTCAATATGCAGGGGGTTACGTACAATATTTTTCATTATCCATTTCACTAATCTTCTAACAGTAACGTTCTTTTACAAACAAAAGCTAGGTTAGGAAAATACTTTAAAGCATAACAATAACATTCAAGCGCACAGCTGATTTCTAGCGTTGAACGTCGCTGGCTCCATAGAGGTATATTTTATTAAGTGTGCTCTATGCTACACCCTTAACCTCTTCTAGGTAATGATTATCATAGTAAATAATACATTACCCTTTAAACTGTTTCTTTTCCTCATTGACATGGCCGACCGAGATAATGGTCTGAGCTTCTCTGATTGATTATTTTTCCTATCCCCTGAAATAAAAATAGTTATTTTTCTATAACATTAAATTTAAAGCTTTTAATGCTTAAATAAAAATAACGATGAGACACACAAGCAAATAGCACAATATGTTAACAGAATTCAAAATATATAAAGGCTTACAATCTTCGCAATCCTGTTAATTGAGCACTACGGCCGTTTCTTACAAAAATGAAAGAAATAAAAATGAAAAAAGTAATTGGGATCTTCCTTGATTTTTCAAAGGCATTCGACAGTGTGACTCATGATAAGCTGCTTGATGTTCTTTCTAGTTTGAATATTGATAATAAGGAGCACAAGGGGTTTTCTTCTTATTTAACAAATCGGCAACAATGTGTCCAAATTCAACATAAATTCAATTATCCCAATAGTAAATACACTTATACTCAAAACTATTATTCTGATTATAAAAAGAAAAAACACGGGGTTCCTCAGGGATCTATCCTAGGCCCTCTATTATTCCTTTGTTAAGTGAGAGGATTGCCAAGAGCTATAAATGCAGGAGGTTCTGTATGCCTGTATGCTGATGATACATCATAGTTACAGAGGAATCCCAGGAAGAAATATAGCTTAAAACATTTTTAAATCTTGTATCAGTCAGTGAATTTTCAAACAGTAAAAATCATTTAATTAATTTTAAAAAAATCAATACATACCAGTCAGTGAGCTAACTGGTAATTTTCTAGAAGATGAGGGTGTTGACAACCGTTTAATCTTTAGATCTTGAGAAATCTTCATTATTTTTGGAGGTGATGCTTTCATGTTTTGCACAAGTGAACTCCGTTTGTTTTTCCTTGATGGTACGAGGAAGACTTCCTTTGAAGTGCTATCAGGGTTTTTAATGTCAGTTTTGCAGTTTTTATCTGAACTTAAAGACGTAGCAGACTTTATCAGTAAGCTTCTTTTGTCTTTCAGTTGATAACTATCACCTGTATCTGATACTGAATTAGGTAAACTCAATTTCGTTCTTGTAGGCCTACATCTGGCAGGAGTAAAAGAAGCTGAAATCTTAAGCTTTGGACCATTTTCAGTTTTTATCTTCTCATCAGTTTTCTCGTGGCTGAATTGAGGGGGGGAGATAATCCACTTTGCAGCAGTTTTAAGGTCAGTTGATATGTTAGAATCCATATTATCAGGAAGTACAGCACCTATTGAAAAAGAGTTGATAGTATCTTCTTCATGCTCAGTCTTTTGTTTAAAACCACTTTCTGTTTCATTTAATGGGAGGTTTTTCCTACTCAAGTCAAAATTAGAGCTTACAATTTGTTTCTTCATGTGTCTATGCTCAAATTCTTCCAGCCCATTAATGTTTAGGCCTAAGTTTAAGTTTTTAGAACTGTTGCTATTACTAAAACTGTTACTGTCTAAATTTGAAAATTTTTGTTCATAACTTTCAAGGGCTTCAACACAATTTAAAGTAGATAAAGTAGACCTCACCATTGCAGAGGTATATGTTTTGTTCAGATTATTGGAAAGCTTCTGAAGAGTACTAACAGGAGAACTTGACACGATACTGACATTAGATCTTCCAAACTCTTCATCTAGGTGTATTAAACTATCTTTGGTCCGAGTCATGTCTTTTGATACAGGATTTGAATAGTCATTGTTTTGAGGTGTTTCCAAGTATGTGTTTTTGTGAGGTTTTTCATATATTTCAGAAAATTTATCAATATCATAAACGTCATCCCAATTCACAAATATATCTTCAGTTTTCACTTCAGCCTGTTCTATTCCTGATTTTCTTCCAAATAACTCAAGAGATTTTCTTTCTTCCAAACTGTCAAAAAACTTTTCAGAACTTGCCACACTTTCTAATGACCTTTTTCCTTCTTTCTTACAGTCTGCTATTTGATCATAAAGCTGTAATTGATGAGAAGAAGCAATGTTCAGGGAAGAAGGAGCATCTAAGTAATTAAGAGTCATCGAAGGCTGTACAGTAAAAGTCGTAGCAATGCAATCAGATTCACCCACTTGGAACTCTTCATTTTCGTCATAAGTCACATGTTCTACTTTCACTTGATTAAAAAGCTTGGATGCTGCTTTCTCAATACTATCGTTGTGGATACTTGGACTTGCTAGTAATTCAAATTCTCGTTTCTCATTTTCAACATCTATGAGATTAGATATTTGTTTATTTCTAAGAGAGTAAGTTGATCTCCGTGATGATGAAACAGGTTCAATGACTTCATATGTACCTCGCCTTGGAGTGGAAGGTCCAAGTTGAGGTATATTAAAATGCTGAGGAGTAAGCACAGTCTTGCCCTGAACACCTGGTTTATATGTCTCACTATGAATTTTTTCAACTGGATCATTTTCACTAATGTCTATTTGAGTAAATGTTCTGTTTTGGCTTAACTTTTTCGTTTCAAAGATAATTACATTTTCATTTTGAATACACGGTTCCTTCAATGTTTGTTTATTACATTTACCAATATATGTAACTTCATTTTCTTTGTTTTCTGATTTAGTTTTGGTTACAGGAGGTTTCTTCACAACTTCTTGCTTTGATGAGATATTTTGTTTTTTTGTTAAAACGCCTCGGGATCTTAAATTGCGTTTTGATACCTACAAACAAATAAATTAAACATATAGAAAACAGATATTATAGTTACATATCAAATGAAAGTACTGTAAAAATAAAAATTATAACTAAGAATATTTAAATAAGCCAATACTGTAGACCCTACTTAGGAAGTTCGTTCTTTTTAAGTTAGGCCTATATTTTATTTTTAATTTATCAAAATTACTTGTTCAAGGTCTTACTTGGAAGTATCAGACATTTTATGGTAAAGAAAAACAAAGTGACAAAAAAACTTTTCATCATACTGTCCAGAAAATAGCCGTTTTTAGTTCTCTATATTGTCTGCAAAATTCTAATAGGGAACAGAAAAACATATGATAAGTTTTTCAGTTCGCTAACCTTTATTAGTACATTACATCCATTTTATTAGTACATTATGGAAACACTGCTAATCACAATCACACGATATTTTAAGTTATGTTTGTAAACAACAGAAATGTAAACATTGATGACGATTTTGTATAACCTCAAATTATGTGGTCTATTTTTGTAACGATTAGAAGGTTATTCCCACAGTACTGTGTGATGAAAATAGTTGATCGTCCCACGGAGCAAAAGTGTCTTTTTGGTACTTTATCGTATTTCCAAGCTCAGCTGCGCCTCACTTGTAAAACACGATTGCATACCAAAAAGAGCCACTTTCGCTCCTAGTGATGAACAATTTTACTTTATAATAGTAGGGGTGAAGTTAGGTTTTTAGTCGACATTACCATGCAATGGAGGAAAGTGGTTGACACCATTATAAGATTTGGACTGGTGTTTTCAATATAATTTTAAAAGAGTTTCAACTAAAATGTTACTTACAAAATTTCTTAGGATGTTACATCAATTGTCAATGTCAACATATTTTCAAATAATTTTCAAATATAAGATAGGTACTCTAAGCCCTCAAAAAACCTATGAGTAATTTAATTTTTATAATGAAAATTGTAGGGTAAGCATGTGATCTAAAGCAGTGTTTACACTGGAGTTAGGAACACGGGTTTGCAACTAATGTTCCTTAAAACCAAGAAACACTTCTTTTTGAACAGAAACATTTTTATGTTCTGAAAAAAGTTTTTTAGTGTTTACAATAGAAATTTTGTTTCCCGTCAGAAGTCGGTAAAGATCAAAGAGTGTTCCAAACATGAGGAAACAAAGGTTCCAATGAAATCAAAGAAAAGGTCACTATATGTTGTAAACTTTTGTTTTAGAAACAAGTGTTACCAACAAAAAGTTCTAAACATTTTGTTGCAGACTCTGGTGTAAATGCGGCTTGATGCATTTTTCTTTACAAACCCATTACGATCCCATTATGCAATTTTCTCCATAAATTAATCAAGAACTGTTTGATCATTTGTTTAAAACTTCAATGCATCCACGTTGTTAAACATTTAAAATTCAAATTTTTATTTTAAAATTGAATAGGTCTATTATTTTTTTAATGACCTCAGCATTGTTAAACATTTTTAGAAAGAGCTTTAAAAAGGTTAAAAATAACATCTCACAATTTATTGTTAGAAAAATTTAAAATATATGTTTAGTTTATAAATACAAATTTGAACTAATGGTGTTTATGGGCTCTAGGCCATCTACGCCTAATAGAAACAGTAGCCAATGTGCGAGGAACTTGCTTGAAACCAACTACCGGTAATGTGATTGTACAGTTTTACCTTGGGAGGTTCTTCAGTAGTAGATGAAAGTTTTAACTCAGACAATGGTTTTTTTGTTTTCTTGTTCACAATTTTTACATTATCATGCCAGCTGCCATATTCTGCAGGAGTCCATGAGATAACTAGTTTGACTTGTGATTCTCTAGGTAGTTCTAAATGTGTAGCGCTCCACTGATATCCTCTTGCTTCATCAGGAAGTTTGGTTAGCTCAATCTAAAAAAAATAGTGAAGAACATTTAGTAGAAGGCTCAGTAGTTAACCGTGAGTTTTGTTAACCCTAGCCCCTAGCCCGGTTTAAATTTTAATAAGTTTAGTACTGGCCTCTTGAGACATAAAACAAAAAGTAAATTGGTCCCAAGTCTAGGTCTTACAATGAGACCTACGGTAATAGCGGTAGGGGTTACTCTACTCCCCTGTCTACTCCATTAATCTATGCTAATAAATACACGCTAACTCCAGTTGTAATGGCTGTCTACCACGGTGCATTTGAGTCTACATTGGCAACATAAAATGACAAGCTTCAACTCTATGGTACACAGAATGTTACGAGTACCTTTAAATGAATATGATTATAATTTGGAAAAATACATTATAAAAGCCATAGCTTCAAGAAATGGATACAAAGATAGTTTAATAGACAAATTAATCAAGAAAATGAAAAATAAAATACCCAAAATTTAGAAAAAGAAGAGAAGAAGGAGTTTATTTGTCTTCCGTACAGTTCGGTACTAAACAAACCAATCAGAAAAACATTTCAAGCATCTAAATTCAAAATTAGCTAAATTCAAGACTAGTGGCTTGTAGGGGCAATAGCCCCTATATATACATATATATATTCTAGTAATTATTTTGTACAAATTATTAGTCTCATGGGTTACCCTACCTTGAATTATTGCTTAACATTTTATATACCGTATTATAATATGTATGATAGTTAGTTATTAGGCTACATGGCTGCATAAAGCATTTTGATGTCTGCTCTGTTTAAAATAAAAATTCCAAAGGACTGTTCATGTGGTGTGTTTATAATATAAACTTTGTAATCATAATACAGGACACATAACAGGAACATTTTCAACAGTAATCTTCATGACTATTAATTAAATATATATAAATTTCTTAAAATATATATAAATTCACTTTGGAAAAAACTCATAGAGATAATGTCATCCTCCAAATTATAAAATGCAAAATCTCTCTGTTTTACAGTATCCATATTGGTTGATTCCTTGGTCTTTATTTGGTTCTAGTAGTATTTTAACATCATCTGGCCGCTTTACCTGGCTAAAAGCAACATAAAGTTGACTACTGGGTTAACACTGGTTTTTTTCAAATAAATGCCAACTTTTGTGAAGGTTTGGCCTTGGGCTTTATTTATAGTAATAGCGAAAGCTAATCGCAATGGGAATTGAATCCTTGTAAACTTAAACGGCATATTAGGATCTGTAGACATTAGTTTCATTTTTGGCATGAAAAAAATGTTCCCTTTGCCTACTCCAGTAATTCTTTCTAACGTCTTAACTTTTTCAGACATAGGTACCTAATACAACCAATCGTACTCCGCATTAACTAATCCAGACCCTTAAAATTTGGGAAAAAGTCTATTTCAGCTTTATAATAGACTTTTTATACATATTACAGTACATATTAAAAATTACCAACTTATATATTTAAAAAATTTGGTTTTTCTTTTCCGAGTTCGTTAGGCTCTTCTACCAGACCGATTTTCATGATTAAGGTCTCGAATTGAAGGTATGCACGCACAGATTGCCATCAAGCATCGGCATAAATGTATCTATAATCCCTCTCGGCATATACGTAAACAAAATTTGCTTCCCATGTATTTCTTATGTGAGTTAAATTTGGTTTTTTTTACCGAGTTCATTTGGCTCTTCTACCAGACCGATTTTCATGATTGAGGTCTCGAATTGAAGGTATGCACGTACAGATTTGCCATCAAGCATCGGCATAAATGTATCTATAATCCCACTCGGCTTATCCGTCAAAATTATTTGCTCCCCATGTATTTCTTATGGGACTTAAATGTTGTTTCTCTTTGCCGAATTCGTTTGGCTCTTCGACACGACCGATTTTCATGATTGAGGTCTCAAATTGAAGGTGTGCACACACAGATTTGCCATCAAGCATGGACATATATTTATATTTAACTCCACTTGGCTTATACGTCAACAACATTTTATCCCCATGTATTTCTCATTGGAGTTAAATTTGGTTTCTCTTTTCCGAGTGCCTTTGGCTCTTCTACCCGACCGATTTTAATGATCGAGGTCTTAAATTGAAGGCATACATGCAAATATTTCACATCAAGCATCGACCATCAAAGTAAATGCATCGGCATATATATTTACCTACTGTATTACTTGACCAAAAAACATAATTTGATTCATTTTTGAATTCTTACTTCAATTTAAGATGTGTTTCACCAGTTATAATTATAAAATCCAATATATTTTGGTCTAAGGACCTTCAGTGAAATACCTGCATTCATTTAAGCTACTGTATTAGTCATTCAAATCGGACGAGTTTCAAGCAAACGCAAGGAGAACAACCAACATAAACATTATTTTTCCTAAGGTTTTTCTAGGACTAAAAATCAATAGCTCCAGTAGGCCTATTGTTCATGTATGTTTTAGACTCAAAATAATCAGTATTTATAGGCTTTAAATTGAGCTATTGATCGTTTGAATCAGTAAGATACTGTATTAGCCTACGTATCAAAAATCATAAATTTGATTAGTTCTTGGATAATATATTTTTAGTTTAACGCTGCGGAGCAGCATAAGTCCTCTAGTATGCTTTAAATAAAGTTAAACCACATGTTTTAAAGTAAACAAAGCAGACATGACCTAGATTCCCATGCTATTTAAATGTGAATTAATTTATTCCGTAACAACCTTTTGGTACATAATTAAGAAAAATGAATAATTTTCCCCAAAATTTCATGCCCAGACCTTTCAAATGAAACCTCTCCCAGCTTTCTACGGCCTCCCGTTCGCTCACAATTTCATTGTAAAATTTTGGTCTTACGGAATTTGATATATAGATCTAGAAACAACGCATTCAATTTAATTAATGAACTATCAAACAAGAACCCACAAACAATTGACAAATATAACAAATCTGGAATATACAAAATTAAATGTCTAAATTGTCCCAAATTCTACATTGGTCAGACTGGAAGAGCATTTTCATGCAGATTCAAAGAACACATTCAAGCCATAAAATCAAACAATCAAACATCCCAACGCTCAATGTATGCAGAACATATATTAGAAAATAATCATAACTAATTTATGGCAAATTAGAAGAGTTTGTCAAAATTCTAAATTATGAGAAAAAGGGTGAAAAAATGGATATAAAAGAAGTATTACAAATATACCTACATTCAAAAGAAAACGGCAACCAAATTCTCAATGCAATGCAAAAACAAAAACAAAATCCAATTCACGAAAAAATCAGACAAATCAGAGAAGAATCTTACACATTCACAATGTTAAAAAAATACACCTAACCATTTAATCAAAATTTTGCTATGAATTCAAAACATATGTTATTAACTATTTATTTATTTTATTTGTTTACATACTTTTATAACACTCATACTGTGATCATGGCCTTAGTGCCGAAATACGTATCAGTTTAAATAAAAATTAATTTCAGGGTACTCTGGTTTTTTTTATTTCAATTAGGTAGCCTATGTATTAAAATACCCCCGCCGAAGCAAACCTGCAGTCTAAGCGAATTTCCATTTGACTGATTGAATTTACACTGAAATGTCTACTTAAAAATATAACATTTATTCTTGATTTAAATAGAATTAGTTTAACAAGTAGCCTACTTAGGTTTGCTGCATCAGGGAGGGTAAAACTGGTTTTTTTTTTTTTTGTAAAATGTGAATAGTTAGTAAGAAATGAAAACATTTTCCAAATTTGATGAAAATATGTTCACAAACAAGCAAACTACAACAGTTTACTTATTCTCCATAAGAATAACATGGGAATTTTAAATTTACAATTTTTTTGAATTTTCTCCGTAACCATTAGGCGCATAATAACGCTTCAATATACTAAATCATTTGTTTTTTAAGCTCTACAAAATGGTTTGGAAAGAAATTGCTAAATTTTATGTTTTTTGGGTCAAAAATGGGAAAAACCTATTTTTACCCCATAAAACCCCCCGTAAACTCCCGTTCCCATGGTCCGATCATGCTGGATCGCGAACTCGTTTGAATAAACGTACGTTTACACGTTTGTACCAAATTTCATCAAAATCGGATCATTTTTGCTCGAGTTATCGTGCTGACGGACACATATATATATATATATATATATGAATTTGAACGGATGGTGTTTTTGGCCTCTAGGGACCTCAAAACTAACCAAAAAATCGGTCCTGCGTCCAGGTCTTACCATGAGTACTACGGTAATAGCTTATTCCCTATATGGGAAATTTGCTAAAAGTAGCCCTAAAGAGTGAACAGAACTATCAAAATACCCCCGCCGCAGCAAACCTGCAGACTAAGCGAATTTCCATTTGCCTGATTTGATTCCTAACCTAACCTAACCTAGGTTTGCTGCCTACAGGGTAATAAAGTGTGTTTTTTTTTTTAGTTAAATATTTAATAGCTTAGTATAAAATAAATAGATTGGCCAAGTTTGATCCAAATATATGCATAAACAAGCAAACTAGGCTACAACAGTTTACTTATTCTTCATAAGAATAACATGGGAATTTTTAATTTATAATTTTCTCCGTAACCAATAAGCATACAAAAACACTTTAATATACTGAATTATTTGTTTTTTAAGCTCTTTAAAATGGTCTAAAGGAAATTTGGAAAATTTTATGTTTTGAGGGTCAAAAATGAGAAAAACCAATTTTTACCCCATAAAACCCTGTTCCCATGGTCCGATCATGCTGGTTCGCGAACTCGTTCGAATAAACGTAGGTTTACACGTTTGTACCAAATTTCATCAAAATCGAATCATTTTTGTTCGAGTTATCGTGCTAACGGACACATATATATATAGTTATATATATTATATATAGGTAGGCCTATATATGAATTTGAACGGATGGTGTTTTTGGCTTCTAGTGACATAAAAATGAAAAAGTAAATCGGTCCCGGGACTAAGTCTTACTATGAGACCTACGGTAATAGCTTATTCCCTATAGGGAAATTCGCTAAAATAAATATACATATGAATTTGAACAGATGGTGTTTTTTGCCTCTAGGGACCTCAAAACAAACAAAAAATCGGTCCCGCGTCCAGGTCTTACCATGAGTTCTACGGTAATAGCTTATTCCCTATATGGGAAATTCGCTAAAATCTAATGGTGTCTGTCTGTATGTGTGATACTCAATGTCATTAAAATTACTAAACCGACAGGGCCCTGGGGTTCAATTTTACAAAAATATAGTTACCATACCAAGAATGGTAATAGAATCTATTACCATTCTTTGACATGTGGACTTTAAACGTTTTGAGGTGAGTATTTTAAAACTAAATATTGACTAGCTATAATTTTCCATTATGAAGGGTTTTTAGTTAGAGTACGAGAGCTTGCCCCGTGGTCGAAAACTCGACCCAAAGTATGTATTGTACAAAATACTCTATTTTCACCCCACACTGTAAATAAAACATGTGATTGGAATTTGTTTGGATTTTCTGTTTATATTTTGTTGTTATTTTGTCACCAGCATAGCAACCTGTAAGGCCCATGTTAATTTGTTTTTATTTTCAAATTAATTTTTCGTGCTTATTTTTGAGCCTATTCTAATTCATTAAGGGATTCTGCACACCTACAAGAAAATTCTTTCATTTGGTACCAACCGCACGTAATTCAGTTACGCAGATTAATATAATTGCTACCCCCTAGTGCTTGCCACCCTGGAGCAACTGCTCCACTCGCTTCACTGTAACTACGCCACTATAATTACTACCATACATGTTATTTATAAATTACCGCAGATCATTTACTAAAATCCAAACATAAGTTTACTAAGATCGAAGAAAACTTAACAATATTAGAAATTGAAAAAGACAGAGAAAAATTGAATGTAAAAGAAGAAATTAATATTTATATGAACTACAAAAATAACAAATCAAACATTTTAAATACAATGATTCCAAAATTGAATAATCCAATATATGAAAAAATAGCAAAATTGAGAAAATATTAATGAAAATAAGTACAACACATCATATAGTATATAAATTAATCAATGAAGACAAAATTATGTTACAAGTTAGAAAAGTTTTATAATATCATATGTTATTTATTTATTTACATATCTTATTTTGATTTTTGTTTACTTTGAAAATGGCCTTAGAGCCGAAACTATAGTCAGTAAATATTTTAATAAATAATTTTACTTGGGTACTAAGTTTATTAATGTTTAATCTTTATATATATTTATATATGTGCCTGTTAGCGCGATAACTCGAGCAAAAATGATCCGATTTTGATGAAATTTGGTATATACGTGTAAACCTACATTTATTCGAACAAGTTCGCGAACCAGCATGATCGGACTATGGGAACAGGGGTTTATGGGGTGAAAATGGGTTTTTCTAATTTTTCACCCTGAAAACATAAAATTTTGCAATTTCTTTCTAAACCATTTTGTAGAGCTCAAAAAAACAAATAATTTAGTATATTGAAGCATTGTTGCATGCCTAACGGTTACGGAAAAATCGCAAAATAGTGTAAATTAAAAATTACCATGTTAGTCTTATGGAGAATAAATACAGTGGTATACTAAAGATACAAAGATGAAAGTTTTCTTTATTACATAGCTTGCTACAATATATATTATATTGTATATTGCTACTCAATATATTCAAGTTTACTAAGTTACATAAGTTTACTAAAGTAGTTTTGTTAGCTTGATTTATTTTATTAAAATTACGTCAGTCAGATTAATAGTAATTTAGGCAACTTGTTTAAAGATTTCAGAGCAGTAAAAGGTAATTTTTTGGGTAGTACACCCAGATTATTCTCTACTTTAGAGCCTCCAGAGGGGTTATAAACTGCAATTTAGCACCTTAAAATACAACAAATTTTCCATACCCCCAGTCTGCCCGGTTGCCCCTCCCCCCCCCCCCCACAACAGAATCCAGGCTACACCACTGTAAGTGTGTAAATTGCAGAATATGATTAATGTAATGAAACAAATTTACCATTAATCTGTTTAGTCCTTGATGTTTTGCTACCCCCTAGTGCTTGCCACCCTGGAGCAACTGCTCCACTCGCTTCACTGTAACTACGCCACTATAATTACTACCATACATGTTATTTATATATTTTATATAGGTATAGGTAGGAAAAAAATTGTTGGGTAGCCTATGTAATTTCAAGGTTAAAATAGTCAAAAAGAAAACAGCTCTGAAAAACTAAGACTCATGTTTGCTGGGAGTGATATTTAACCACTCATGTGGAAACCACAGTCCGACTTGGCCAGTAAATGAAATCACATACCTGAAGAGTGTTTTCTGTAGGATTAACAAGGTACACCTCACGTGTAGATGTGGTATGAAGCTTAATGTTTTCAAAACTAATCTTTGGGAAAGGGTTAAATGGAGCCAGAACAGCAACATATCCTTTTCCATCATCTTCAAATTTCTTCTTCTTATCAGGTGTCACATTTATCTGAAAGAAGAGCAAATTTGAGATTCATATGTAATCTTGCTGATGCATTCCTCAGATGATGATTGGTAGGACTATCAAAATTTAAAAAATGCACATTAGCCTAACATGTAAAATTGGTTTACAATCAGCTTACTCAATGGGTGTTACAAGACTGAACATAAATGTAGCCAAACATACTCTCCACTTATAACAGGTTACGTAACCTGTTATAGTCCAGGAATTGTGGACGTCAAGGTACGTAACCTGTTATAATTTATTACCAATTCCGGAAGGCTTCAACATGAATAAATACTCTTCACACACTAGAATATAGGAGAACTAGGTGAAACATTTTTATGGTGAGCTAATCTTAAGACATTGAATAAAACAACACACATCATTGAACCATCACACACATTGAAACACATTGAATCATTTGATAAAACTGTCATTATTTTATAATTAATTAATATCAATAAATATAATAATAATAAAGAATTATATTATTAAAAAGAATTTTTAATATTACAAGAAGCTAAAAAATTTTATGATACCTTCCTTATGAGAAATGTGTCTAGACATTAGAAGTAATTCCATACCAGCTGAGACATGACTTATGATAGTCTACACCACTTTTCAGAGTGTCACCTGGTAGGGAACATGTTAATGCTTTTTCATCCACACTGAAGCAAAAACAGCCGCTATTGTTACTAATATCTTGGGCATGTTTTTAATGCATGCATTGCGGGTCTAAAGTAGACCTAGATATTTTACTCCCTAAGAAGTAAAAATCCTTTATAGAGCCTAGGGTGTAAAAGTCAGCTGTTGTAAACTTTGATTGAAAGCGATCACATGATCGAAATTATATAAGGCCTTTAGCTGATTTCATCGATTGGCTCAGTTTCCGACTGAGGGTTTGCCTTTGTGTCCTGGGTTTGAAAATACAAAATTTGCCCGTGTGATGAAGTATGTTTTTCGTCATATTACAGAATTATTTCAAAAACTAAGTTAGAAAAAGGAAAATACTTTTCATATAAAGATACCAACTCAAAACGAAATTCAACTTGTTTGTAATTTTGCTAAATGCAAACAAGCAGCTGTTTAGTAAGTTATTCAATCTTGTGAATTACGATTGTGTTGGTGAATATTATACTACATACTATCGAAACTATTGACAAGAATGCAACAATAAGTTCACTTAGGAACAACTGATGAAATGAATCGATATTTACATCGACTTCAATGTAATTTTGATACATGCCATCGCTTACAATCAAAGTTTACAACAGCTTATTTTTACTCCCTAGGGACTACAGGGTGTGCACTATTTTCTTAAGTGAAATTCCTGGTTTTCAAGTTTTTCCAGGTTCCCGCGTCGCGTGAATGTTTCCCACGTGAACATTACATTAATTCCTGTGTGAATGTTTAGTTCCACTTAGACTATAACCAATTTAAGACTTGGAGCTTAAGTAGGCAATACATCACATTTTGTATATTTCTAATTGTTCCAAAGTTCAGTGAGCTAGTGTTGATAAATAATAATCCTTATTATCATTTTCATTATCATCATCACTTAAGGCCACCATAACATTGTCTCTCTCGACAGCAGCTAAATCCTGAATACCTCCCAAGGTCTTAGTGGTCACCTCCCACAGTGACGTAAACGTCATCACAGTATTCCGTAGACGTCTCCCGCAGTATGTAGACATTATTGTCGTCTCCCGAGGTCACGGAAACGACATCAGTCTTCCACAATCGCGGCAAAGTTCTGGACATGTTCCCCGATTTGTAGACTTATCATCATCTCCCGCGGTCACGGGAATGTCATCACAGTCAAACACAATCAGGGCAATCAAACTTTGCAGACGCGTTTTACAACTGCAATCTTCTACTGGGGCTAAAATTAAAACCCCGGCTTTTTGACGGTTTTTTCCAGGTCCCTTCAAATGCAAGGTTTTTCCCGTTTTTCCTGGTTGGTACATACACCCTAGGGACTAAAAAGGCTTTTTGAGCTTGGGTCGAAAAGAGTCACTTTACACCATAGTGATGAAATATAAACTATTAGAACCATTGTATAGTATCAGATTGTTATAAATATAATTTAACTTCTCAATCTTCCAAGATGTTGAAACATAGTCAACTCATAGTTAAGAAAGGGGACTTTATTTATAAAGATTTGAATGAATACAGTATTTAACCATAATTCAATTATAAATAATCACCAAATGACAGTCTAATATTTTGCCATTTACTAATAGTGGGACCTCGATAAAAAGTTACATTTGATAACCAGTGTCATTTTCAAATCCTCTTGAATTTAAGTTATTTGATCCCTAATCACATGTGTGATTGCAAAACTTGATAAGAAGTCGACCTTGATAATCCCCTTTTTTTAATAATACCCATAGCAGGCTTGTTATGGAGGTTCTACTGTACAAGCAGAGCCCTGTGTAACAGTCTAGGGGCTACATTGCTGTAGGCCTAGGCCTACATGTCACATTACTGTACCATACAGTAACTTCTAACCAGTGGCAGCGATAAGAACCCGCGGGCCCCCCGCAAGTTTGTTCGCTGCCACTGGTTAGAAGTTACTGTATGGTACAGTAATGTGACATGTAGGCCTAGGCCTACAGCAATGTAGCCCCTAGACTGTTACACAGGGCTCTGCTTGTACAGTAGAACCTCCATAACAAGCCTGCTATGGGTATTATTAAAAAAAGGGGATTATCAAGGTCGACTTCTTATCAAGTTTTGCAATCACACATGTGATTAGGGATCAAATAACTTAAATTCAAGAGGATTTGAAAATGACACTGGTTATCAAATGTAACTTTTTATCGAGGTCCCACTATTAGTAAATGGCAAAATATTAGACTGTCATTTGGTGATTATTTATAATTGAATTATGGTTAAATACTGTATTCATTCAAATCTTTATAAATAAAGTCCCCTTTCTTAACTATGAGTTGACTATGTTTCAACATCTTGGAAGATTGAGAAGTTAAATTATATTTATAACAATCTGATACTATACAATGGTTCTAATAGTTTATATTTCATCACTATGGTGTAAAGTGACTCTTTTCGACCCAAGCTCAAAAAGCCTTTTTAGTCCCTAGGGTGTATGTACCAACCAGGAAAAACGGGAAAAACCTTGCATTTGAAGGGACCTGGAAAAAACCGTCAAAAAGCCGGGGTTTTAATTTTAGCCCCAGTAGAAGATTGCAGTTGTAAAACGCGTCTGCAAAGTTTGATTGCCCTGATTGTGTTTGACTGTGATGACATTCCCGTGACCGCGGGAGATGATGATAAGTCTACAAATCGGGGAACATGTCCAGAACTTTGCCGCGATTGTGGAAGACTGATGTCGTTTCCGTGACCTCGGGAGACGACAATAATGTCTACATACTGCGGGAGACGTCTACGGAATACTGTGATGACGTTTACGTCACTGTGGGAGGTGACCACTAAGACCTTGGGAGGTATTCAGGATTTAGCTGCTGTCGAGAGAGACAATGTTATGGTGGCCTTAAGTGATGATGATAATGAAAATGATAATAAGGATTATTATTTATCAACACTAGCTCACTGAACTTTGGAACAATTAGAAATATACAAAATGTGATGTATTGCCTACTTAAGCTCCAAGTCTTAAATTGGTTATAGTCTAAGTGGAACTAAACATTCACACAGGAATTAATGTAATGTTCACGTGGGAAACATTCACGCGACGCGGGAACCTGGAAAAACTTGAAAACCAGGAATTTCACTTAAGAAAATAGTGCACACCCTGTAGTCCCTAGGGAGTAAAAATAAGCTGTTGTAAACTTTGATTGTAAGCGATGGCATGTATCAAAATTACATTGAAGTCGATGTAAATATCGATTCATTTCATCAGTTGTTCCTAAGTGAACTTATTGTTGCATTCTTGTCAATAGTTTCGATAGTATGTAGTATAATATTCACCAACACAATCGTAATTCACAAGATTGAATAACTTACTAAACAGCTGCTTGTTTGCATTTAGCAAAATTACAAACAAGTTGAATTTCGTTTTGAGTTGGTATCTTTATATGAAAAGTATTTTCCTTTTTCTAACTTAGTTTTTGAAATAATTCTGTAATATGACGAAAAACATACTTCATCACACGGGCAAATTTTGTATTTTCAAACCCAGGACACAAAGGCAAACCCTCAGTCGGAAACTGAGCCAATCGATGAAATCAGCTAAAGGCCTTATATAATTTCGATCATGTGATCGCTTTCAATCAAAGTTTACAACAGCTGACTTTTACACCCTAGGCTCTATAAAGGATTTTTACTTCTTAGGGAGTAAAATATCTAGGTCTACTTTAGACCCGCAATGCATGCATTAAAAACATGCCCAAGATATTAGTAACAATAGCGGCTGTTTTTGCTTCAGTGTGGATGAAAAAGCATTAACATGTTCCCTACCAGGTGACACTCTGAAAAGTGGTGTAGACTATCATAAGTCATGTCTCAGCTGGTATGGAATTACTTCTAATGTCTAGACACATTTCTCATAAGGAAGGTATCATAAAATTTTTTAGCTTCTTGTAATATTAAAAATTCTTTTTAATAATATAATTCTTTATTATTATTATATTTATTGATATTAATTAATTATAAAATAATCACAGTTTTATCAAATGATTCAATGTGTTTCAATGTGTGTGATGGTTCAATGATGTGTGTTGTTTTATTCAATGTCTTAAGATTAGCTCACCATAAAAATGTTTCACCTAGTTCTCCTATATTCTAGTGTGTGAAGAGTATTTATTCATGTTGAAGCCTTCCGGAATTGGTAATAAATTATAACAGGTTACGTACCTTGACGTCCACAATTCCTGGACTATAACAGGTTACGTAACCTGTTATAAGTGGAGAGTATAACTCTCCCAATGATCTTTAAAAACATTTTCCCATGTATTACCGCCTAAACTTGCAATTTTGCAATAAACTTGACAAGGCATCTTCCGAGGCGTCATTATCGTCTTCCA